ATCAGAAACCATCGCCCATTAGCGTTGTCACAGGGGCAACGGCCCACTCAACGTGGTCCGTGAACAGAGCCAGCAGTGCAGCGTCATTATGACAGCAGTGACAAACATGCGGCATAAGACGAAAGATGTGCGCCGCAACCGTTTTCGCCACAAACTTCCAGCCGCGCTCTGAATAGCGCTCCGGCGAAGCTCAGCGAGCCTTTCGTTGAGCTCGCAAAATTACACACGCCTCGCTGGGTTTGTTTGTGGCTTGAGCGTCGCCGCATGAAACCGAACGCTGACTTGGCAGCGAAATGGAGTCGCGATGTCCCGATGCCAGGGGTCATTCTCAACATCTGACAGCCAACCCAGGAACAGACTCGAAAACAAATTCCCACAATCCACGCAGTAGTTATTTTTGCGACACGAACCTTCAATTCGTAATGTACGAAATATTTAGAACACGCCCGTAATATTTGGAGCTGAAATGCGACTCCAACACCTCACCCCATCACACTGAGTATAAAAGGGAGTAAACCAAACCAGAAAAACTCACTCAACATCTCACCCGCCAACCACCACTCTGGTGCTACACCAGAGAAACTCACTCTCGCTTGAAAGCGCCGAAACTTAACACAGGGTAACTAAGTGAACAATGGCTCGCCAAAATATGCCACTCAAACCTACCCCGCAAAACATCAAAATGGTAACCTTCGTGCCCGTGCGAAAGGCCCACATGCCCGTGACGATGCCGTGCGAAACCCGTGCGCGTCTTTGTCTACCGGCACTCCGAAAAGCTGTGTTCCTCTGTCAGGCTCAAGGTGTATTCCTGTCCCACAATCCCCACTCCACTAATAGCTGGCGCCTCTGTGATTGGTCTGTCATCCTCAGGGCTCATGTTGGCAGCATTTTGCTGGCTCGATTCGCCTCGCTTCACCCTCCTCCTCGTCCTTTCACCTCGAGCAACACAGGCACAAGGAACTGTACATTACCCCTCAGTACAACAGTGTGCGAGGCGAGGTGATGCCCATGAACAGACAGGCCTGGGGGGACTCCGTTCGGCCGGGATGATTTGGCGCTTGCGAACGTTAGGGGGAAGGGGCACACGGGTCAGGGAGAAGGTGGGGTGGGGATTTCTCGGTTTGTGAGGTGCGGGGGGATGGACGGATGGGGGGGTGGGTGGGTGGATGGATGATGGCGCAGGGTGAAAAGGGATGCTGCTGGTCAGAACGCTGGAATTGACCCTTGATTTTGCATTCCCGATTCCGAAGCAGATCCTCCGTGCGTGATTGCGTCGCAAATCACTCTCACGCGTTTTTGTGTTCTGAGGCAGCTGCGCTGTTCATTCCCAATCAGCTCGGCAGTGTCCAAGCATAAGTCCCTAGCCTAGATTCTCGACGCAAAACGGTTTAACTACGCCGAGGTGTGAAAAACTTTCATGACAAATGTCTGGACCTTCATGGGCGGTAAGTTCTGATCCTATCTCTGATGATGCCCAGCAACATCCAATTACTCGCTTAACAGGGCAGTGTAGGCCAGCGTAAAGAAAACCCATGACGGTTTTGACAATTGGGGGTACCATCACCAAGGTGTTAGGGTGTTCTGTATTGTTTTCTTATGTTGGTTTGTTCGGCAAGCCCAAGGATTCAAGACAAACCAAGCCAGGGCACTGATCGCCAAATTCTGCTGGCAAGGCAGACCCAGCCATGGCTCAAACCTTCTTCCCAGGCTCGCAATTACACTACCGTCGCTTCGAGGTCCATGCCTCGAACCTGCAACTTTTACTCTGATTCGTCCTTAAACCTGGTGAGCACACAAACCACCAGCTTCGTGAACAAAACCATTGAGGGCCGTTCGATGGCACAGATCCTCTGCACCGAAGCGAAGAGGTCCTTTGTTTCCATACCTCCACATCCCAACCAACCGGCCACGCACATGTCTGTTCTGTTGGACGTTCACTGCTGTCATGTGTGGTGTGGCGTGGCACTGTAGCGGGGGCAGTTCAACTCCACACAAACAAAGCCACAAAGCGGGGAGGCAGGCGGACATACAGCCAGGCAGGCAGAATTTACACTCTAAATCTATGTAATGTAATGTATGGAAACTGTACTGTGTTTTCTGGAGTTGCCTGACAGTTGTGTTGTGTGTGTGCAAGGCAAGCCAAATCTCTCGAACCTAGGCCAACTTGTTGCGTTGTGTTGGTCGTCTTCCTTCGTGCCCCGCCGCACAAGGACAAAGTCAGCTCAACCCCTTTTCGTCACTGCCAATGCCAACTCCCAGACACTCCCTCCCTCCTCCCCTACATGCCCCATGGCAGAGAGTCAGGACTTCGGATTCCGAACCGAGGACCCGCGCGCTGAGTCACCCTGCTTTGTTTCTCACAAGCAAGCTTGCTTCCATAAAGAAAACTCCACGAGCCAGAGCGTGTGTGCCAAATACAGGCGCGGCTGTTTTCAACATCCAACCAAGTCAAGATCGAGCAACGTCTTGGCAATTCCAGTAGCAGTCTGATGGCTGCGAAGTCGTTTCTCGTGATGAACGAGTCGCAGCAGCCTACTAATCCCGCGTCTGTCGTCGCCGCGAACCATAATCTTGGCGGATCTCTTTCGACCTTGCAGCACCACGCGTTGACTTCCGCCCTTATCCAGCACATGCAACAACAGCAGCAGCAGCAGCAGCAGCAGCAGCAGCAGCAGCAGCAGCAGCAGCAGCAGCAGCTTCTCAGACAGCTTCAGCTACAGCAGCAACTCCAGCTGGCATCACAGCCTCCGCAGTTTGCGCGTCTTGAAGATCCGCAGCCTGTCGGCGCCTCGCTGCAGCTCTTCCCTTCCGCGCCACCGGCTGCTCCGGGGAACGACGCGGAACTCCCCCGCGGTACTACCGGGGGTGCGCGGGCCGCGGAGCCCGACCTGCGCCTCAGCGTGGGTTTGTCGCTCGGCGGCGGAGCGGCGGGCAACGATGGCGTGATTAAGCCAGCGAAGCGGAAAAGAGCAGATGAGGTAAGATCTTATAATGAGAACTTGAAAGCTATAAGATCCGTTTCGTTCGCGTGCATCTGCCAGCGATCTTCAGATTGGCGCGCGCTTTTGATCCCGTCTCATACGCCATTGCGTCCCTTCTTGGATAAATTCAAGTTCCGCCTGAACCGCCAGCGCTAATCCTCATCTCGTCCCTATGCCGTATGCCGCAGTTCCCACGGCGCACGCGATCCCCCGAAAGCTCCGCGGAGAACAGCAATCTGGACACCGCGGCCCCTCCGCCGCCCTCCGCCGCTGCGCTCCCCCTCTTCGCCTTCCCGCCTGGCGGGGGCGCTGCTCGCGCCGCTTCCCCACACTGGACGACGGCACTCCCTCACGTCACTACCGCGCGCGCAGCCGCGCCCCACGCTGGCGCCTTTCCCCATCGTTCCCCCCGCCTCGCCGCTGGCGCAGCGCTGCCCACCACCCCGTCCCCTGACGAGGAGCCTATCGGCGGATGGATGGGCGGGGGGATCGCGGCGTCCCCATCGGCGCGGGTTCCCCCGTGGGGGGACGCGCTGGCGGGCTGAGCGGGACGGGGAGCGCGGGTGGATCGGGGGGGGAACAGGTGGAAGGCTTGGACGCGCAGGAAGCGGGGGGGAAGTCGTCTCGGCCCCGAACGGTGGCAGAGAGGAAGCGACGAAACGGAATCAGGTACGGAATCGGGACGCATGCTTGCCTGAGCCGTCGGTGTAGAGCACAGGATTGCTGTTTGTTGCATAGCAGCAGAGAGTCCAGATCTGGTTCCCCCCCTGGTGACTTGACTTCAGTCCCCGACTCAGCTTGTTTTATTCTTCCGTCAGTCCTCTACTTGACTGTGACTGTGCTTTCTTTTCTGTGCATCTCATGTGTGTTGTTTCTGCAGCCTGAAACTAGACCAGCTGAAAAGGGCTATACCCCAGTGCAACACACGGGTCACAACAGAGGCCCTGTTATGCGAGACATTGACTTACATCCAAGCGCTCAAGGCTAAGGTTGACTTACTTCAGGCAGAAAAGGCCAAGCTGCTTTCGCAAGCATTGGGAAGACATGTGCAAGGCCATTAGGGTACGCTAGCGGTTGTTCTTGGGCATAGCTGTAAGCTCTGCTGGTTACATGTATTGTAAGCTGAATCATCATGCATTGGATTTTATGGTGTTACCTATACATACTATGGTGATTCTCTAAGAGCGCTTCCGAAGTGGAATTTTTTAGATTTGTACCGTATTTAAATTTGCTGCAAAGCACAGAACCTGTAGCAAGCTGCAGCACGCCGAGCTGCACCGGAAACTGATAAGGAAAGAGGTGGTCGCTTGGAAGCGCGCGTGTCCCAAGAGTACGTTTGATTACGATTGGGTGAGATGCTCACTGATTCAGCAGGGTTGAATAGCGATGTAAAACGATTGGGTAGGGTGTTAGCGCGAAAACGTACGCTTGGGACACGCCCTAATGCATCAGGTTTTTGACAAAGCATTCCTCCACGATGTGACGTCACGTTACCTTAGGAAACCATACATACCGTTATACAAACGTCAGGAACCACACTGTACCTCTGAATGCTGTTAGAATCCCAACTTCACGAACTGCTCTCGCCACACAGCAAGAAAATTCCGGCACGGCGGGATAGGTGCATCAGCTCAGCAGCATCTAGCTGCTGCTGTGACGTGGTTTCACTCTGTGGCCAGTTTCCTTTCCAGCGTGGGCACTCTGCCCACTGACGTGCCAGGGCTACACGTGTTCTGGCTGGCCATCCAGCAAGCTCCAGCTCAGGCTGCACAGAGATCCCGTTCTTGGCAATTCTCTACCGTTCGTTTTCCAGGCCACGCAGAATCCCATGAGCGCATCTCCCGCGCGCACCTCTGCTGGGCGCGAGTACAATGTCGTGCAATGCCGTGCAGGTTTTCCCCCTCCCAGGCTCCCCCTGTTGTCTGAATTCTGGGCAAGGCAATCCCCAAAGCTGCCTCTTCCACGTTCCGCCTTTCACTTCCCGCGTTCCGCGTTCCGCCTTACGCATTCTTTCTTGGGAATGCCATCATATTCCTGCACCCAGACACCAGCCTTCCTCTATACACCAGGTCGATAACAGACTCGTCCACGATACAGTTTTGCCGTTGTTTGCTTCCTTCGTCGGGAGAGTCGACCTTTAATTCCTGTGCGCCTCGTGCATAAGCTAGCGCGGCTTTCCCGAATAAGAAGGAGCATGGCGGCACTCGCGGGAGCAGCTGCCGTTGCGGCTCCGCTGCAGGTCCCCGGAGTCAAGCAATTAGCGACAGGGTCTAGCAGCAGCAGCAGCGGTTCGGTTCGTTCCGCGGTTCCTAGGAAGCTCGGGTCCGATATTCTGGGAAAGCAGATTACCGCTACGCCACGCGGAATGCAAGCAGCTTCGCAGAATGTTCGCCCGCGGTCGGTGGAGGTCCGGGCGGTGGCGACGGAAGCACCGACGAAGATGTCGCGAGTGGTGCAGTGGGAACAGGGGAAGAGACTGCAGGTAATTCTGGAGGCTGGGAAAGAGACAGCAGGTAATTCAGAAAGCAGAATAATAGACTTATGGCGTGTAGGAGAGGGGTCCAGTTTTGAGGCGCCTCAAAACCAGAGAATTAGACTTACGGCGTGTAGGAGAGGGCTAGCGAGCGGTATCAGGAAATGGCGTAGAGGCGGTGAGCGAAGTCTGATGAAATGTCGAGCAGCGTGCTGACATGGTCATCAGTTTTCACAGCATGGACTTCAGGTTTCCTGCTTAGACTTCCAGGATTGAACTTCCGCCGTTTTTTGAGGCGCCTCAAAAATCCTCAAAAATCTTTTGAGGCGCCTCAAAAATCTTCACAGCATGGACTTCAGGTTTCCTGCTTAGACTTCCAGGATTCAACTTCCGCCGTGCTCTTTCCTTCCAAAAACTGGTGGTCGGTGCGTTTCCCGCGAGGTGACTTTTGAGTCGACTCAAAAGTCACTTTCGCCGTACGCTTTCCTTCCAAAAACTGGTGGTCGGTACGTTTCCCGCTCACCCGTTCTTAATGTTGACAGCCGAAGCTGAAATCCACGTTCGTTTGTTGCATTCCTGAGGGTTTCCGACAGTGATCTCGGCATGTGTACATGTGTTGATCTGATGATGTGTTATAGGAGTCTAGATTTTAGGCGCCTCAACACTGATCCCTGCATGTGTTTATGTGTGCATGTGTGCATGTGTTTATGTGTTTATGTGTTCATGTAGTTAATCTGATGATGCGTTCCGACCACTGCAGCCTGGAACCATCTAGTCCGTGTTTGACTAGGTTCTTCGCGCCAACGGAGCTTGTTCTGGATTCTTTCGTTCCTCTTCTTGCTCTCATTCTTGTTCTCTGTTCCGTGTGTAATGAGTCGATTTTTGAGTCGACTCAAAAATCGACTCATTACACACTGTTCCCTGTTCCGTGTTCCTTGTAATCCTCATCGCGTCTCGCCTGCAGACTCAGACGACAACCATTGCTGCGGATACGACCACCATTCGCTCGCTCGACTGGGATCGCGACCGCTTCGATATGTACGTCGCCCGCCTTCGTCGTCGGCATGTATGGCATGTATGATATGCACAGTATGGCATGTATGGTATTTATGGAATGGCATGTATGGCATGTATGGTATGCACGGTGTGGCATGTGTGGCATGTATGGCATGTATGGCATGTATGGCATGTATGACATGTATGGTATGGTATGTAAGGCATGGTATGGTATGGTATGGTATGGTATGTATGCGTGCCTCCCTCATCATTCCGCGTATGCGTAGCCACCCCGTTCTTGCTTCTTAGGACTGTCTAATTTACCATTCACACAGATGTGAGGCTCCTCATAATACCTCACCACCCTCCCTCCACCAACCTCCCCCCACCAGTCCCCTCCTCTCTCCCTTCCTCCCTCCCCTCCTTCAGCGAGTTCGGTCTGCTCAAGGGCACCACCTACAACTCGTACCTAATCCGCGGCGCCGACAAGGTCGCTTTAATCGACGCGTCGCACGAGAAGTTCCGCGAGCTCTACCTCTCCGCCCTAAAATCAGAGATCGACTTTAAAGACATCGACTACATAGTCGCGAACCACACGGAGCCGGACCACAGCGGGCTAATTAGAGACCTAATTGAGCTCGCGCCTAACGTCACGGTCGTCGGGTCTAAGGTCTGCATCCAGTTTCTGCAGAACCTAGTCTTAAAGCCGTTTAAGAGCCTCGTGGCGCAGCCGGGGAAGCCGCTGGATCTGGGCGGCGGGCACGAGCTGGAGTTTATCATGGCGCCGAACCTGCACTGGCCGGATACCATGTTTACCTTCGATAAGGGCACGGGCGTTATGTTCACTTGCGACGCGTTCGGCAGCCACTACTGCTCCGAGGCGGTGAGTGGGGAGAGGAAGGCAGGGGGGAGGCGGTGAGCGGGGAGAGGAAGGCAGGGGGGAGGCGGTAAGCGGGGAGAGGAAGGCAGGGGGGAGGCGGTGAGCGGGGAGAGGAAGGCAGGGGGGAGGCGGTGAGCGGGGAGAGGAAGGCAGGGGGGAGGCGGTGAGCGGGGAGAGGAAGGCAGGGGGGAGGCGGTGAGCGGGGAGAGGAAGGCAGGGGGGAGGCGGTGAGCGGGGAGAGGAAGGCAGGGGGGAGGCGGTGAGCGGGGAGAGGAGGGCAGGGGGGAGGCGGTGAGCGGGGAGAGGAAGGCAGGGGGAGGCGGTGAGCGGGGAGAGGAAGGCAGGGGGGAGGCGGTGAGCGGGGAGAGGAAGGCAGGGGGGAAGCGGTGAGCGGGGAGAGGAAGGCAGGGGGGAGGCGGTGAGCGGGGGTAGTGGTGTGGGTGGGGCGAGGAAGAGATTCAGGGAAGTGCAGAGGGAGGGGTAGGGGGAAGGAGGGGAAGTGGGGAGAGAGGGGAAGTAGGGAGAGAGGGGAAGTGGGGAGAGAGGGGAAGTAGGGAGAGAGGGGAAGTGGGGAAGGAGGAAAGAAGGTGAGTGAGGCAGTCACTAATGCTCCGAGGCGGTGGGTGGGGAGAGGAAGGGAGGGGGAAGACGGTTTTGGGGGAAGAAACGGGGAATGGGGAGTGGGGGAAGGGGCGGGGAGGAGGAGGTGGGGTGGAATGAAGTGCTCTTGCTGACTCTTCTTGGTGCTTCTTGGTGACTCGCGCCCTCCCTCTGCTATGTCATGTGCTTCTCCCTGTGCCTGTATGCCATGTGCTTCTCCCTGTGCCTGTATGCCATGTGCTTCTCCCTGTGCCTCTATTTGCGCTGCCACCAGGTGTACGGCGAGGATTCGAGCGAGCTGGAGCCGCACTACCACTACCACCCACCCACTTTGCATCCTCTCTCACCTTCTTCATTCTTGCCCTTTCTCTCTCGCCCCCTCTGCCTCCTGCGTGTGCCTCTCCCTCGCCCTGTATGCCTCCTGCCACCGCCAGGTGTACGACGAGGATCTGAGCGAGCTGGAGCCGCACTACCGCTTCTACTACGACTGCCTCATGAAGCCCAACTCGCGCTCCGTGCTCACCGCCCTGCGCAAGGTGCCACCACGCTGCACCGCTCTCCATTGCTCTACCACCGCTTTCCACCGCTCTGCATTGCTCGCTATCGCTACATGTTCCCCTGCTTTCCTTTGCATCTCTTTCTGGAGTTTGCAGCAGGGAATGAACCCTTCTTTGAGAACCACTATTGACGTTCTCTCCTCTCTTATTACCACCCTCACCCACCAACATCCCCCCCCCCCCACCCCAACACCCTTCCATCCCCCCTCCCCCCAACCCCCCCCCAAACCCCCCCCCCTCCACCCCCACTCCTTCCCCCTCGCCTCCCCCCCCGCAGGTTGCCAGTGCGGGGTGGGAGTTTTCAGAGATCGCAGTGGGGCACGGCCCTCTGCTGCGCTACAACGTGCCTGAGCTCACGCTCAAGTACGAGCAGTGGAGCAAGGCCGCCATCGAGAAGCAGAAGGTGGGTGTGCAGCACATGTGCTCCTTGCCTCTCCTCCTTTCCTATCTCCTTGCCTCTCACTCTCAAGTACGGTGGAGCAAGGCCGCCATTGAGAAGCAGAAGGTGGGCGCATGTCTGTGGACTCCTTGCCTCTCCTTGCCTCTCCTTGCCTTTCCAGTAAGTTAAGTGCAGATAATGTCTGTGGCTCCGCTCCTTTCCTCTTCGCCCCTCCTCTCCTCTTCGCCCCTCCTCTCCTCTTCGCCCCTCCTCTCCTCTCTTCACATGAGCTGGTGGAGGGCACCCCCCCGTCTGCCCGTCCCATTCTCACTTCCTCTCCTCCACTCTCCTGCCCTCTTCCTTTCACCCCCTTCCTTTCACCCCCTTCCTTTCACCCCCTTCCTTTCACCCCCTTCCTTTCACCCCCTTCATTTCACCCCCTTCCTTTCACCCCCTTCCTTTCACCCCCTTCCTTTCACCCCCTTCCTTTCACCCCCTTCATTTCACCCCCTTCCTTTCACCCCCTTCCTTTCACCCCCTTCCTTTCACCCCCTTCCTTTCACCCCCTTCCTTTCACCCCCTTCCTTTCACCCCCTTCCTTTCACCCCCTTCCTTTCACCCCCTTCCTTTCACCCCCTTCCTTTCACCCCCTTCCTTTCACCCCCTTCCTTTCACCCCCTTCCTTTCACCCCCTTCCTTTCACCCCCTTCCTTTCACCCCCTTCCTTTCACCCCCTTCCTTTCACCCCCTTCCTTTCACCCCCTTCCTTTCACCCCCTTCCTTTCACCCCCTTCCTTTCACCCCCTTCCTTTCACCCCCTTCCTTTCACCCCCTTCCTTTCACCCCCTTCCTTTCACCCCCTTCCTTTCACCCCCTTCCTTTCACCCCCTTCATTTCACCCCCTTCCTTTCACCCCCTTCCTTTCACCCCCTTCCTTTCACCCCCTTCCTTTCACCCCCTTCCTTTCACCCCCCGGGCATCCCACCCCTCCTTTCCTTCCTTACCCATCCATGCTCGGGCATCCCACCCCTCCTTCACCGTCCCCAGTCGTCCATCGCGGTCCTCTATGTGGGCGACTACGGGTACAGCGGCCGCCTCTCTCAGTGCATTGCAAGGGGTATCACTTTCCGCTCTCCCCCTCCCTCACACCACCCCCCTCCCGTCCCCAGTCGTTCATTGCGGTCCTCTATGTTAGTGACTACAGGTACAGCGACCGCCTGTCCCAGTGCATCGCAAGGGGCATCACGAAAGCAGGCGCAGGCGTGGAGATGATAGACCTCAATGCGGCGGACACCCAGGAACTGGTGGAGTGCTCCTTGGGGGCTTACCTCCCCTCTCCTCCCCTCGCCTGTACCATTCTGACCTCTCCTTTCTCGCTTTTCCTCCTCTCTCGCCACCAGTCATCCATTGCAGTTCTGTACGTGAGTGACTATGGATACAGCGACCGTCTCTCCCAGTGCATTGCCCGCGGCATCACCAAGGCGGGGGCAGGCGTGGAGATGATGGACCTCAAGGCGGCGGACACCCAGGAGCTGGTGGAGTGCATTGGGCGCAACGCCGCTGTGGTGCTCATGATGCCGCCCACCCAGGGCCCCGCCGCTGCCGCTGTCGCCCCGCTGCTCGCTGGAATAAAGGCCAAGCAGGTGGGTGGGTGCTCGGGCGGGTGGGTGGGTGCGTGGGTGCGTGGATGTGTGGGTGCATGGGTGAGTGCGTTGCGTGGGTGCGTGGGTGCATGGGTGGGGTTTTGAGACGCTTCAAGACAGGTGAGAAAGGTGGGCTTCGAGAAGTCGCACCGCGCCCGGCTGGACTCAAAGCCAAGCAGGTGCGTGGGTGGGTGGGTGGGGGTTGAATCGTCCCACCATTCGTCCCACCATTCGTCCGCTCCGCTCCCGCAGTCGAGGCCTCCATTCCTGCATTTTCCTTCTCTTCCTCCAGGCGAATTGTGAGTCGACTGAAAATCGTCCCGCCCTGCATCTGTCCCGCAATCGAGGCCTACATTCCTGCATTTTCCTTCCTTTCTCCAGCCCAACCTTTCTCCTCCTCTCCCTTCGCGCCTGTGGACACTCTCCTGCACTAGTTTTGAGGCACCTCAAAAGTTGCTTCCCCTCCCCCCTCCCCCCCCTCCCCCCCCTCCCAAACACCCTCATCCAGTCTGTAGGGCTCGTCTGTGAGTCCTGCAGAGAGGGGATGACGAGCCTGTGGACGGACACTGTTTTGCGCTAGTTTTGAGGCGCCTCAAAAGTTGCTTCTCCCTCCCCCTTCCCTCCCCCCCCCCCCCCCTACACCCTAACTCAGTCTGTGCTCCGCTGTCAATCCTACAGAGGGGATGACGAGCCTGTGGACACTCTCCTGCGCTAGTTCTCCAACCTGCACTCTCGAATCCTCTGCTCTGTCTGAATCCCTCTCCCCTCCTTCCTCTCTCCCTCCCCCCTCCCCCCCAACGACCCAGTCCGTGCTGCTCTGTGAGTCCTACGGGGGGGACGACGAGCCTGTGGACACGCTGCTTCGCAAGTTCTCAGACCTCGGGGTGAAGATGCCCATTGAGCCGCTGCGCATCAAGGAGGCGCCCACGGAGGCCACGTGAGTCAGAGGGAGGGGTGTGTGACAGAGAAGAGTGGGGGGGAGAACCACGGTGAGGTGGATGGATGCAAGAGGAAGCTTGTTCTCTGCCTTGGAGGGGCGATGCCCATCGAGCCGCTGCACATGAAGGAGGCTGCCACCGAGGCCATGTGAGTGCGGGGGCAGATGAACCACCGCCAGACGTGAGAGGTGCTGGTGCAGGAGGGAGGAGTGCAAGGAAGAGCTGCAGGAGAGGGAGCAGTGAACGGGGAGTGGTGCTATGGTTAATCAGGTTCTCGGACCTCGGAGTGAAGGAGCCCCTTGAGCCGCTGCGCATCTCGGAGGCGCCCACCGCGGCCACGTGAGTGCCAGAGAGGGCTCAGGGCGGGGTGTGTGAGAGACGAGTGTGGGGGGGAGTAATGTGAGGTGAATGTATGCAAGAGGAAGCAAGTTCTCGGACCCCGGAGGGGCGATGCCCCATGAGCCGCTGCGAATCAAGGAGGCTGCCACCGAGGCCACGTGAGTGCGGCAATCCCAGAGGTGCACGATTCATGAGGGTGGTTCCTCTCCAGACCTCCGAGTCTGGAGAGTGTGACTTCCTGACTTCTCCTCCCCCACCCCATCCCACCCCACCCCACCCCCATAAGAACAAATACCAGCTGTTTGAGGAAGCCGGCGCGGACATGGGGCAGGGGCTGACTCAGAAGGCAGTGAGGGAGGAGACGAGGCTCAGCATGCCCCTGGCTGTGGCCAAAGCGAATATACCCCTGACTTACCCCCTGCCCCGTCTCCCACCCCCCTCTCCACCCCACACCACACCACACCACACCGCACCGCACTGCACCACACGCAACAGCTATCAGCTGTTTGAGGAAGCCGGCACGGACATGGGGCAGAATCTCACTCAGAAGGCGGTGCAGGAGGAGACGAGGCGAAGCATGCCCCTGGCAGGCTGTGGCCAACGCTTTAACACTCCTGTCTTCCTTCCCTCCCCCCCCCCCACACACCAGCTACCAGCTGTTTGAGGAAGCCGGCACGGACATGGGGCAAAATCTCACGCAGAAGGCAGTCCGCGAGGAGACGAGGCGCAGCATGCCCCTGGCAGTGGCCAAGGCCATCGCGCGCGTGTCTGGCGGGCTGTATGTGGTGACCGCCACCAAGGGGTCGTCCAAGGGAGCTATGATCGCTTCTTGGGTGTCTCAGGCCAGCTTCAAGCCCCTGGGCATCACCATTGCTGTTGCCAAGGACAGAGCCATTGAGTCGCTCATGCAGGTGAGATGTTGGATAAGAGCAGCTTAAGTGGGAGGGTGGGTGTGAAGGGGGGGTCGATGCCATCACCAATGCTGCTGCCAAGGACAGAGCCATTGAGTCACTCATGCAGGTAATGCGTGGTTCATGCTTGTGGTGACCTTCAGGTGAGCCTCAAGTGAGTTGTGAGGTTCATATGGAGGGGTTTGGAATCCAAGCGTTCTTTCGTCACACTTCCCTCGCTTGCACTGAACGTCGAAGAATCCGTTGCTATTGCCATTTCTTCCACCCCTTCTCTTCATCGTCCTCTCACTGTCACCCCCGCCCTGCTCACCAATCTCTCCCCCACTTCCCTCTCCCTCCTCTATCTGCAGGTGGGCGATTCCTTTGTGCTCAACTGTCTGGAGGAGGGGAACTTCGCGCCTCTCATGAAGCACTTCCTCAAGCGCTTCCCCCCTGGCGGTAAGCATCAGTGCTGATTACCATAACCCTCCTTTCCTCGCTCTTCCCCGTGTTCCCTTTAGTTCTCATTCCCCCATCGGCCCTCCCCCATGTCTTTGCCTTCACATGCGTGGGACGCAACGCAGCCATGCCAGATAAATTTGTTCGATTGTAAGGGTTCCTATAGTGTACGAGGCTAAGAAAGATTGCCCTTTTTCATCCCACTCTCCCTTTGCCCCCAACCTGTACCGTTTCATCCCATCCCATGCTTCCAGCTGATCGTTTTGAGGGCATTGATTGGTCGCCAGGGGCCAATGGCTCGCCTGTGCTGGCAGGGGCCCTGGCCTTCCTGGAGTGCACCGTGGTCAGCCGCATGGAGACCAACGACCACTGGATCACCTATGCTGAGGTCACTGCAGGGAGGGTGGCCAAGCCTGAGGGCCGTACTGCCTCCCACCACCGCAAGCTGGGAGATTATTATTGAAGAGGCTGAGGAGGAGGTGGCAGGCTGTGTTGTCCAGTTGGATTTGTAAGCATGTGCTGTGCAGGACTGTGGTTGAGATGTGTTAGGACACGTGGACATCACTGTTTAGTTCCATTGTGGCGTTGGCTGGCTTGAGTTGTTCAATGTTTCTGCTGCTACAGGTAAATTACAGAGATGCTCCATATACATCTAAATATTACAGATATTTCCACCATACTTTGGACACCAAAGTGGGACACCAAAAGGTGAATACTTTGCACACCAAAACGGAACAGCTAATGGACACAATACTTTCTATGCACACTTCACAGTGGTTCTAACCGATACACACTGTTTGCCCAATCAAATGAGCTGTAGCCTATAACTATGCACACGACTAAGGCGCACACACAACGCAAAAGAAACACAATAGACCCAGGCTACGTCGTGGGAGCACCTCAATTTCGTCCCAGGAGCCTGTGCTACGCCGACATCCAAGAATGGTATGTACAACGACGGAGTCTGGCGAAGCCCATGCTGTCTGAAGACCAACAATCTCAACGCTGTATCGGCTGTTACGTTAGCTGTTGTCATTCCGTAAACAACGTCGTATCCCAGGCGACAGTCTCGAAGCAGCTTCCCTCGTCGTCGATTACAGAATCAGGAGATCCGCCACAGTTCAAGACATTTCAGTATTTTCCCAGCGCACTCCTCTTCAGCAGCGACCCTCCTCTGACGATTCGCCATTCTTGATGCTGGAGAAAGAGGCTTCTGGTTGTAGTCTCGGAAAAACACCGGATTTTCTTTCTCGAGAGCATTCCACACTGCAAATATCAAAGACAGCACAGACGACGAGACCGTGAGCCATGGCACACACCAATATAAGGAACGTCAACCAAACAAGTCGAAATGTACGTACCAGCAAGGGTTATGGCCGGCTTGATTCTAGCACTTCTGGCGAGACTCGCAATGCATTCAGCTTGGCTTAGTTCAAGAACGAGACACTTCTCAATCAGGTGCTGAATCTGTGAGACAAGGTCGACAGCTGGTCAGAGCCTGAGTTGCGAGAAGCATGAATAGAGAGAATTCATCAGAAGCTGCTTTAGGGACCTGAGCTGATCGAATCAACGTACCATAAGCACGTAGGTTCCAAAGTCCTCTTTGTGGGAGGGACACGGGCTAGGAGTCATGACATTCTCGACAGCTATATCCATCGGCCTATACTAATGCAAAATAGGCAGTTTTGAAACAGACAAGCCCAGTGAGAACTAGCTGGCGAACGAGAAGCTGATCCAACAACCTTCTGTGGGTTCTGTACGACAGCTGCTTTAGTTGAAGGCTTGATCTGCTTGGGTTGGGAGGGACGGGAAGAAAGGTCGAGCGGATCACCCAAATTTCCGCAACGCTGCCGCAATATCTCTGCCACATCGGATCTGACGAATGGGGGAGAAGTGCTCCAATCGCTTGGATAAGCCTTTCTGGGGAGTTCATCAACAGATGTTCCGCGTTCATAAATCTTTGCTTTGGCGATCACTGCGTTCATTGGTTGATGGATGTGAGATGGTGGCGAGGTGGTTGGTGAGTCAGCCCTAAGGCATCCACATTGGCCACAACAGCATCATGCTGTGTCACCACAAACCAGTGCTGCGGTGTCATCTAGGACCACCACCAGCCAGCCGAGACGAGACTGTACTGTTACCACACGACACCGCACAATTTATTCACAACCAAGTTGGGCAGGAGGCTTCTCCAGGTCAAGGTCAACGGCATCATGCTGTGTTACCCTTCTTATCTCGAGCATCGGTATACTGTACGCTAACCCAAAGTTAATGACCCGATTTCCGTGGTCTCTGCATCCGAGTTGGGTGCCGCACCCAACCCATAACTGTAGTGCAGCCATGGGTATGGGTGGATATTCCGGAGTCCATTCATGTTAACTTTGGACATCAGAACTTTCCACACTTGTTGCGCTTTCCCTAACCTAGGGCAGGTGATTTCAAGTGCTGCCCTGATGTTTCATATGTGGGTGTACTACACTACTCGGATTTGGCAGGGTGCACAGTACTCTTGGATCTGGACGGGTTTTCGTGGAGAGAACAGTACTCATGGGGCCGGTTAGGGATTTGCTTCGCAGCCCACTTGGAGCGTATAAAGCTGCGTGCTGTATTCCCATTTAATGTTGGCTTTATTATTGCCTGTGCACCCCGCTGTGACTGCCAGAAATATCGATCTCGCTTCAAGCATACATAGTAACGTCCGTTATCATCTCTCAAAAGTAATAGCTAGTGATAAATGTACATTGAAGGTCAACGCCTCACATCTGAACGGGAGCAAAATCTTGTTTGGCAGCATGTTTCCAGAAATTGACAAATCTAGCCCAAAACTGTCAACTTATACATATTATCTATGTAGAAGTTATAGGCTAGACTGAGGTATGCTTCTAGTGAGTACAACCAACTAGTATTTGTTCTAGGTTTCCACCTCTAGTAATCATTTCGTTTCTACGTTAACATGGTATCACGCTTAGGTTAGGATCCCCCCGCCTACCGCTTCCGCCCGTCGCGCCTCCTAGGCCCCGTCGCGCCCCCTAGGCCCCGTCGCGCCCCCCCTGGGCCCCGTCGCGCTCGTTAGGCCCCGTCGCGCCCCCCCTGGGCCCCGTCGTGCCCGCTGGGCCCCGTCGCGCCTCCTAGGCCCCGTCGCGCTCCCCCTGGGCCCCGTCGCGCCCGCTGGGTCCCGTCGCGACCCCTAGGCCCTAACGCGCCCCCGCTGGGCCCCGTTGCGCCTCCTAGGCCCCGTCGCGCCCCCCATGGGCCCCGTCGAGCCCGCTGAGCCCCGTCGTGCCTCCTAGGCATCGTCGCGCCTCCTAAGCCCCGTCGCGTCCCCCCCCTCTGGGCCCCGTCGCGCCCGTTCGGCCCCGTCGCGCCCCTCCTAGGCCCCGTCGCGCCCCTCCTAGGCCCCGTCGCGCCCGCTGGGCCCCTTCGCGCTTCCTAGGCCCCGTCGCGCCTGCTAGGCCCCGTCGCGCCCCCCCTGGGCCCCGTCGCGCCCGTTAGGCCCCGTCGCGGCCCCCCTGGGCCCCGTCGTACCCGCTGGTCCCCGTCGCGCCTCCTCGGCCCCGTCGCGCCCCCCCTGGGCCCCGTCGTGCCCGCTGGGCCCCGTCGCGCCCCTTAGGCCCCGTCGCGCCCGCTGGCCCCTGTCGCGCCTGCTGTTAGCGCTCGCCCGCCTGACCTCCTCCTAGTGCCGCTCGGCCTCCTCCTAGTGCCGCCCGGCCTCCTCCTAGTGCCGCCCGGCCCCTTCCTAGCGCCGCCCGGCCTCTCCTCAGCGCTGCCCGGCCTCTCCTCAGCGCTGCCCGGCCCCTCCTCGTGCCCGACCGGCCCCAGCAGCACCAGCCTGGCCCCTCCCAGCACCAGCCCGGCCCCAGAGCACCTGCCCGCCTCCCCTGCTCGGCCTGCCGTGTCCTCTCGGGCCCTGTGTCTTCTGCTTGCCTGCGCTGGGACGCCTAGCTGCTGCCCTACTGGAGAGTGCTGCCGCCGTGTCCCCGCGCCGCTGTGCTCCTGTGCCGCTGAGGAGCTGTGCTGCTGTGCCGCTGTGTCGCTGAGGAGCTGTGCCGCTGACCCTGCACGATGGCTGACTTTGTGCTCCGCCTGGACGCTGAGGGCCACGCGGTTGACTTCGCCGCCTGGCTCTCCGATCTTCGCCGCCAGCTTACAGGTCAGCGCCAGGATGGCCACTCTCTGGTTGTCCATGTTGATGGCTTGCTCCCCCGTCCCCCTGCACCTACTCCCCTCCCTGCTGACCCCTCCTCTGATGACCGTGAGGCTTTCTCTACTGCTGCGCTGGCCTGTGCGGTCTGGGACTCACGCGATGCAGTAGCTCAGGTTGCTATTAGTCACGCCCTCCCTGTGTCTGAGCGCTCGCGTTTTGCTACTGTTGAAACGGCCAACGCTTATTTAGACGCCGTTATTGCTCGCTATTCCACCCCTGCCTCCGCTTCTGCTGGCCACTTGCTCTTTCCGATGCTGTTCCCAGACCTGGCTGCCTTCCCTACTGTCGCAGATTTTGCCACTCATTTGCGTGCCCTAGAGACTCGCTATCGCACTGCCAGCACTGCTGCCGAGCTCACTGCGCTCCCCCCTCCTTTCTGCATGACGCTCTATTTTATCGCTATGCGCCTGCCAGACCGCCTCGCTAGTGCTCGCGACCACTTTCTTAGCCAGCACCCGGGTGACCTCACCCTGACCGCCTTTGTCGACACCCTCACTGAGATCGAGACTCGCCAGCGCACTATCGCTCAGTCGAGCGGTGCGCCGGCAGTCTCTATCTTTCACGGCTGTGCCCCATCCCAGTGCACATTCACTGACGTTTCGGCTGCGGTCGCCACGGCGACCCCTCTTACCGAGACGGCTGCTGCTGTCCACCCGCAGCAGCGCTCGCGTCGCGGTGGCCGTGGCCGCCAGGGAGGTAGGGGTGGTGACGCAGGTGGTAGTGGTCGTGGTGGTGGTGACGGTAGTCCGCCTGAGGGGACTACCACCGGTGGGCAGGAGCAGCAGCCCCAGCAGCAGCAGGACCAGCCCCAGCCGCAGCCGCCGTCCCAGCAGCACCCGCCGCAGCCGTGGGCTCGTCTCCCGCCTGGTTGGCCCGGCACCTCCGGAAGCGGTGGCCGTGGTGGCGGCCCGCGCAGCTTGGCGTCTACCAGCGGCTCCAGTGCTGTGACCTGCCAGTACCAGCTTCAGACCGGGCCTCTCCGCGGCACTCTGTGCCGCCGCCCGCACCCGACCGCCCGCTGTTTCCGCCGCCTCGACGATCTTTTTCGTCGTCGCTTTGGCCCGGCCCCGGACCTCCCTGACTGGCACAGCCTGCTCCGCCAGGGCGTGCCAATCTTTGAGTTAGACATGGATCAGATAGGTGCTGCTTTGCATGCTTTGTATGCTGACGCTTCTAGTGTTGCTGGATCTTACTACCCTGTGTACTCTAGTTTAGGTGTTTCACCCTTGTGTAGCTTAGCTTCCCCTGCTGCGACAGGCGTAGGACTGCCTAGGTTGCCTAGTCTAGTCGCTGCACCGGCTCCGTCCCCGGCCTCCGCCACTGCGTCGCTGTCCTTCACTCTCGACTCTGGTGCTTCTGCCTGCTTCTTCCGCGACCGTTCCACGCTCACGCCGCTTGCTGCACCTGCTGTTGTCTCTCTCGCTGACCCCTCTGCGGGTCCGGTCGTCGCGCGCAGTTCTACGTCCCTTCCCTGTCCGGCAGTTCCCTCGGGCTCCCTTACTGGCCTCCACGTTCCCTCGTTCTCCAGGAACCTGGTTGGTGTCGGCTGTCTCCAGGACCTCGGCGTCACCACCACGTTCCCCGGGCACGAGCGGTTCGCTGTCTGTTCTGAGGCTGTCTCAGGTTCCCCCCTTGCGACGTTCCCCCGGGACCCGGTGTCCGGTCTGTTTACCCTACACACCGCTTCCCCCCCGGTTGGTGCGTCCTCCCAGGTCGCTGCAGCTTGCTCGTGTCGGTCCCTCACTCACCCCTCCCTTCTCTGGCACCACCGCTTAGGTCACCCTGCTCTCCCGCGTCTGCGTCACATGTCCCAGCACGGTCTTGTCTTAGGTCTCCCCGCGTCGCTCCCTGCCCTTCCTCCCTCGACTGCGCCACCGTGCACGCCTTGCGTCGAGGGTCGGCTCCGCCGTGCTCCTCACTCCTCCTCGCTGCGTCCTGCTACTGCCCCCCTTCAGACCCTGCACTTGGACGTTTGGGGCCCTGCCCCCGTCCCCGGACCGCGCGGTGAGCGCTACTTCCTTGTGCTCGTCGACGACTACACGCGCTACACCACGGTGTTTCCCCTGGAGCGGAAGGCCGACGTGCCCGACGTTCTTCTCCCGTGGGTTGTGGCTGCGCGTCTCCACCGCGGTCTCCCCGTGTTGTGTCTCCACTCCGACCGTGGCGGCGAGTTCGCCTCTGGTCGGCTTGGACAGTTCTGTCGTGCGGAGGGCATCACCCAGTCGTACACGTTGCCAGACTCGCCACAGCAGAATGGGGTTGCTGAGCGCCGCATCGGCTTGGTCATGGAGGTCGCCCGTACCTCCATGATCCATGCTGATGCCCCCCATTTTCTGTGGCCGTTCGCTGTTCGCTACGCGGCTCACCAGCTTAACCTGTGGCCACGCTCCCAGCGGCCGCAGGTTTCGCCGACCCTCCTTTGGACCGGGTCCCCCGGTGACGCGTCTGCGTTCCACGTCTGGGGCTGCCTTGCTCACGTTCGTGCCTCTGGCACGGACAAGCTCACTGCCCGCACTGTCCTCTGTGTCTTCCTCGGTTTCCCCCTGGACTCGTCTGACTGGCTTTTCTACCACCCGCCGTCTCACCGCTTCCTCCACTCTCGTGACGTCACCTTTGACGAGTCCGTCTCCTTCTACCGCCGCTTCCCTCACCGAGGTCTCCCAGTTGCCCCCCCCCTTTTCCTTGCTCCCTCTCCCCCGGTAGCCCCTGCCCCTCTCCCGCCTCGTCCTGCCCCGTCTGGTGTCTCCCACGTCACTCCCCTCCCGTCGGTTGTCCCCGTTGAGGAGTCTGCTGACTTTGGTGGTACCCCCGGTCCGTCCTTGCCGCGTCCCCCTTCCCCGGTGCCTCCGCCGCCACTGTCGCAGTCGCCGACCCCGCTGCCGCCGCCGTCGCCGTCGCCGCCGCAGCCGTCGCCGCTGTCGTCGCCGCCGCCGCCGCTGTCGTTGCCGCAGCCGTCGCCGCTGTCGCCGCCGCCGCAGCCGTTGCCGCCACTGCCGCCGCTGCTCTCGGCCCCTGAGGGTGCTGGTGTGGAGGAGGGTGTTCGTCCTGCGGCTTCTGGGGGTGCCGCTGGTGTTGGAGGGGGTTCTCGCTCTGGGGGTGTTGGTTCTGGGGGTGCTGCTGTTGAGTGTTCTGCCGACGGTCGTTCTGCCTCTGCTGGTCCGAGAGTTCCGGCCCAGCCGTCGTCGCCGCCGCAGCAGCCGTCGCCGCCGGTTTCCGCTCTCCGCCTGCTCGGCCTTCCCTCCCCGGACCGCGCGCCGGTGTCTCCCCCACCGCCTCCTGACCTCCCTGTCTACGGTCCTGTGTTCCCGCCGCCAGACTCGTCTCCGGCCCGTCTTCCTCCTCGTTCCCCTCCTGTGTCTCCTCCGCTGTCCCCTGACCCTACCCCTCCGTCTCACGTTTGGGCTCGCCGTCCCTCCCGTGCTCGTCCCGTCTCTCCTGTCCTGCCCACCCACCCTATGTTGCTCCGTTCCCACTCGTCTCGTCCTCCCCTCCTCCCGTCCCCTCCTCCCTCGTCCCTTGCTGTTGCACCTCCTCCGTTCTCTGACTACCTCCGTGCTGCTCGTCCCCTTGTCCCCCGGGTCCTTGCCTCTCTTGTTACCGACCCTGCTGTTCCTGTCTCGCGCCTTGACGCGCTTGTCGCTGCTGTCGCTGACTTCGCTTCTACCCGCCGCCTTGACTACGCTACCGCTCTGGTCTCTGACCCTGCCCGTCCTCTGTCCGTCGGGGGTGCTCCTGCCCTTGGCAGTGACGTCCTAGAGGACAGGCAGTACGAGCTGGCTTTCCTTTCCGAGGCTGCTCCCCATCTCTGCTCCATGCTGTTAGTCCCTGAGGGTGACCCAGACGCCTTCGACATCCCGACCCCTCGCACCTACGCTGAGGCCACCTCGGGACCTTGGGCCTCTCAGTGGATAGCTGCCATGGAGCAGGAGATGGCATCTTGGAGATCCACCGGCACTTACGTCGACGCAGTTCCCCCGCCTGGGGTGAACGTAGTCGATGGTCGGTGGCTCTTCAAGGTGAAGCGCCCCCCTGGAGAGCCGCCTGTCTTCAAGGCGCGCTACGTGGCCAGAGGTTTCAGTCAGCGCGAGGGGGTTGACTTCTTCCAGACCTTCGCCCCGACCCCGAAGATGACCACTCTTCGGGCGCTGCTACACGTAGCAGCACAGCGTGACTACGAGCTTCACTCCCTCGACTTCTCTACTGCCTTTCTTCAGGGCAGCCTACACGAGCAGGTCTACCTGCGCCGACCACAGGGCTTCACTGGTACCTTCCCTCCTGGGACCCAGTGGCTTCTCAGGCGCCCGGTCTACGGCCTGCGTCAGGCTCCCCGCGAGTGGCACGACACGCTACGTGCCACGTTAGCAGACCTGCAGTTCTTTCCGTCCTCTGCTGACCCTTCACTGTTTGTGCGTTCCGGCCAGACTCCGTTCTACATCCTTGTCTACGTAGACGACCTGGTCTTCGCTACTCCTGACAGGGACGCACTGGCCTCTGTGAAGGCTGAGCTGCTGAAGAGACACACCTGCACTGACCTTGGAGAGCTGCGTCGCTATCTTGGCCTGCAGATCTCTAGGGACAGAGCAGCACGCACCATCACTCTGACCCAGTCACACTTGGTGCGTCAGGTCCTTCAGAGGTTCGGTCTTCAGTTCTCCTCCGCACAGCCCACACCTCTACCCGTAGACCATGGGCTCTCTGCTCCCGTTCCTGAGGAGCCAGTAGAGCCCAGTGGCCCCTACGCAGAGCTGGTGGGTTGCCTCATGTACCTGATGACTTGCACTCGCCCAGATCTCGCATACCCTCTCAGCATCCTGGCTCGCTTTGTGGCTACAGGCAGACACCGACCTCAGCACTGGTCTGCCGCTAAGAGGGTTTTGCGTTATCTTGCTAGTACATCAGGCATGGGGTTAGTGTTAGGAGGACGCAGGCCAGTGGTCCTTACGGGGCACACAGACGCTTCTTGGGCAGACGACGCTGAGACGCTCAGGTCGTCGCAGGGCTACTGTTTCAGCCTTGGTTCGGGTGCTATCTCTTGGAGATCCACTCGCTCGTCGTCTGTGGCTCAGTCTAGCTGTGAGGCTGAGATCTACGCTGGTGCCATGGCGGCACAGGAGCTCCGCTGGCTGACCTTCTTGCTCACAGACTTAGATGAGCAGCCTAGCTCTGCCCCGGTCCTGTACGCTGACAACAGGGCCATGATACTCCTGTGTCAGGAGCCTCGGCTTGAGGGCAGAGCGAAGCATATCCAGCTGCGGTACTTCCTCCTGCGCGAGCTACAGCAGCGCCGCCAGGCCCGCGTAGTTCACTTGGCCTCAGGTGCCAACACAGCTGATATCTTTACTAAGGCGCTTGCGCCTAAAGATCATCAGCGGCACTGTGTACAGCTTGGTCTTGTTCCTATAGCGGCTCCCCTGTTAGGATCCTGATTGTGTACTCTCTATTATATATGCTTGTCAGACTGGCCTTGTGGCCTTACCTCCAGTGGCTGGACTAGTAGTGCCACCCTGGCTTGCTTCAATTTTTGTTGTATTCTTGCTGACTGGTCTCCAGACCCCTGCCTCAGTGGTTGGACTAGTAGTGCCGCCCTGAGCTGTTTGCTTCTTGTTTAGTTTCACCCCTTGTCTAGCCTAGGGGGTGTGTCAACTTATACATATTATCTATGTAGAAGTTATAGGCTAGACTGAGGTATGCTTCTAGTGAGTACAACCAACTAGTATTTGTTCTAGGTTTCCACCTCTAGTAATCATTTCGTTTCTACGTTAACAAAAACAAGGCATTCCGAACACCAAACACCATGATTATATCCACCGTGTCTGTCTAGGATCCATGAGCCCTCTTACGGACGGATACCAAAACTTTTGAACTCCGGACCCTTTTGCCCACTGTGCCTCATCGAACTATCACCACCACACATACATCGTAGCACACCTCAAACAGCTCGGCCGATTGGCTAATGCAGTGAGTAACTATCTTAGGCGAGATGAGTTGTAGCGGCTCTTTGGGTTGCATGGAGCGGGCGGGCCTGGGTCGTCCCATGTGCATTCCCAGTGCCAACTCCATGTGGCATGTTATGCATGTGAGGCATGTTATGCATGTGAGGCATGTTATGCATGTGAGGCATGTTATGCATGTGAGGCATGTTATGCATGTGAGGCATGCCGATTCCTGGCCCCCTTCCTTTACCACCTCCCCCTCCCCTTCCCCCTCCTCTTCCCCCTCCTTTGCCTCCCGGCCCTCTTCGCCGCAGCACTCCTCCACCTTGCCCTGCATCCCCTTGCACTCCTCCCCCTTGCACTGTATCCCCTTGCACTCCTTCCCCTTGCCCTGCATCCCCTTGCACTCCTTCCCCTTGCACCGTATCCCCTTGATCTCCTGTCTCCTTGGATTGCCATCGAGCCTGCAGTGCTCCATTATAAGCATTCCTTGGACTCGCTAAAGGCTGCCCACATGCTGTAATACACCGTCGCATGATGCCTTCTCCTGCACTATAGCTGCCAGAGTCGGCAGCTCGCTCTTTGGTGCTGCTGCTCATGCTCATGCTGCTGCTGCTGTTGTTGCTGCCGTGCCTGCAGCTCCCACTGCTGCCGCCGCTGCTGGTACCTTCCTGTCTTACCAACTCCCTGCTGCTGCCTCTGCAGCTGCTGCTGCTACTCACGCTCTCGCTTTTCGCCATCCTAGCAGAAGCAGAAACACCCTCACCAGCACCACCAGCACCACCAGCACCACCAGCACCACCAGCAGCAGCACCAGCAGCAAGGGAAGCCCAGGGCAGAGCACCCATAGAAGGACTCTTCTTGTGCCGAGCCACCACGTGCACCTTTCTTGCACCTCCCCCCTCCACCACCCCACTCACCTGCGCCCCGCACACCCCCGCTCCTCCTCCCACCCTAGAGGCATCAGCAGACAGCAGAGCCTGTTGCTGAGACACCTCAGAAGCACACGGCTCTGCTCCACGCCCCGTCCTCGACACACCCGCAGTGAACAAAGTGCCGGCAGCACTGCTGCTGCTGGAGGGGCTGCTTCTGCTGCTGCTGCTGCTTCTGCTGCGGCTAGTAGCCATTGTGGCAGTCCGGCTGCGTTTGATGGCACTAGGGACTTCCAGAGGGCTACAGGCTGCTTGCACGGGTTTGAGCGCGTGAGAGGAGGAAGAGAGGGAAGAGAGGGAAGAGAAGGAGCGGTGGAGAGGGGAGGGGTGGTGTGGAGGGCGGAGAGGGGAGCGGTGGAGTGAGGGAGAGGAGGAGTGAGGTGAGGAGTGAGGGGAGGAGTGAGGGGAGGAGAGAGCGGAGGAGATGGAGTGAGGGGAGGAGGAGCACGAGTGAGGGGAGTTGTGTGTGGGGGTGTGGGAGGAGTGTAAGGCGATGTGCTGCAAGGGCGAGAAGGTATGGGTGGGGGTGGGGGCACGGCGGGGAGGGACAGAATCAAGGTGGCACTGCTTCGGCTGCGGCTGGTGAGGGGAATTGATAAGGGCATGCGGAGAGGAATGGGAGTCCCCACGTGGTGCAGCAGCAAGACTGGCAGCAGGCCGAGCATTGTAAGGGTTCGCAACAGGGGTGCTACCCGCCCCTGGACTCCTTAATTCAACAGGAACAGGATTGGGACAGAGAGGCCCAGGAGCAGAGAGAGAACCAAGAGAGGTGGTAACGACTCCTGTTGGGCCTCTGTAAGGGCTGCTGTAACCAGAGCTGCCTCTACCACCAGTGCCTTGTTTGAGTTGCTTGTTCACTGCCTCCGCACCCTCCGGGCCCTTCACTACTGGAGCAATGCCGCCCGGCTCAGCGGCCCACACTGTCTCCCTAAGATCCAGTGATAGGGACAAGCGTCGCCGCCTCACTCTTTCGTGCTGCTGCTGCTGCTGGCGTTGCTGCTGCCATTGCCTCTGGTGCTGCTGAAGCTGGTACTGGTGCTGCTTTGAGACTGGCAGCTGCTGTGCGGTAGAATGCGGTTGGGATGGGTGCAATTTCCATGGCCTCTGCAGGTTCGCAGCAGCAATGGTGCAGAATCCCCCCTTTCCCTGGTCAACAAGAGAGGGAGCAGCGCGTGCTATGGGAATGATCTCGTCTGCTTCTGCAGCACCGGCCCACACTGTCTCTCGCAGGTCTAGGGACAGGGACATGCGCCGATGATTCATATGGCGCTGCTGCTGCTGCTGCTGCTGGTTCTGGTGCTGCTGCTGCATTTGCTGTTGCTGTTGCTGTTTCTGCTGTTGCTGCTGCTGCTGGTTCTGGTTCTGTTTCTGCTGCTGCTGTTGCTGCTGCTGTTGCTGTTGCTGCTGCTGGTGTTGCTGCTGCTCGTGCGGCCGGTGCAGCTGAGGGGTAGGATGCTGTTTCCGTGTGTGTGAAGGCTTCATTGCGTTATTAGTGGGAGAGGGGGAGGAGGAGGAGGAGGAGGAGGAGAAGAAGGAGGAGGTGCTGAGAGGCGCAGCAGAGAGAGGAGAAAGTGAGGAGGGAGAAGAGGAGGGAGAAGAGGAGGGAGGAGGTTGATAGGAAGAGGGAGAGGAGGAATTTGGGAAGGAAGAAGAGGAGGGGAAGGAAGAGAGGGGTTTGGATGGGGGGATGAGAGCGGAAGAGGAGTGCGATTTGACAGAGAGGGGGCCGGGTTTAGGCAGGGAACGAGGGGAGGGGGGTAGGAGAGAGGAAGACTGGGGAGAGGGGGGTTGAGAAGAAGGGAGGTGGGGAGAAGGGAGGTGAGGAGATGCGGGTAGAGATGAGAAGGGGCGGGGTGAGGGAAAGTGGGGAGAGGGGGAGTGGCTGGCAGAGTTCGGGGGCAGGGAGGAGCTTGGAAGGTGTGGGGAGCCGTGAGAAGGAGAGCGAGGGGAGAGGTGAGGGAGGGGGTAAGAGGAGAGAGTGCATGAGAGGGCAGAGGGTTTTGAATGGTCTGCTGCAGCAAAACCTGTTGTAGCATCAGAAGCATAACCTGAGACAGCACCTGCAGAAGCACCTGAGGCAGCACCAGAAGCAGCACCTGAGGCAGAACCTGTGGCAACACCTGAGGCAGCACCTGAGGCAGCACCTGCAGAAGCACCCGAAGCAGCACCTGAAGCAGCACCTGAAGCAGCACCTGAGGCAGCACCTGAGGCAGCACCTGAGGCAGCACCTGAGGCAGCACCTGCAGAAGCACCCGAAGCAGCACCTGAAGCAGCACCTGAAGCAGCACCTGAGGCAGCACCTGAGGCAGCACCTGAGGCAGCACCTGGCGGAGAAGGTAAGCCTCGGAAAGGGGAGGCTGCAGGCGTGGCTTCCGTCCCCTTGCCCTCGCCGTGCAACGCGCTCATGCTCCTGCTCCTACTCATACTCATTCCCGTACCTGCAACGGTCCCACCACCCTGTGCTCCGTGCACCATGGCCCCTATATCTGTGCTCTGAGCTGCTGCTGTCAAACCCCTCCCATTTCTCGACCCCACTCCTGCAGAGGAGTCCATTCTTGGAACTCTCATTCTCCCCCTATCCGTCAGCCCCCCGTTGGCAACACGAGGGGAGAGGCAGGGCGCATCCCCTGCCTTCCCTTCCCCTCCGCCTCCTCCTCCTCTGCTCCCCCCCTTGCCTCCTCCGCCCATCCCCCCGTCCCTCCCGCCGCTGCCTCCACTGACGTCCCCGCTGCCCCTGGGGCGTCCCCACTGCGCGCTGCCTGCTCCCCCTCGTCCACTGAGCGACGCCTGCGCGCTGGCGGAACGGGGGGATCTCAGCGCATGTGCTTCCCCCCCGCTGCCTTCCGCGCTGCCCCTGGGGGATGCCGCCAGCGCACTGGCGGAACGCGGGGATGCGATACCATGTGCTTCCGCGCTGCCCCTGGGCCCTTCCCACTGCACCCTACCTGCTCCCCCCCCTCCCCCCCCTCCTCTGGGCGACGCCTGCGCGCTGGCGGAACGGGGGGATCTTATGGGGGGGGGCGCATAGCTGGGGGGAGAGGGGCGGGGGGAGGGGAGAGGGGAGGCAAGCGGAGAGGCGAAAGGATAGGCGCGGGGAAAGGCGAGGGACGAGGGGCGGGGAGAGGGGAGAGGAGAGGAGCGGGGGGAGGGTAGGGGGGAGGGTAGGGGGGAGGGTAGGGGACTAGCAAAGCAGGTGAGGGGGAATGGGGCGGATGCTACTGCTGCTGCTGCTGCTGCTGCTGCCGCCGTTGGTGCTGCTGCTCCTGATTCCACTGCTGCTGCTGCTGCTGCTGGTTCACGCGTTTCAAAAGAAAGACCTTCAGCATCAACAAGTGCCCCTTCAGCAGCGTTGGCCGCAACAGGTGCCGCAGGTGAAGCAGCAGCAGCAGAAGGAGAGACACTCTCGGTAGTAGTGGAGAGAAAAGGGGAGTGCGGGGGGGAGTGTGGGGGGGAGTGCGGAGGGGAGTGCGGAGAGGAGTGCGGAGGGGAGTGCGGAGGGGAGTGCGTCCCCAGCACCATCCCATCCAGCCTCGCTTCAAAGTCCTCCAACGCTCGAGACACCGCCTCTTGGCAGTCCTGCAGCAAGCCTGCCAAGCCTGACGGGCAGGCTTGGAAAGTGCAGGCTCGGGCGGTGGAGGTTTGGGAGGAGGGACAGGGCTGGGAAGCGGACGGCTGGCTCTGCAGTGTGGGGGGTGTGGGGGGTGTGGAGGTTGTGGGGGGTGTGGAGGTTGTGGGGGGTGTGGAGGTTGTGGGTGGCGCAACAAGCGCTCGACAATCGTCGGCGGCAGCTGCCAGAAGAGAGGACCGAGGAGCAGCAGGAGGGACGGACGGAGGGACGGACGGAGGGACGGACGAAGGGACGGACGGGGGGACAGACGGAGGGACGGACGGAGGGACGGACGGAGCAGCAGAAGCAGCAGCAGCAGCAGCAGCACCACCACCACCACCACCACCATCACCAGCAGCAGCAGCAGCAGCACCACCAGCTCCAGCACCAGCGCCAGCACCAGCCGCGACGGCGCTGGCGGCAGCGGCGGCGACAGTTGCCGCATTGGTGTCGGCAGAAAGGGCAGTAGGGGAGGAGGAGGCGGAGGAGAGGGGGGAGGGGGGATTGGTGGAGGATTGGGAAGAAGCGGAGAAAGGGGAAGTTGGGGCGGAGAAGGAAGACGGGGATGAGGCGGAAGAGAAGGAGAAGGGGGAAGAGGCGGAGGAGGAGGGGAGGGAGTGCGGGGAGAAGCCCATACAGGGGGAGAGGGGGAGGGAGAGGGGGCTTTTGGGCGGCAGACAGGAGACTCGGCCAGTTGGGTTCTTGTTTGTTATGCTGCTGCTGTTAGTGGAGCTGTTGATGGTGCTTCTGCTGCTGCTGCTGCTGCTGCTGCTGCTGCTGCTGCTGCTGCTGCTGCTGGTAATGGTGGCGCTTCTGCTGCCGCCGGTGGTGGTCGTGCTGCTGCTACGCGTGGTGGTGCCGCCGCTAGTATTGCCGCTGCTGCTGCTGAGCCCGTTGCTGGCGATGCTCGTTGTGCTCGCCTCGCTGCTGCTGCGGCTGAACAGGTGCGCGGAATGCTTTTGAGTCGACTCAAAAGCGGAATCAGGCGAATCCCCCCCACCCGCACCTCCCCCGCCTTGCCCCACCCCACCTGCCCACACCCCACGTGCTGCTCTCCTCGCTAATAGGTTTGCAGAAGATTTCCCACCTGCCCCTCCCCCTGCCCCTCCCCCTGCCCCTCCACCTGCCCCTCCCCCTGTCCCTCCCCCTGCCCCTCCCCCACCGCTCACGCCTGCCCCTCCTCCAGCGGGCCCCGCGGTTTCCGCCACGCCTCCGACATTCCCGAAATTATGGCCCCACCCATTCCCTGCCCCACTGCCTGACCCACTCCCAGCAGCAGCAGCAGCAGCAGCAGCAGCAACATTCCTGGTGCGACTCCCGCTGTCGCCTCTCTTGCCGCACGAGTTACGGCTGCTGCTGCTGCTGCTGCTGGTGTTGCCGCCGTTACTGTCACTCTCGCTAACGGAACTACAAGCATGAATCCTCCCGTCGCTTTTCACTGTCAGCCCTCCCACGCTCTCCCCCCGGCCATCTCTCGAACCATCTCGCGAACCATCTTCCCCCTCCTTCCCTCCTCTTCTCCCGCTCCTCCCGCCCCTCCCGCCTCTTCCTCCCCTTCCCCCCAGCCCTTCTCTTTCCCCTCGCCATCTTCCCCCTGCTCCTATACCATTTCCATCCAGTCTCCCTTCACCAGACCATCCGCTACTACTTCTCGTTTCCGCCGCATGAATTCCGCTGCCCTCCTCGTTTCGGCGGAGCCGCACTCCCCTCCCATCGTCCCCGTCCCCTCCCCCGTCCTTGCCGCGCCGCCGGCTCTCCCCCCCGACCTGAATCGCGCTCCGCGCGTGGCGCATCTCCTGCGCTTTCCGCTCCTCCGGATGTATCTCCGCCTGCGCTAACTTCTCCGCATCTTCCCCTCGTGCCGGCGCACGCGCGGAGAACGAGTCCGCGGAAAAGATTGCGTCGGCCGGCGCACGTGCGGAATACTCCGAGTCTGTGTTCGCACGAGCGAACAGATCCGACTCGGCCGGCGCACGTGCGGATGGCTCCAATGAGCCGTCCGTCCTTGTCGCGACGCTAAAATAGAGGGCATTCGAATCGACGCGACGCGACTGGTGAGCCAAAGTCCCCATTTTGGCTCGCTATACCCCGCGAATGCGATTGCGTCAAGCAGCAGCGGGTCAAATACATCGCGATTCGGATCAGCGCGTCAGAAAAGGAGACGGTACGGCAGGGTGACGGTCATTCAGTCGGTGGGTTTTCAGACGACTCAAAAATCACCGGCGGTACGGCGGAGCGACGTTTGAGTTGACTCAAGAGAGGAGGCGGTACGGCGGAGTGAGGGTCATTCACTCGAGAGGAGTGAAGAATTCTAAAAAATCGCGCACAATGGGTGGGGGGAGTGGAGGGAGAAGGGAGAGTGGGGTTGGATTATTGTGCGATCTGGGGAAGCGAGGGGGATCTGGTAGATGGACGGAATGCTCCTGATTCTTATGATAGCAATATAGTTTCAAGAGGTCTCAAAACTAGTTTTCTAGCGGGGGGGATCTGGTGGACGGACGGAATGCTCCTGATCTTCGGCTTATGGCGGAGCGACTTCGCCAAGCGATACTGATTAACGTGGAGGAGAGATCGAAGTTTAGCGCGAGCGACTCGTAAAAAATAATGAGTCGGAATCAAAAGCAGGCTCGTCAAACCCTAATTGTCGGGTGCGGATTCAACGTACGGCAAGAAGGACATGCAAGCTCGTGAAACGAGATCCGAGCTGAGGAAGTCAGAGCGACGGCAGCGCGCGCCATGGTGACGCGGAGCCGGCACGACTCTGGGAGGGAGGGATGACGGTGCAGCACTGTACGCTACTTGCTCTGTTTCTGCATCTGCTACTTTTGCAGCCACTGCTGCATTGCTGCTTTTGCTGTGCTTAGGTGGGATGGATCAAGATTCAGGGGCGATGCATGGAGAGGCAAGGCGGAATGAGAAGGCAGAGCGGGACGGGTCACGGGAGTTGGGAGTCGGGACGGGACACGTCAAGAGAATCCGGGAAGGGATGGATGGAAGGGGAGGGGAGGGAGGGAGGGAGGGAGGGAAGGAGGGAGGGAGGGAGAGGAGGGTGGGTGACCCGACGGGCAGGTGCCACGGGCAGATTTCACGGGCAGGTGTCCTGGGCAGGAATCGTTGAGGGGTGAGGTGAGGTGATCCTGCTGCGCTCGAGGGGTTTTGATTCGTGGGGTTTTGTTTTGAGCTCTGCCCGACCGATTGTTTTGTGCTCCTTCCTCGCTTGCTGCCCCTCCAACCTGGAGGGGTAGCGCGTGCGACATGTGGTACGAGACCAGCCGAGGGGACTTGGCTCCTTGAAATCTCCTCCGCGCAATGGATAGGGGCCGAGAAAACGGCATTCTGACACACCAATCAGCTGCGTCAGCATGCGCTTCCTGGTGAGACTGGTTGGGTGCGGGAAAATATGCCCGTTGTGCTCTCACTAAGCGCGTTGTTTAGTCTAACAACTCAACCATGCTCACCTCCTGCTATCCACCGTTTGGCGCGGTGTGAATAATTGCTCAGTAAATATCTTCTATTGGGGCACTTACTCATTTGGCCATCTTTTGAAAACTTGCACCCGATCGGAACATATCTTCCAATACAGTTCGAATGGCCAGTTGCGCAACAACTGGAGTCATCCGTCTCATCGAAGGAAACAATTCCAGCACCCGCATCAGTCATGAGATGCGACGAGTGGTGGGATGCACAGCGATAAGGTCACTGCTGGGCAAAAACATGTCAAAGTTACATGCAGTACACCCGAAGTGAACTAAACATCTTCTAACCAAACAGTCAAAGTCAAACCATCCATCTTCTTATCACCATCCAGCTCTACCCTGGCGCATCTTTGCCTCCTCAAGTTAGGTCCTGACCATCCCAGAAACTTATGGACATTACCCATCCTCATAGGACCATGTGGTCTAATGATGCGTGCTGACATCACCTTGGATATAGAAAGCGGGCAATGGGAGCGGTCGAGGCGGCGTAAAAACGATGTACGATTGTACACACTAACCACACCAGCGTTTGACTCTTTGGGAGAACCCATATTGAGGCGCTGCACCTCGGTGGGGCTGGAAGTGTTGGTGACAATTTGGCCTACATGGGATGCATACATTGTAAAGGGTAGGCTGCATAACTCATGCGGGGGAGCATCATCCTGCAAGAAGGGTGGGGAAAGGGATAAATGAGCTGGCAGGTAAAGGCAAATTTCCCCGAAACAAGAAGTCATGCATACATACACATCCCCTCCCCCCATCCCCCTCCCCCCCCCCCCCCCACAACACCCACTCCCTTTCACATTCACACATGCACAGCCCTACAGGAGCACACACACACCTCTGGCAACCTGGTGTCAAAGGTGAAAGCTGTGGGGTCCGCACTCCCCACAAAGGAATAGAAGGTGCGCTCCGCCCTCACCAGGTCCGACAGCAGCCGGGCCTTACTTGGAAGGGAAGGGGAGGGAGTGGAGGAGGGCACGGCACGGAGTAAGCAACGGCAGAAGCTGCCATTCCTTATATATTGTTATCCTTTTTTTCTTTTCTTTTCTTTTGGGTATATGTATCAGTCTATAGCCTGCCCAATCGACCTTGTCAGGTTCAAACTTACCCCGGGATGTATGTTGATGCCAGAGCCTCACGGCATTGTGGCTGTCCACTGAGAGCTGGAGGGGCGACCCTGCTGGCTTTATACCCCGGCCCTGGCTCCGTACTATTGACGCCCACACCTTGGCCTGACTATCAACCTACCCCGGGGTAGATCTTGATGGCGAAACCCCACGATATGGCGGCTGTCCAGTGAGCGCTGGAGGGAGGGTTAGGGCAGGCACCATGAGGGAACCCTTGAGTGCTTCAAGTGTGAGGCTTTTTAGTCGACTCAAAAAGGTTTTTTAGTCGACTCAAAAGGCCCAGGAGATGGCTGCTGTCCACTGGGAGATGGAGGGAGGACGAAAGATGGCAGAATGCGGAAATGAGAGAGGGAGTGTGAGACGCAGGGAGCGGGAGGGTGAGTGAGGATATGTGAGGGATTATGAGTATGTGAGGGACGGGCAGAAGGAGTGTGCATGCGTTTACTCAACTGTACGCACGTGCTCATGTGCATGCACGCGAGTGTGCATGCCTGTACGCTAGTGTCTGTGGATACGTGAGCATACATCGACACCCAATGCAGATGTCACAAAGGTACATAAACATCCTCCCTTTCCCCCTTACCCATCGCCACACACTGCCAGCTGTGCGAACCCCACTGGGTCCGGCCGTATCCTCTCCGCCAGCGTGGCCAGCCCCTCTGCCCGGTCAGCAACGCCAGCTGGCAGCAGGAGGGGGTCAACGAAGTCAAGGTGGTGCAGGGAGAGCAGCGGCCGCAGGGGGTGCGCCATGAGGAGTCCGAAGAGGCTTCCTCCGAGGTCTATTTGATGAAACCCGGTTGTGGGGGTGAGGGAAACCTGCAAGCACGGGGAGGAGGGGATTGGAGCGGGTCAAAGAAGTCAAGATGGTGCAGGGAGAGCAGCGGCTGGAGGGGGTGCGCCATGAGCAGCGCAAAGAGACTGCCGCCCAGATCGACCTGGTGGAAGCCGGACGTGGGGGTGAGGTACACCTGTGCGTTAAGGGGGGGGGGGGAGTAGGAAAGGAGGCGCACTGTCAGCCCAGTCGAGGTGGTGCAGGGAGAGCAGCGGCTGCAGGGGGTGCATTATGAGCAGAGCAGAGATACTGCTGCCCAGATGATCAATCTGGTGGAAGTCGGATGTGGGAGTGAGTGACACCTGAAAGAGCAGGGCGAGGGAGGGAGAGGGTAGGGGCGGGGGGGGGGGGGAGAAGGGGGGTTGGGGGGGAGGTACTTTGGTCTGTAAGGGTGGGGAGATAAAGTGAGAGAGCAGAGCGAGTCAGAGCGACCAGAGATGGAGTACTTCTCCTGTGCTCCTATGCTCCAGACACGGAGCGACCAGAGATGGAGCGACCAGAGACGGAGCGACCAGAGACGGAGCAACCAGAGATGGAGCAACCAGAGACGGAGCAACCAGAGATGGAGTCAAAGCATAGGAGCACGGGAGTGAGGGGTGGAGATCCTCGAGATTCAATCAAGGAGCCATTTAGTTAACAGCTACCAAGAGAGCACTCACCCCTAGCCCGCCTGCTCAGTCAGCAGCTCCCTCCGACCCATTCTCACTACTAAGAGAGAGCTCACCCCTAGCTCGCCCGCGCAGTTTGCAACCTGCTCATCGCTCCCCCACAGAGCCGCATGCCACTCCATTCCAGGTACGCGTCCATGGCCCCGCATGGTACGCGTCCATGGCCCCGCGTCCATGCTCACCGCATCGTACGCATCCATGGCCCCGCCCTTGCGCAGCCCATTCCCAAGTCTCTCTTAACCAAGGAAGCACTCACTCTTCACTCATGCCCAACTCACCCCTAGCTCGCCAGCGCAGTTAGCAACCCGCTCGTCGCTCCCCCACAGAGCCGCGTGCCGCTCCAAGCACGCGTCCATGGCCCCATTATCACTCAGCATCCTCGCCAGCGCAGCCGAGATCGCAAACCCGCCCCCACCGAACGCCATGCCGTGCGAGATGGCCACATTCTGGTAGTGGGTCTCGGAGGGCGCTCCCAGGTAGAGCGGCGTGCGGTGGTCGTACTGCTGCAGGAAGGCAGCTAGAGCGTGCGGGCTGAAGTAGGTGTCATCGTCGCCCATTACGTACCTGACGGCAGCCGGCAGAGGGGGTGGTGAGGGACAACAGGAGAGAGGGGAGATTACAGGGGGCTTGTGTCCGGTGGAGCGGTGTGGAGTGCGGTGGTCGTAGTGCTGCAGGAAGGCCGGCTACTAGAGCCAGAGATCTGAAGAAGGTGTCGTCGTCGCCCATCACGTACCTGACGGCGGAATAAAAGATGGTTTGGGGTTGGGGTTGGGGGTGGGTGGTAGAAGGAAATTGGGCTGAGGAAATTGGGAAGGTGTGGGGTGGGATAGGGTCGGAAGACGGGTGTTGGCAACGCCGTTGACCAATCAACGCCGGAGGGGTACAAACATCGCACTCTACCTTCGAACGCCCTACTCCTTGAGCATTTAAGCACCAATCACACTCGTTCGCTGCACGCTGCAGGTTCCTCCCTCTCAACCTCATCCCCTGGTAGCTGAGGTGGCTCATTGTTTCGCTGGTTCCACCAATATGGGATACACTCACCATCACTCACCATCACTCACCATCACTCACCATCACTCACCATCACTCACCATCACTCACCATCACTCACCATCACTCACCATCACTCACCATCACTCACCATCACTCACCATCTCTCACCATCACTCACCATCACTCACCATCACTCACCATCTCTCACCATCTCTCACCATCTCTTACCATCATTCACCATCTCTCACCATCACTCACCATCACTCACCATCACTCACCATCTCTCACCATCTCTCACCATCTCTCACCATCTCTCACCATCTCTCACCATCCCTCACCATCCCTCACCATCACTCACCATCTCTCACCATCTCTCACCATCTCTCACCATCACTCACCATCTCTCACCATCTCTCACCATCTCTCACCATCTCTCACCATCTCTCACCATCTCTCACCATCTCTCACCATCCCTCACCATCTCTCACCATCTCTCACCATCCCTCAGATTACTATGCTTACGTGCCTGCTTTCCATCTCTCCCCCTTGTCCCCAAGCCTGTAAGCATCAGCCACGATCCTTGCCAGCCTCAGGTAAGCCCTCCCTCGGCCCCGTCCTCCCCTATCGGAGTCAGCACAGCACGAAACCACACTCACCATCTCACGTTCTTCTCTCCCAATCTGAGTGCATCCACAACAATTCTTGCCAAATCGCAAATATTCGCTCAGCGTCGCCCCTCGGTAGCCGAGGGGCAGCATGTAACCACACCACACTCACCATCGCACGCCCTTTTCCCCCCAGCCTGTAAGCATCAGTCACAATCCTGGCCAGTCGCAGGTATTCCCTCAACCCGGTACCCCGGTAGCTGAGGTGGCTCACTGCTTCACTGTTCCGCCGATTTACCAATGCAAGACACACTCACCATCGCACGCCTTTCTCCCCAAGCCTGTAAGCATCAATCACAATCCTGGCCAGTCGCAGGTATTCCCGCAGCCCCGTGCCTCTATAGCTGAGGTGGCTCGTGCCGCTGCTGGCCTTGAGGGGCGGGTCCGCCGCCACGTCATGCGGGACCGCTGCCACGTCATCCACCCACACATAGCCGCGGACCCCACCCCCCGAGCGCCACCAGGAGCGCAGGTAGGTGCGGCGGTGGGGAAAGGTGGCTCGAGACGATGCGATGTTGAACATGACGTGCCACAGCTTGGTCTCCCCCTGCTCCTCTCCATCTTCATCCACCTCCCCCTGCTCCGCATTCCCCTGCTCCACCTTCCTCTGCTCCGCCTTCCCCTCCTCCGCCTTCCCATCCCCGTTCTCCAATGCCGCCTCCTCCTGGGCTTCTGGTTCCTCCCCCAAGACACCGACATAGCCACTGCCGTGAGCGCCATCAACCGCGCTCATCTCTCGGCCTTCCTTTCGCGCCGCCGAATTGCCGTGGCCCGACTGCTCAATATTCCACTTGGCGGGGTACGGCGCATTCAGGTTGCTGAAAGCAACCAGAGGGCTCGAGAGAGCCCCCAGTACCCACTCGTACCACGTGAAAGGAATCTTTTCCACTGCCCCAGAAGTCTTCAAGTTAGCCGCTCCAGAGACGATCCCCACCCCTGAACCGTCCAAGCCTCCAAGAATCGCCATACCCGGCGTCTCGTGGAGGGACGTCACGTTGGGATCAGACACATCAGTTTTAACATCCGGGCCCGACACACCACGGCCCCCTTCAACCTGGCCAATGACCGAACCACGAGAGAAGCCTTCAGCGCCCCTGGGGGAGGACTTGGCGCCATGACGCTGCACGTCGGGAGCAGTCGCATGGCGTGCGATCATGGCTTGATTTTTCCTCGCCGAGACTGGAGGCGGGGCGGAGCGGATGAAGGTGGAGGCGAGGAGGGACGCGCTGAGGGCGATGCAGGTGAGGAAGAGCGAGACTACGGCGAGGGCGATCGTGCTGCGGGGGATGAGCGCGTGGTTGGGCCACGTCAGCTTCGTCCACAGGCTGACAGGCACGCCACGCGACCTCATGATGCGGAAAAACGAAAGCTGTTTTTCTAAGCCGAGGAACGCCGCGTTCTACTAGTAGTAGCTTGTGAAAGAGACTTGACTGCTGCTCCAGGGACTGTTACTGATGGACTAGGTGCGGAGAATGGCAGGCACCACACGAAGCTCTATCTATTAAGGCTCGGTGCTTCTGATCGAGCAGAGAGAATGGAAGGACGGACGGACGGACGGACGGAATTAACGGGGAGGGGTCGTTGCCTCGTAAGCGAGGGAGGCTATGTCAGCAGAGCTAGCAGGCTGGAAGCAGAAGCTCAAGAAACACAGCTGTGAGTTGACCTCGAAAATTCCGAATTCCAATTTCGACTCCGAGGCGCACATTGCGGTCCGATGCTTCAAGGCTGGGGGCCAGGCGAGCCTTGTTCGATTTGGCTCAAATTTTCGGATTGGACGACGCGAGGCATCCCTCGTTCGCAGATGCATGACGTGGAGCGAAGGCGAAAGCTACAGCTGGCTACCGAAGAGTAACCTGAATGTCTGCGAAACTTCTGTTCCAGGTACCCGCTATTGCCACTTTACCTTAGCACAGAAACACTCCATGCAACGTCTCATTCTTAAAAGGAGTAATCACACAAAAAGGCTCTTCATCTTAAAAAGGCAGTGCCCTCAAAACGGAATCAACACGTTGCCATATCTCACACCAACTCCTGTCCAATTATACGGCCCCGACGGTCCCACCACAACCCCATGTTGCTGCGCCTGGTACTGCTGCTGCTGATAAACCTGCATCCGCTTTTGCTGCACCATCCAGCTCGCTGCAAACATTGCGTCCGCCCCTCCTGCCGACCTTGCTGCTGCCAGAAACCGTGCATGCTGGCTCAGCATGCGCCGCTGAAGCTCCATCGCCAGCTGCTGCTGCGCTCTAAGCGCCATCTGCACATAAGGCGGAGGCGGGACCGCCACAGAAGCAGCGAAGGGATCCCCACTCCCACTCCCAACACCACCACCACCACCACTGAAACCACCACCTCCGACACCACCTGCTCCTCCCATTTTGGCTGCAGTGTCATCAGACACGTGCTTCTGCACCTGTGCTGCCTCGTACAGGCTGTCAAGCAGCAACTGGTCCCAGCCCCCAGCGAAGGCAGTGACAGGCGGCTGATCCAGTGGACTGCTGCCAGCTGTACCACCACTGACCATTCCAGGAGGGCCAAATGCCCCATATGCACTATCAGCCATTGCGTTTGGTGGCTGCTGCTGCAGTGGCTGCGGCTGGAATGACTGCTGCTGTTCCTGCTGATAGGGCGCTGGCTGACCCTGCTGTCCTGGAGGCACATACGATTGCATGACACCAGCTGTAGCGTCAAGAGCATTCTCCCATCCATGCTTGCCGTTCGTCAGGTATTTCATCTGTGCTGCCGTGGTAGAGGCAGTTGAAAGACCAGAGGCATGGGAGCCAAAGAGCGCCCTGGCAGTGTCGTCAAACTGCTGCTGCTGGGCCGCGGGGGAGAGAGCAGGGTTGGGGGATTGGGGCGGTGGTGGTTGAGAGGCGCTGTAGGAGTAGTAAGGGCTGGGAGCCTGAGGGTTTTGAGGGTAGGGGCCTTGCTGCTGCTGCTGCTGCTGCTGGCGGTACTGGTGCTGGTGCGGGTGCTGGTGCTGATGTTGCTGGTGTTGCTGATGTTGCTGCTGCTGGAAATGGGGATGGCCGTTGTGTTGGCCTGAGGCAGGAGGAGTGAACAGCACCATGGCATTCGGAAGGCCATGGTGGAAAGCACTCCTGTCGAGATTCTGCTGCTGCTGCTGATGTTGCTGCTGCTGCTGCTGCTGCTGCTGCTGCTGCTGCTGCTGATGTCGCTGCTGCTGCTGATGTTGCTGCTGCTGCTGCTGCTGCTGCGGTCCCAAATCCCTAAAACTAGCACTACCAGCAGCACCCCTATCAGCAAAACTCCCCGTCCTGCTGCTGAATCCACCAGCAGCAGCAGCAGCAGCAGCAGGGTACATCGGAGAGGGCGGAACGCTCATGCCAGGATCCGCCCCTGCCCCAACAGAAGCAGAGAGGTTGCCAATAACGCCTTCCCCCAGCACCGCCACAGAGGGGAAGGTCACACTTGCGCCCACCCCTGCTGCACCCAGCCGAGTGTACATGTCAGATAACGCCTTCCCCTGCTGCACCGAGAACTGACACACCTCCAGAGCTCGCATGGCCTGAAAAGGCACACAGGTGGGGGAACCAAGGAAAGGAACATGCTTACTAGCCTCGTATCCCTATCCTGGATGCGCAGCCCGATGCCACCAGATACATCCCTATCTGTCTCGTGAGGGAAAAAACGCAGACACCACACGCCACAGTAGATCCTATATCGCCTGTGCCCTGTCTCAGGGCCTGTTCCCAACGTAGCTAGTCCTGTCTCACCTGCCTCGTGTCTCACCTGCCTCGAGTCACACCTGCCTCGAGTCACACCTGCCTCGTGTCTCACCTGCCTCGAGTCTCACCTGCTCCTTGGGGAAGCGGTTGAGTCGCTCCATGAGTTCGATCAGCCCGTAGTTCACCCAACCGTACAGCCGGAAGCTCTCATCCAGCAGTAACTCCAGCACATACCGCACCACCCGCCGCCGCCTCTCCCGCTCCTGATCCCGCCCATTCCCACTTGCTCCTCCTCCTCCTCCTCCTCCTGTTCCTGCTGTTGTGGATCCTGCGGTTTTCCCTCCTGCGAAGCTGGTGCCGAGCCCGCTGGGAGCAGCAGCAGCGCAGTCCACCAGCCGTTGCTGGAGCTGCTGCAGCGCGCCCACCTGGTGGAGCACAGCGTCGGACTGAAGCTGCACCCAGTACGCCTCCCCTAACCCGTGCTCGGCACTTCTACTACTACTACTGCTACTACTGCTGCTGCTCCCTGCTTCATCGCTCGGTGCTGCTCCTGTTCCCCCGTTTTTAGCTGCTCCGTTGGCAGCTTCTGCTCGCGTGCGGAACACCTGCAGCCCGATGCTGTCCACGCAGCGCAGCCGCTCCTGCAGGTACACGCAGAACGCGTGGGCGAAACGGGCCAGCGCCGCGTCATCGCTGACGTCACCAGCGGAGGCTGACGTGGCACCAGTGGAGGAGGGAGTGGAGGACGGGGGGACGGTGTAGTGGAGGCGGCGAGCGAGACGAGGGAGGTCGAGGGACGGCCGGTCTTTCCGGGTTGACGTGGAAAGTAGCATACTGCAGATGTCAGATTCCTGATTGGCGGAGCAGGTCCGGAGTAACCCGTGGAGAAGCAGGATGCCTGGCGATAAATGGACATGCGGATGGATGAATGGAGAAATAGACTTGGAAGAGTATACACCAAAGACTTGTCAATAGGAAGAGGGGACGGCAACTGAGTTTCCGTAGGGGCCTCAGAGCTGAGACATGATGCTCTAAGAATGTGAAAACAACTTTACATTGCTGCTGCGACACCGAAGCGAACCGAAGCGAACTAAGAGATCAGAAGCCGATCCGTCCCCCACAGAGAAGGTGCGTCTGCCTGACAATGCTCCAGTTCCGTACCTCGGGAGATGGACCCGGGAGAACGTTTCAGGTGCCGGTGCTGGCCGTCCGCCAGAGCCTGCTTCTTCTCCAGCAATCGACGGCCGAGGCCGTCCAGGAAATGCCAGAGGTGATCTGAAGACTTAGACATGGTTGATAGCTCGCTGGCTAAGTCCTCCTGGTAGCTTCGCCATGCTCTCTCGCTCTCCCCCTCCGGATCCGCTGCATCTAAGGCTTCGTCGATTAGCTCGTCTAACGCGTCTGCTTCGGCTTTAGGGAGGACTACTAGCCGCATCTGACCCAGGGCCTCGTCATCAGGAGCCAATGGCTTCATTTTTTAGAAGGAACTCCTACAACTCCTAGACAACAAACGGACGATGGTCTGAAAGACCGGACGGTAGGGAGAACTAGACTACGAAACTAGGCAAGAACTGGTTCGCTAGTACGAGTGTAAGCGAAGCAAACCCGCAGAACGCAAGCCCGTAAAGAGATTACCAGACGCCTCTATTTCCCTGGCTAAGAAAATGCTAACAGCCTAATGAAGCTTGCGGTAATGTCTCTGCTTGAAACACCAGCTGAAAAGAGAAGCCTGTCTTCGCCAAATCCCTGCCTGAAGATGCCACGGAATTTGGAAGGCCATCAGCTATTTGTGCCACTATGGCTTGGTTTGGTTTGGATCCCTCCCTGCTTTGCTTGTCAGGTTCGGGAACTGACTGCCATGTCACTGTCATTTTTGGCATTGGTTGGTTCTGGTTCGGACCTCGATTTCACCGCCGAATCTCCAGGCCACAGCCTCGGTCTTGTCACACAGCACTGGCTGGCTGGCCTCTGCTGGGAGCAAAAGTGAGTCAAATTTGCGAAGGGACGACGAAATTTGTGACTTGGCCGACTGCGTGTCTGGCTGGTGTGACCAACGTGACGGTCGCGCAGGTCTGGTGGATGGGACAGAACGCCAGCACCGACGGCGGGGAGACGCTTTGATTGGCCAGTTCCTCTGAAGGAGTGGTCTGGCGTCGCAAGAATGCGATAGGGTTCACCCCGAACGTTCGTCGACCGACATCCACACTGCTCGAAGTATTTTTGTTATTGAAAACCTCTTTTATACGAACCGCAAACACGACTTCCTTGCGACAGCCTCCGTGCAAATCGCTCAACTGCTTATAGAGAGTACAGCTCGGTGGTTGGTTGTGTGCTGCAGATGTGTTCTCCCTCACAATTGTTCTGTTTGTTCTGTTCCTTCATCTGTCGGTCCTTTCTCAAATCGCTTGTCATTCTGTAATCCGTACTGTGGCTGCAGTAGTCCGTTGTCCATCAGCAACGTATTTGGCGTCTCCACAACTAGAATTGTAGGTCTGGTAGGCAAACGTCCTCCTGACCTGAGAGTCGCAGTTCGTAAGTTGGCACGTCACTATGCCAACGACGTGAACGCAGACTTGTGAACATACGAAGCTGTAACTCCTTAGGTCCATTGCCAATAATAACCTTGTAGACTGGCTTAGCCAGCCGCACCTCAGAATGCAGCCAATGCAGCCCGCCGGCGAGTTTGACCTTCACCGGATATCACCTAAATCAGGCCCGGGCGGACCTCCCCAACGACCAGGGCAATTCCGCGGAGGCGGTCGCAACCGGGGGTCGAACCCGGGACCTCTCGGCGGAGGAGGAATTCCGGCGATCGTAATCCCGGGAATCGGCCAACTACCTCCGATCCCGCCACGCGTCATCAAATTCATCCGCAAATTCGGACCATTGATCTTGATCATCACGCTGCTGTTCGCCGTCCAATACCTCCTCGTGTCGATCTACATGAACGTGCGGCGAATCAAATCCGACGTGAAGGAACAGTGCGCGTCGCTCCAGGCGGATCTTAACCTCACGGCGTGGGGGCACATGGAGGGGGTCAGGAACGAGAACTGGCAGCAGCACCGCATGGTGGGACGTGGCACGTACGGATTGGTCCAGTGGTCGGCGTATCGCATCCAGGAAGGCGTGGTAGTCGGCGTAGGGTTCGGCGCGACGCTGCTGCGATCGCACAGGAAGGTGGGATCAGGGAAAGGTGGGAACAGGGGAAGGTGGGATCCGAGAAGAGGGTGGGGTCAGTCCAGTGTTCCCTCTGTCTTTGCGTCTCATCCCCTCATGCCCTCATGCCCTCATGCCCTCATGCCCTCATGCCCTCATCCCCTCATCCCCTCATCCCCTCATCCCCTCATGCCCTCATGCCCTCATGCCCTCATGACCTCATGCCCTCATCCCCTCATCCCCTCATCCCCTCATCCCCTCATGCCCTCATGCCCTCATGCCCTCATGCCCTCATGCCCTCATCCCCTCATCCCCTCATCCCCTCATCCCCTCATGCCCTCATGCCCTCATGCCCTCATGACCTCATGCCCTCATCCCCCATCTTCACTCCATTCTCCCTTCCCCTGACTATCCCCCATCCCCTGTCCCCTCTCCCCCCGTTAATATCACATCCCGCACTTGGCACCGTGCAGATGGAGTGACTATATTGAGGGATCCCATCCTGCACTACCCAAGAGACGAGCCCCACGAGCAGTACGAAACTATCATCATTCCCTGTCCCCCGCCCTCCCTTCCTCCCCTTCCCCCGTTTAGATCACATCCTGCGCGTGGCACATCCGCCCTCCATCCCTCTCTGCCTCCCTCCCCACCTCCCTCCCCACCTCCCTCTCCGCCTCCCTCTCCGCCTCCCTCCCCACCTCCCTCCCCACCTCCCTCCCCACCTCCCTCCCCACCTCCCTCCCCACCTCCCTCCCCGTCTCCCTCTCCGCCTCTTTCCCCGCCTCCCTCTCCACCTCCCTCCCCACCTCCGTCTCCGCCTCCCTCTCCGCCTCCCTCCCCACCTCCCTCCCCACCTCTTTCCCCGCCTCCCTCCCTAGATCTCTTCCTGCACGTGGCACGGGCCGGACGGTTTGACTGTACTGGGGGACCCCTCTCTGCTCTACCCACGGGACTAGCCCCACTAGCAGTATGAAACCATCATCATCCGCTGCGACCTGCCCCACTCCCTCCCTCCCTCCCTCCCCCCGTTTAGATCACATCCTGCACGTGGCACGGGGCAGACGGTGTGACTATACTAGGGGACCCCTCTCTGCACTACCCGCGGGACGAGCCCCACGAGCAGTACGAAACCATCGTCATCCGCTGCGACCTGCGCGGCAAGGTGGTTACCAACCTCGGTGGTTACCTCGTCGTCGGGATCGACAACGAGCATATAATTCTTTATAGGGAGGATCGGGACTCCCCGACCCACTCGCTCCTATCCTCCACCCACCCGTACGGAGCCTCCTTCTGCACGTACCCGATGGCCGACCCTGTGGACGGCGCGAGGCTCCGCGATTGGCTGCACGTGCACCGAGCTTACGGGGCGGAGCACGTGGTTGGGTATGACGCGGGCGGCGTGGACCGGGCGGCGCTGCAGGAGGTGAAGGGGTTTCTGGACGATAGGTTTCTGGAGGTGCTGCCGATGCGCGACGTGGTGCACTTCCGGGTGCAGGCACAGGGGAAGGTGAGCCAAGAGTGGGGACTGAAGGTGGGTGATACTTCCAAAAGCTCAGAGGAGAGATTTGTGGACGTGCTGGCGATGCGAGACGTGGTGCACTTCAGAGTGCAGGCGCAGGGGAAGGCGAGCCAAGGGCGGGGGCTGAAGGTGGGTGATACTTCACAAGTTGTCTTCCCAAAAGCTCAGGTGACTTTTGGGTCGACTCAAAGTCACCTCGCTACAATGTCACACAACACAAGGGTGGGGACTGAAGGTGGGTGAAACTTTACAAGTAATCTTCCAAAAGCTCAGTGGCGAGGTTTCTGGAGGTGCTGCCAATACGAGACGTGGTGCACTTCAGGGTGCAGGCCCAGGGAAAGGTGAGCCAAGAGTGGGGACAGAAGGTGGGTGATACTTCCTAGGCCCAGGGGAAGGTGAGCAAAACGGCACGGTCCTCATTGTGTCAATCCGCGTCCCCTCCAGCCTCCTGCACTTCTCAAAAACCATATCACAGCAGCCTAAGCTTTCAGCACCATTGCCCTTCTATCTATGTTTCCGTAACGACCCGACACCATCCTCGTCATCTTCAATCCCCTCCCCTCTCCCGCTCCTTCTCCTCCCCCTCCCCAGCCCCTTCCCCCTCCACTGGGGACTGCATCTTCCACATCTCGCCGCCCTCCCTCCCTGCTGTGCCCCCCCTCCCCAGCCTCTTCCCCTGCAGCTCATGGCGATGCATGACTGCCTGTACCTCTCCACGCTCACCTCCGCGTGGATTGCCTTCCTCGCCTGGGGACTGCATGTACTTTTGAGGCGCCTCAAAAGTCTAGTTTTGAGGCGCCTCAAAACGCTCACCTCCGCGTAGATTGCCTTCCTCGCCTGGGGACTGCATCTTCCACATCTCGCCGCCTCCCTCCCTGCTGTGCCCCCCATTCCCCCCCTTTCTTCATCAGCTCATGGCGATGCATGACTGCCTCTACCGCTCCTTTTGAGGCGCCTCAAAAGTCATGGCGATGCATGACTGCCTGTTCCGCTCCACCCTCACCTCCTCATGGGTCGTCTTCCTCACATCTTCTCACCTCTCCTTCCCTGCAGCACCTCCCCTTCTCCCCTGCAGCTCATGGCGATGCATGACTGCCTCTACCGCTCCACGCTCACCTCCTCATGGGTGGTCCTCCTTGGCTGGAGAGACATCTTCCACCACATCATCATCATCATCATCATCATCTCAACTCATGTTTCCTCCCGCCCACACCTCGCACCCCTTTTCCCCCTTCCCCCATCCCCCCTCCCTATTCCCTGCAGCTCATGGCGATGCATGACTGCCTGTTCCGCTCCACGCTCACCTCCTCATGGGTCGTCTTCCTCACATCTTCTCACCTCTCCTTCCCTGCAGCACCTCCCCTTCTCCCCTGCAGCTCATGGCGATGCATGACTGCCTCTATCGCTCCACGCTCACCTCATCATGGTTGGTCTTCCTCGGCTGGAGAGACATCTTCCACCACATCATCTCACTCATTCCCCCCCATCTCAACCATTTCCCCCATCCCCCCTCCCTATCCCCTGCAGCTCATGGCGATGCATGACTGCCTTTACCGCTCCACGCTCACCTCCTCATGGGTGGTGTTCCTTGATTGGGATGACATCTTCCACATCATCTCGCCGCCATCCCTCTCGGAGCTCCTCTCCCAGCATCGCAACGTGCCCTGGCTCACTTATGGCTGCCAAGTGTGGGGCACGAAACTGTGCATGGGGACAAAGGTAAGCACACGTACTGCACTGTACCGCTCTGCACCGTGTTGTACCTCATTTTACTGGAGCGTCATCACCCTCCTCCCTCTCGGAGCTCCTCTCCCAGCAGCGCAACGTGCCCTGGCAGCCTGGCTCACTTATGGCTGCCAGGTCTGGGGCACCAAGGTGTGCATGGGGACAAATGCACGCTTTATGCCCCATGCCCCATGCCAAATGCTGGATACCATGTACCACATACCACATGCCCCATGCCCCATGCCACGTGCCCCATGCCACATGCCCCATGCCATGTGCCTCATGCCCCATGCTCCATGCCCCATGCCACGTGCCTCATGCCCCATGCCCCATGCCCCATGCCCCACGCCACGTGCCTCATGCCCCATGCCCCATGCCCCATGCCACATGCCCCATGCCACGGGCCTCATGCCCCATGCCCCATACCCCATGCCATGTGCCACATGCCCCATGCCCCATGCTCCATGCCCCATGCCACGTGCCTCATGCCCCATGCCCCATGCCCCATGCCCCATGCCCCATGCCACGTGCCTCATGCCCCATGACCCATGCCCCATGCCCCATGCCCCATGCCCCATGCCACGTGCCACATGCCCCATGCCCCATGCCCCATGCCACGTACCACATGCCCCATGCCCCATGCCCCATGCCCCATGCCACGTGCCTCATGCCCCATGCCCCATGCCCCATGCCATGTGCCACATGCCCCATGCCCCATGCTCCATGCCACGTGCCACATGCCCCATGCCCCATGCCCCATGCCCCATGCCCCATGCCCCATGCCACGTGCCTCATGCCCCATGCCCCATGCCCCATGCCACGTGCCTCATGCCCCATGCCCCATGCCACGTGCCTCATGCCCCATGCCCCATGCCCCATGCCACGTGCCTCATGCCCATGCCCCATGCCCCATGCCACGTGCCTCATGCCCCATGCCCCATGCCCCATGTCACGTGCCTCATGCCCCATGCCACCAGCCAAGCCTTCATCATCTAACCTCCACTCCATCCCCACTCCGCCTTCCGACGTACCTTTCGAGTCGGTCACCTAAACTCAATGTCCCCTCCTGCCTCTCCTGCCTCTCCTGCCTCTCCTGCCTCTCCTGCCTCTCCTGCCTCTCCTGCCTCTCCTGCCTCTCCTGCCTCTCCTGCCTCTCCTGCCTCTCCTGCCTCTCCTGCCTCTCCTGCCTCTCCTGCCTCCATGCCTTTTGACTGCCCAGCAGCTGCGCCAAGAGCCTGATGCTATCATGCACACGTGTGCTCATGTGTCCCCACCAACTACCCTGTATCTCATTCACATGTGTCCCCACCGACCACCTACCCTGTATCTCTGCCTTGCCAGGTCAGCAGCCGCACCAAGGGCCTGATGCCGCAGGAGAGGATGACGTGGCACTGGCCGCACTTCCTGTGCTCTGAAGGCGACCCTCCTGTGGACGCCAACTTCTGCCCGGGGACCAGGGGGCACCGATACATCATGGCTAACACGGCTAAGGTGAGAGGAGAGAGTGAAACGTGTTGGCTTACTGACAGTGCAAATGCTTTCTTCTTTTGGCGCCAGCTTTTGCTCGGGCACCAGGGGGCATCGATACATCATGGCGAACACGGCCAACGTAGGGAGGGGGAGACATGTCATGGTTAGTACTGCGAGAAAACACCACTTGGTGGTAGTTTTAGCCATACGTGGCAGCGAGCTTGTCAAACACTTATCGTTTGGTAGAGAAAGATTCTTGCTCTGAAAAAACTCTCTTGAATTTGTAGGGCAAAAGTGATGGTAACTAGTTTCGGCAGGTGGCTGCCTTCATCAGACCATGTCATGGCAAGTACTGCCAAGGTGACAAAAATAACAGCCGTACAACATGCATCTGACAGTGCTCTCTTGCTGTGCTCTCTTGCTGTGCTCCCTTGATGTGCTCTCTTGCTGTGCTCTCTTGCTGTGCTCTCTTGCTGTGCTCTCTTGCTGTGCTCTCTTGCTGTGCTCTCTCGCTGTGCTCCCTCCCCGCCCCACCCCACCCCCTCGCTTCCCTCAGGTACTCCTGATGGGCGAGAGTGAGGTGGTGGGCCCACGGACAGGAGGGGTGGACCTCTCAGTGGAGTCAGTGCGGCACGAGCGGTTTGAGAACATACACAAGAGGGGCGCGGGCAGGCTGCTTACCGTACTTTGCCCTTCTCTTCCCCCATTCTCCCCACCTTGCCAGGTATTCCTGATGGGGGAGAGTGAGGTGGTGGACCCAAGAACTGGTGGGGTTGATCTTTCTGTTGAGTCAGTGCGGCACGAGCGGTTTGAGAACATACACAAGAGGGGCGCGGACCGGGACTGGTGCTCGGAGGTGTATAGTGAGAAGGATAGTGTGGAGTGGTGGGTGAAGGATGGCAAGATGCAGACACGGCTGGAGGTCATTCGCAAAAAGGTATATGCGAAAGAGTCAAGATGAGGGGCGTAAGTGGGGGGTCTGTGGGGAAGGGAGACGCAAGGGGAAGTAGGGACAGACAGGAGCTGGTGCTCGGAGGTGTCTAGTGAGACGGCTATCGAGGAGTGGTGGGTGAAGGACGGGAAGATGCAGTCACGGCTGGAGGTGATGAGGAAGAGGGGAGGAGAGGGGGGGGAGTTGGGAGGCGGGGAGGGGAGGGGGGCCAAGGGCTGGTGCCTGGAGGTTTACAGTGAGAGTGGTGAGTGAAGGATGGGAGGATGCCGACACGGCTGGAGGTGATGAGGAAGAAGGTGTGTGCCAAAGAGTCGAGAAGAGGGGAGGAGAGGGGGGGGGGGGGAGAGAAGGGGGTGGGGGGGTGCTGTCCTTTGGGTCAACTCAAGGGTCACCTTGGCTGGAGGTGATCAGGAAGAGGGTGAGATGAGATGTGGGGGGGAGGGGGGGGGGGCAGAGGGTCACCCCAGCTGGAGGTCACTCGCAAGGTGTATGTATGCCAAGGAGCTGAGATGCGGGGAGGAGGAGAGGTTCAGTTGACGAGTGTTGTGGGCTAACAAGTAGTAATTACATAAATGCAGTGTGTGAGGTGCTCCAGGAGAGCTTCAGAAGCGGCCTGCCACCACTGTGCCACGGCCTTGGTTGGGTTGTGAGGGTGCACTGTGTGTGGTGTGGCGCGATTGCCACCACTGGTGTGTGAGCCTTCACTTGATCAATGCAATCTTGGTTTTGCACCACTTAATAGTGATGATTTCTGTTCCCTATGGGATGTTTTGGTGAACCGGGAAGACATTATGTCTCCATGCAATAGGAAATAAGCTGTTGGAAATCTGTTGTGCTATCCCTCTCCTGAGCATTATTTCCGAGCTCTCGAACCTGATTTCCATCTAAGGATGAGAGCGGAATCATCAACTAGATAACCTGCCATGGAAACTACTTGTGTCAGTGTAAAATCGAATTCATGCACCATGTATGACACAAAAGAGGGGATTTGATACCGTGTCAACACGGGATTTGGTTTTACCCATCAGTGTCTGTTGGTCTACCGAGCCCTGCCTCGCTCCAGCTTGAGCGCCTCCGCCTCAGCCTTGTGGTGAAAGAGCTTCACAAACGACCGCCGCTCACAATCCTGCACAACGCACATGCAAATCAGCAGGACAACCTTTGTGAGTCAGCCTTGCACTTGGGATTGGTCAAGCTGAGCCTAGGCTGTAACCTTGGCTCTGGTTCTAGCGTAGGAGTTTGTTGATTTATACCACCCTGTTCACTCACCTGGACTCCGTTTCACCATCTCGATGCACCGACTCTAGTGTAGGCGACGGAGAGCAGACTGCGATGCCTCTCATGTGGAGCGATCCACCTTGATGCCTCTCACCGAGGTCCTCACTTCTTGGGTGGTGAGAAGTCTGAGCATCTTTGAAGTACATTTAGGCGATGGAGTGTTGATCATGGGGCATGAATAGGTTTGACCGTGTTGACTAACGGCAACTACGTCCGCCCACCTTGAACATGTTGAGCCTGAGGGGATGAGAAGTCCGCGCTATCTTGAAGTAGGTGCGGGCGAAGGAGAGCTGGTTGTGGGGTGTGAGTGAACCGATCCAACTCGCTGAACCACGTTGACTCTGTTGCCTCATGCCGACCTCACCCACCCACCTTGAACAAAGTTGAGCCTTAGGGGGTGGGAAGTCCGCGCCATCTTGTGGTAGGCGTGGGCGAAGGAGAGTTGGCTGCGGGATGTGAGTGAACCGATCCACATTGTTGCCTCTCACCTTAACTGTGTTGACTCACAATGACCGCATTGACCAACCTTGACCCCAGTGACTCACCTTGAACATGTTGAGCCTGAGGGGGTGCGACGACCGAGCCATCTTGAGGTACGCGTAGGTGAAGGAGAGCTGATCGCGGGACGTGAAACGAACTACCCCACGACCTCTCACCTAAAGTTTGTTGACTCACAGTGACCGCATTGACCCACCTTGACCCCAGTGACCCACCTTGACCCCAGTGACTCGCTTTGATCCCAGTGACTCACCTTGAACATGTTGAGCCTGAGGGGGTGCGACGTCCGAGCCATCTTGAGGTACGTGTAGGCGAAGGAGAGCTGATCGCGGGACGTGAAACGATCCACCTCGTTGAACCAGAGGCACGAGAACAGGTTGGCTGCTGGCGTGTGCGCCCTTATGATGACAGAGCCCTCAGGCACATCTGCAGGGGAGGGAAGGGGCGGAAGATATGGGGGCAGTAAGGAGTCTATTTTTGAGGCGCCTCAAAAATAGACCCCTCAGGCACATCTGCAGGGAAGGGAAGGGGCGGAAGAGATGGGGGCAGTAAGTTGAACCTGAGGGAACGGGACATGGGTGGGTGGAAGGAGAGCGGTCCACCTCGTTGAACCAGAGGCATGAGAACAGGTTGGCGGCTGGCGTGTGTGCTCTCATGATGACAGAGCCCTCCGGCACATCTGGAAAGGGAATGCAGGGTGGGTGGGTGGAAGGAGAGCGGTCCACCTCGTTGAACCAGAGGCATGAGTACAGGTTGGCGGCTGGCGTGTGTGCTCTCATGATGACAGAGCCCTCCGGCACATCTGGAAAGGGAATGCAGGGTGGGTGGGTGGAAGGAGAGAGGTCCACCTCGTTGAACCAGAGGCACGAGAACAGGTTGGCGGCTGGCGTGTGTGCTCTCATGATGACAAAGCCCTCCGGCACATCTGGAAAGGGAATGCAGGGTGGGTGGGTGGAAGGAGAGAGGTCCACCTCGTTGAACCAGAGGCATGAGTACAGGTTGGCGGCTGGCGTGTGTGCTCTCATGATGACAGAGCCCTCCGGCACATCTGGAAAGGGAATGCAGGGTGGGTGGGTGGAAGGAGAGCGGTCCACCTCGTTGAACCAGAGGCATGAGTACAGGTTGGCGGCTGGCGTGTGTGCTCTCATGATGACAGAGCCCTCCGGCACATCTGGAAAGGGAATGCAGGGTGGGTGGGTGGAAGGAGAGCGGTCCACCTCGTTGAAGCAGAGGCATGAGTACAGGTTGGCGGCTGGCGTGTGTGCTCTCATGATGACAGAGCCCTCCGGCACATCTGGAAAGGGAATGCAGGGTGGGTGGGTGGAAGGAGAGCGGTCCACCTCGTTGAACCAGAGGCATGAGTACAGGTTGGCGGCTGGCGTGTGTGCTCTCATGATGACAGAGCCCTCCGGCACATCTGGAAAGGGAATGCAGGGTGGGTGGGTGGAAGGAGAGCGGTCCACCTCGTTGAAGCAGAGGCATGAGTACAGGTTGGCGGCTGGCGTGTGTGCTCTCATGATGACAGAGCCCTCCGGCACATCTGGAAAGGGAATGCAGGGTGGGTGGGTGGAAGGAGAGCGGTCCACCTCGTTGAACCAGAGGCATGAGTACAGGTTGGCGGCTGGCGTGTGTGCTCTCATGATGACAGAGCCCTCCGGCACATCTGGAAAGGGAATGCAGGGTGGGTGGGTGGAAGGAGAGAGGTCCACCTCGTTGAACCAGAGGCATGAGTACAGGTTGGCGGCTGGCGTGTGTGCTCTCATGATGACAGAGCCCTCCGGCACATCTGGAAAGGGAATGCAGGGTGGGTGGGTGGAAGGAGAGCGGTCCACCTCGTTGAACCAGAGGCATGAGTACAGGTTGGCGGCTGGCGTGTGTGCTCTCATGATGACAGAGCCCTCCGGCACATCTGGAAAGGGAATGCAGGGTGGGTGGGTGGAAGGAGAGAGGTCCACCTCGTTGAACCAGAGGCATGAGTACAGGTTGGCGGCTGGCGTGTGTGCTCTCATGATGACAGAGCCCTCCGGCACATCTGGAAAGGGAATGCAGGGTGGGTGGGTGGAAGGAGAGCGGTCCACCTCGTTGAACCAGAGGCATGAGTACAGGTTGGCGGCTGGCGTGTGTGCTCTCATGATGACAGAGCCCTCCGGCACATCTGGAAAGGGAATGCAGGGTGGGTGGGTGGAAGGAGAGAGGTCCACCTCGTTGAACCAGAGGCATGAGTACAGGTTGGCGGCTGGCGTGTGTGCTCTCATGATGACAGAGCCCTCCGGCACATCTGGAAAGGGAATGCAGGGTGGGTGGGTGGAAGGAGAGCGGTCCACCTCGTTGAACCAGAGGCATGAGTACAGGTTGGCGGCTGGCGTGTGTGCTCTCATGATGACAGAGCCCTCCGGCACATCTGGAAAGGGAATGCAGGGTGGGTGGGTGGAAGGAGAGCGGTCCACCTCGTTGAACCAGAGGCACGAGAACAGGTTGGCTGCTGGCGTGTGTGCTCTCATGATGACAGAGCCCTCCGGCACATCTGGAAAGGGAATGCAGGGTGGGTGGGTGGAAGGAGAGCGGTCCACCTCGTTGAACCAGAGGCATGAGTACAGGTTGGCGGCTGGCGTGTGTGCTCTCATGATGACAGAGCCCTCCGGCACATCTGGAAAGGGAATGCAGGGTGGGTGGGTGGAAGGAGAGCGGTCCACCTCGTTGAACCAGAGGCACGAGAACAGGTTGGCTGCTGGCGTGTGTGCTCTCATGATGACAGAGCCCTCCGGCACATCTGGAAAGGGAATGCAGGGTGGGTGGGTGGAAGGAGAGAGGTCCACCTCGTTGAACCAGAGGCATGAGTACAGGTTGGCGGCTGGCGTGTGTGCTCTCATGATGACAGAGCCCTCCGGCACATCTGGAAAGGGAATGCAGGGTGGGTGGGTGGAAGGAGAGCGGTCCACCTCGTTGAACCAGAGGCACGAGAACAGGTTGGCGGCTGGCGTGTGTGCTCTCATGATGACAGAGCCCTCCGGCACATCTGGAAAGGGAATGCAGGGTGGGTGGGTGGAAGGAGAGAGGTCCACCTCGTTGAACCAGAGGCATGAGTACAGGTTGGCGGCTGGCGTGTGTGCTCTCATGATGACAGAGCCCTCCGGCACATCTGGAAAGGGAATGGTGGATGGGGTGAGGGAAAGGAGATTGCTCCACCTCATTGGACCATCGGTTCGAGAACAGGTAATGACAAAGCCAGGAGACATCAGAAGATGACAGTGGTTGCTGTGTTGTTGGACGGAGGTTAGTGGCTGTTCTTGGAGGGAGGTTAGTGATTGTTCTTAGAAGGAGCTTAGTGGCTGTTCTTGTGAGAAAGTTAGTGGCACCTGTGTGTGTGTGCACACTCACTGCTAATAAGCAGGTTCTTGGGATCATTTGGATTGAACATGGTGAGCCCATCGGCCTTGTACGCCTCAAACTGCTCATCTATGACCGTCGCGTTGTACTTGCCAAGCTTCTTGTTGCGATCCACCTGAACACATGGGGTGCACCGTCCATGCCATGCCATGCAACGCCATGCCATGCCACGCCATGCCATGCCATGCCATGCCATGCCACATGCCATTTCATGCAACAGTGTGCCATGGTGCACGAAAATCATTATCTGACTTCCCCGTAATCCCACCCATCTTCCAGCCTCAAACTCTCCATGCCTTACCTCCCAAACCCATCCCACTTCGCCCATCCCTCACCTCCTCCTATTCCTCACCCCCCTCCATTCCTCCAAACCCCCATCTCTAACCTCACCCGATTCCTCGCTTCCTCCCATCCCTCACCACCCCCCATCCCTCACCTCCTCCCACACGCAGTGGCGGTCGTAGTGGTTGGAGATGGCATACTCATGCCCTCCCCGCCACAGAAACCTTTCCAGGATGACCAGAGGATCATGATAAAGCCGCAGCTTGCTGTCGATCCACATGGAGTACCTGTTATGGTGGGAGGGGAGTGGGTGGTGGTACCAAACTGAATGGTGGAAAATAGCAGTTCAGGGCAGCCACCATGGGGTCATTATAAAGCCGCAGCTTGCTGTCAATCCACATGGAGTACCTGGGGGCGAGAGGGGGAACGGGCGGTACCAGGACCAAGGGCGAAAGTCAACAACGAAAATCCAACCAACCAGCAGTTGGTGTCGGTCAATATGAAGCCGCAGCTTACAGTCCTGTTGATCCTCATGGAGTACCTGGGGTGAGAGGGGGAACGGGTGGCACCACAATGGACGGCAAAAGGTAGCAGTGCAGGGAAGCCAGCGGAGCGGAAGGCCCATGTGTAGATGCAGCAGCAGGTGGCAGACAGTACTGTTCCTTTTGAAAAAAATGAAGAGGAAAAAGGGGGAAAGGAAGCTCGTCATTATGCTTGCACCCGTCTCACCTCACTTGGAGCTGAGAGGCAGGCTCTTTATCAACGCACACGCAATCAGATGCGTCTCAAAACACGGCCAAAACACGCACGTTGAGCTGAGAGGCAAGCTCTCCATTAATGCACACGCATTTGGAAGCGTCTCAAAACACGACCACACTCACTAGGCGTTGGGAAACAGGCGGTGTGCCAGCAGCTTGGGGATCTTCCCTGTGCGCCTGGCGTCCTCGTACGGAGGCTTGGCCACCACCACCACCACCACCACCACGAGACAGGCAGTGCATTGATGCATACACGTGCTGGGACACTTATTCCACTTGATCCTACCCACCACCACCACCACGCGCCAGAGCTAGGCAGAAAATCGACATGCACATGCATCGGAGCGCCCATTCCACTCGATTCCACTCACTTGGCGTTGGGGAACAGGCGGTGTGCCAGCAACTTGGGGATCTTCCCTGTGCGCCTGGCGTCCTCGTACGGAGGCTTGGCCACCACAACCACGCGCCAAAGCCCCACCTTGCCGTTGGCGTCCGGGATGAGGTTATCCTTGTACAGCCCCTTCACCGTCGCCTCGTCTATGAACATCACGAAGCACACCTTGCGCTTCGCTGCCACAGAGATCTGGTGATTAAGTGAGGGGAGAGAAACAGGAGAGAAGGGAGGAAGGTGATGAAGGTTATCCTTGTACAGCCCCTTCACCGTCGCCTCGTCTATGAACATCACGAAGCACACCTTGCGCTTCGCTGCCACAGAGATCTGGTGATTAAGTGAGGGGAGAGAAACAGGAGAGAAGGGAGGAAGGTGATGAGGTTATCCTTGTACAGCCCCTTCACCGTCGCCTCGTCTATGAACATCACGAAGCACACCTTAAGCTTCGCTGCCACAGAGATCTGGTGATTAAGTGAGGGGAGAGAAACAGGAGAGAAGGGAGGAAGGTGATGAGGTTATCCTTGTACAGCCCCTTCACTGTCGCCTCGTCTATGAACATCACGAAGCACACCTTGCGCTTCGCTGCCACAGAGATCTGGTGATTAAGTGAGGGGAGAGAAACAGGAGAGAAGGGAGGAAGGTGATGAGGTTATCCTTGTACAGCCCCTTCACTGTCGCCTCGCTTGGCTGCCAGGGAGATCTGGGAGAGAGGAGGGGGACGAGGAGGAGATGGACATGGGGAAGAATGAGAGAGGGAGGGAAGGCACGGAGAGGGGAGAGAGGGGGAGAGTGGAGAACGAAAGAGAAGGCGAGGGAAGAAAGGGAGAGAGAGAGGGCCTGTTCCACAAGTCACACCTTGGATCGTTGGGGCAGTCTAAGATTGCCCCAGTCTGCAAAGATGGCTGTCACCACAGCATTGCGGCACTGCCCAAATACATCTGATTCAACCCCCATATCACACCTTGGATCGCTGGGGCAGTCTGAGATGGTCCCAGTCTGCAAAGATGGCCGACACCACAACGATGCGGCACTGCTCCAGGTACATCTGGTCCGCCTTGGAGATGTCAAACCCCGTCCCCGGCCATCCGGGGGGGGGACTGCACCCTTGCCAGAAGTCTCACCTTGGATCGCTGAGGCAGTCTGAGATGATCCCAGTCTGCAAAGATGGCCGACACCACAGCGATGCGGCACTGCTCCAGGTACATCTGGTCCGCCTTGGAGATGTCAAACCCCGTCCCCGGCCAGCCGGGCGGCGACTGCACAAACCCGCAGTGCACCTGCGCCTCCGGCGGCCAATCCGCCCTGCCAGCTCGGAACGAGTCAGCGCGCTGCCGCCACGTCTGGTGGCCAGCAAAGCGTGGGGCCCACGTGTTGGAGGAGCGGCCGAGGAGGCTGAGGGCGGAGGCAGCGGAGGAGGAAGAGGAGTCGGCAGCAGGGGGGTGCTCCACGGTGACATAGTGAGGCGTGGTGGGGTTGGGCCCTTCAAGGTCTGGCATTTGGACATTGTCTCCATTCTCCAAGTAATCAACCTCACACGCTGTATGGGGAAGAGGGAAGGGGAGGAGGAGGGAGAAGTGTCGATGAGCGTTTCAGGAGATGCATAGCAGCATAAAATATCACGAAGCCATGTCCTGAGGAATATTTTCACAGACGAATTAGTCCATTCTGTAGGCTGACAGGAAACGAAGGGGAACCAAGCCTTGAGGAGCAGAGGGCCACTCACGTCTGTTTCCTGTCCTCTTCTTGGGCTGTCTCTTCTTCCTTTTCTTCTTCTTCCGCCGTTTCTTCTTCCCGCCATCCTCACTCTCGTCGCCATTTTCCCCGTCCTCCCCATCACTCTCCTCCTTGTCCGCACCACCTGACTCCACGCTCTTCTCTCCATCACCATCCGCACCTTCAGCACCTCCTCCTGGCATCTGGATCCCCGTCTCAACATGTCTTTTCCCGTGGGAATTCTCTTCGTCTTCCCGGTCATCCTCATCCGCCTTAGCATCGCTGCTGCCTGAATGTACATTATTGCCGTCTCCATCACCACCACCACCACCACCTGAGCCAAACCTTTGAGATCCAGAGCCATCTACAATGGTCCTTCCACTATCAGATCCACCATCCCCTGAGACATCCTCGCTGCCAGCTTTTGCTTCGTCCAAATCTCCGTCAAAGGCACGTCTATCAGTCGCATCTGTATTATGATGTTCTGTTTGGAAGGATGATTCGCCTCCTGACGCCTCCCTAGAAGAAGTTTCAGGCCGTCCGGTGTCACCGTGAGTAACTGCTGCGATCTCGGAAAAGTCCAACGGCAAAGCCGCAATTGTTTGGGAGACGCACGGACAATGCCGTCAAGAAACGAAATACAAGTATCAGGAAGTGAAAGTATGGGATCAGGGGAATAGATTAACAGTGCATGCTGTGACATTACGTCAAGCACGAAATTAAGATGCAGACTTTACCTTGTGACGATTCAACAAGGTCCAGAACTGGTTCCTGCGAGAGGAAAGGCTTGATATCAGTTACCAATCTAGACTGTTTGACAAGGTCCTAATGCAGAAATCAGCAACAGCTTCCAGAATGAAGCAATGGCGAAGAACGTGAATTACCTCGTTCAGGCTGCGTCTCGACGACAGAGTTTCAGCTGCGAGTTGAGCTGCAGATCACACAACAGGAATTAAAGGGACTGATTTACCATTCCGGCATTGTAGAAACCATAAGACTCCGATGAATTCAGGGTTGATCGGGTGGAAACTAACTAACCTCGTCTATGGATTCTCCAGTAACCAAGCGGAATGCACACGACCGCAACCAATGCGAGCAATATCATGCAGCATTTGAACGCCGCTAGCCGTCCTCCTTTCTTCCCGCTGTTGGTCCTTACTGGCTTCCTTTGCCTCGCCATAGCTGGGTTATTCTTCTCAAATCATCGCCTGAACTCGAGGCTAATAATGTCCGCGGATTCAGTCCGGTCGTTTTCCAAGATACCGAGCCTGACCAGCTATTGTAGCTCATAAGGTGAAAGCTGACCGGAGTCTTGCTTTTCAGAGAGTATCAGTGGTTGATTCCTGCGAATCCAGTGTGCTGCTGCTTCCTCTTTGATCTGGCATTTTGGCTTCTGTGATTTGGTTTTGGCACACACCTCCTCTACACTCACGAACCGTCGATTCCCTGTCAAAACTTATCGACAGCCGAGATCTTCTCGATCCTGACATCAGGCGAGTCAGCCTTGGGGGTGTCTGGCAGCCCTCCTCGCGCAACTAGCTTTTCGCGAAGCATATGGTTGCAACACACTGGAAAGTTTCGCTAAAAGAATGGTTATAAGCGAGATGCAAGCCAAACCAAGGGATTGGTTGAGCGATGAGCCTCCACGATTGGCGAGAAGTATTCCAGCAATTGACATTCGGAACTGTACCACCAGCGATGGGCTCCGACGTGCTGGTTGCAGGTGCCGCCAAGTCAGCAGTTCCGCGAATCCACTCCCCCCCAGCCGCTTCCTCCAGCGCGAACCCCTCTGCCTCCGATCCCACCCGTTATTACCGAACTCAAATCCGCTCTATCCAGCCTTTCACATTTGTTCCCCCTCCCCTCCCCTCCTCCCCTCCCCAACCACTACGCGCAGGACTCCCTTGGGATTTCCATAAATGCTTCCATCACCTGCGTGTTGCTTCTCTTGTAGTGAGAACGGGGGATAGTCCTTGGTCTAGGAGCATCTACGCAGCATTTAGCAGCGCGGGGAACACCTTGATCAACTGGCATCCCCGGTAAATAGTCCCTCTCTATCTCTCTCTTTGCTAGGGACATCTTTCCTCCCCTAAGCAATCATGGCGACCGTTGAAGCTCCTGCGCTTCGCGCGGCTGCATTGGCGAGTGCTCGTCCCGGTCTGTCCGCATCCAGCTCACGGCGCACCGTGGGATGGCAGGCCGTGAGCCACTCCGCTGGTTTTAAGAAGCTCGCGGAGAGCGTTCGTGGAACGGTGAAGGTTAGGGCTGTAGCGGAGATCAAGCCAGCGACTGCTGAATCAGCAAAGGTAAGTTCTTTAGTCGACTCAATAATGAGCTAGCGACTGCTGACTCGCTAAGGTCGACGTCCGTAATCCGATTCTTCACTACCAGAAAGAAGCCAAGAAGGAGGTAAGATCAGCAGGTCTCGTTGTTTCGTCAGGAGGTAGCATTAACCGTTGATCTGCAACTTATCCGATCGTCGCCTTCCCTTCCGTCCCCAGTAACGAAATTAAGAAATTCGCCTGCCCTGCACCATTCATTCCTGCCGCTCATCGCGCCTTGTTGAATACCCTGCTTCATCTCTATGTCCCCCCAGATGAAGGATGTCGCCCGCCCTGACTCGTTCGGACGCTACGGCAGTCTGAGACTCTCAAAAGGTTTTCCTGCCGCTGTTTTTTATTCCCCTTCTCTTTCCCCAGATGAAGGATGTCGCCCGCCCTGACTCGTTCGGACGTTACGGCCAGTTCGGCGGCAAGTACGTGCCGGAGACCCTCATGGCCGCCTTGGATAATCTCGAGAAGACTTATAACGAGACGATCAAGGATCCCGCGTTCCAGGTAAGCTGATCCGAAGTCCGATACCGATCGCGCTGACATGATTTGTCGAAGTGTCTCTCCATTCGAGATCGCTGTTTCACCACCTTGTTATATCCCAACTTTGCTCGCCAGGCGGAGCTCGAATCCATCCTCAAGGACTACATGGGGCGCGATCCCCTCCGTCCCCTTCTAATACCTCTCATACCTTCTCCTCCCCCCCCCCCTCCCCCCCCTCCCCCTCCCTGCTCTTCAACCAACGTCAACGGAGTTCGAGTCCATCCTAAATGACTGCGTGGGTCGCAATCCACTATCCACTACTCCCTATTATAATCCCCAAGCGTTTTTCTCGACGTTCGTTCCCTCCCAGGCGGAGTTCGAGTCCATCCTCAAGGACTACGTGGGTCGCGATCCCCTCCGCCCTCTTCTAATTCCTCTCATTCCCCCCTCCCTGCGTCTCTCAACGTCAGGCGGAGTTCGAGTCCCTCCTCAAGGACTACGTGGTTCGCGATCCCCTCTGTCCCCTTCTAATATCTCTCATGCCTCGCGATATCCCCCTGCTTCTCTCAACGTCAGGTGGAGTTCGAGTCCATCCTCAAGGACTACGTGGGTCGCGAGTCGCCGCTCTACTTCGCGCTCTACTTCCTCCCGTCTACTCCCTCGTTTCCCACGTGTCCTCTTCTCCCTCACTCTCGACGCTCCCTCCCAGGCGGAGTTCAACTCCATCCTCAAGGACTACGTGGGTCGCGAGTCGCCGCTTTACTTCGCGGAGCGCCTCACGCAGCACTACTCGCGCCCCGACCCCGACGCGCCCGCCGACTCCCCCCGCCGCATCGGCCCGCACATCTACCTGAAGCGCGAGGACCTGAACCACACGGGCGCGCACAAGATCAACAACGCCATCGGGCAGGTCCGCTGTGACTGACTGCGTAGGCGTTGTCTCAGAAATTAGGTATACCCAGTCATTTTTTAGAATTCTAAAAAATGACTCCCCATCAGGTGTATCCAGTCAGTCAGGTCGCTACTCCGACGCAGATAACTTCTAACATCTCCCTTTGTCAGGGCAGACGCACTTAATATAAGGTCTCAAAACAGACCTTATATCCCGACGCAGATGACTTCAACATCTCCCTTTGTCAGGGCAGACGCACTCAGCACCCCCTCTGATCAGTTCGCCGTTGTCCGTGTCAGCTGCTAGTGCTAATGGCGTCTGAGTCGAGTGAAGCATCGTGGGGGGGACAATTTACACTCAGAGCATCCCCGCACTGCCCCTCCTCTGCGCCCCGCAGGTCCTCCTGGCCAAGCGCATTGGCAAGAAGCGCATTATTGCTGAAATGGGCGCTTTACTTGTGTCCCCTTGAGCTTTCTTCACCTCCTCAGCGCATCCCCCCTGCTCTCCCCAGGTCCTCCTGGCCAAGCGCATTGGCAAGAAGCGCATCATTGCCGAAACGGGCGCGGGGCAGCACGGCGTGGCCACGGCGACGGTGTGCGCGCGGTTCGGGCTGGACTGCATCGTGTACATGGGCGCTGAGGACATGCGGCGGCAGGCGCTCAACGTGTTCCGCATGCGGCTGCTGGGCGCCGAGGTGAGGGGAGTGGGGAGGGGGATTGGGGGGGAAGAGGGAGCGGGGTGAGGGGGGAGGCAGGGGGCTGGGCTGCGTCGTGTACATGGGCGCCGAGGACATGAGGCGGCAAGCGCTCTATGTATTCCGCATGCGACTGCTGGGCGCAGAGGTGAGAGGTGGGGGGTGGGGGTGGGGGTGGGGATGGGGGTGGGGGTGGGGGTTGGGGTGGGGGTTGGGGTGGGGGTTGGGGTGGGGGTTGGGGTGGGGGTTGGGGTGGGGGTTGGGGGAGGGGTTGGGGGAGGTCGCGAGGGGGTGTAGGGGAAGGGATGTAGGAGACAGAGGGCTGGACTGCGTTGTGTACATGGGCGCCGAGGTCATGCGGCGGCAGGCGCTCTATCCGCATGCGACTGCTGGGCGCAGAGGTGAAGGGGGGGACGGGGAGGGCCTGGGGAGGGTAGTGTGGGGAAGGAGTGGGGGAGGTAGGAAGAGGGGCGGAGAGACAGAGAAATTGTGCACATGGGCGCTGAGGACATGAGGCGGCAGGCGCTCAACGTGTTCCGCATGCGTCTGCTGGGCGCCGAGGTGGGGGCAGGGGAAGGAATTGGGGGAAAAGGAGGGGGAAGGGGGGGATAAGGGCGAGATTATGGGGGAGGTAGGGGGCTGAAGATATGAGGAGGTAGGCGCTGAACGTGTTACGCATGTGACTGATGGGCGCAGACATGAGGGGGGGTGGGGGGGGCGGGGAGGAGGGGGGGGGTGGGGGGTGGGTATGTAGGGGGGAGGTTGAGGGAGGGGTTGGAGAGCCGGCGGGCGTTGCTAATTTTCGTTACATTTCTCACCCACCCCCAGGTGCGCGCAGTGCACAGCGGCACGCGCACGCTCAAGGACGCCACGTCAGAGGCCATCCGCGACTGGGTGACCAACGTCGACACCACGCACTACATCCTCGGCTCCGCTGCTGGCCCGCACCCCTACCCCATGATCGTGCGCGATTTCCAGGTACTTTCCCTTGCTCCTCTATCCCCATCTTCGATTGCATGTGCTCTTAGGGTGTGTTTGCTCTGTTCTATGCACCCTTTAATTCCTATGGTACTCATATTGACGCCTACTCCCCCTTTCCCCCTCCCCCCCCTTCCCCTCCACCATCCCTCCTTCCCCCACTCCACGCCCCTCCCCAACTGTTTTGCCCCGTCGCGTCCTTTTCCCCCCGTCACGCCATCATTGGACGCGAGGCCAAGAAGCAGTCCTTTGAAAAGTTTGGCCGGCTGCACGACGTGCTGCTGGCGTGCGTGGGGGGCGGGTCGAACGCGATGGGTCTGATCGGCTTGGAGGCGGCGGGGCACGGCGTGCACACGGACAAGCACCCTCTTATCCCTGTGTTACTCAAGATGATGCCTACGCTGCCCCCCTACCTCTTTCCCCCAACATTCCCCCTTCCCCCCCCCGCCCTGCCCAACTTCCATTCATTTTTGCCGGTCAGGCCATCATTGGTCGTGAGGCAAAGAAGCAGTCCTTCGAGAAGTTTGGCCGGCTGCCCGACGTGCTGCTGGCGTGCGTGGGGGGCGGGTCGAACGCGATGGGTCTGTTCCACGACTTTGTGGAGGACGAGGGCGTGAGGATGATCGGCGTGGAGGCGGCGGGGCATGGCGTGCACACGGACAAGCACGCCGCCACGCTCACCGCGGGGGAGGTGGGCGTGCTGCACGGCGCCATGAGCTACCTGCTGCAGGACTCGGATGGGCAGATCATTGAGCCGCACAGCATCAGCGCGGGGTGAGTTGAGTGTGCGTGTGTGTGTGTGTGTGTGTGTGTGTGTGTGTGTGTGTGTGTGTGTGTGTGTGTGCGTGCGTGCGTATATGTTTGTGTTTGTGTACTGGAGGAAGAGGGAGGGGTGGGCGTGCTGCACGGCGCCATGAGCTACCTGCTGCAGGACTCGGATGGGCAGATCATTGAGCCGCACAGCATCAGCGCGGGGTGAGTTGAGTGTGTGTGTGTGTGTGTGTGTGTGTGTGTGTGTGTGTGTGTGTGTGTGTGTGTGTGTGTGTGTGTGTGTGTGTGCGTGCGTGCGTATATGTTTGTGTTTGTGTACTGGAGGAAGAGGGAGGGGTGGGCGAGCTGCACGGCGCCATGAGCTACCTGCTGCAGGACGCGGACGGGCAGATCATCGAGCCGCACACAGCATCAACGCAGGGTGAGTCTCATGAGGGCAAGAGTACAGTCAAGTAGTTTCTGTTTGTGTGATCGTGTGTATTGGAGGAAGAGGGAGGGGTGGACGTGCTGCATGGTGCGATGAGCTACCTGCCGCAGGACTTGGATCAGCAGATGGTGAAAACGCACATCTCAACGCACAGCAAGAGTGTGGGGTGAGTGGAGACTGGCGGTTGAGACTGGCGGTTGAGAATGGCGGTTGAGAATGGCGGTTGAGATGTGTGGTTGGTAGAGCCTTGCAACATCAAGTCAGGGTGAGTCACATCAGGGCAGGGTAGTCACTTGGTGGACTTACGTGGTACCTGGGGTATTGAGGGGGTGTTGGCCGGGGGGGGGGGGGGGGGAGGGAGAAGGTGTCAGTGAGTGGTTAGTGCAGAGCAGATACAGAGTGTCCTCAAGATGGCAGCCTTGACTACCCCAGAGCGGGCCCGGAGCACAGCCCTCTCAAGGACGTTGCGCGGGTCCAATGCTTGATCCCCTGTCTCCGTGCTTCCCCCCCCACTCTCCTTCCCTCGACTCTCCCATGTTCATCCCTGTCGTTTTGCAGCCTTGACTACCCCGGAGTGGGCCCCGAGCACAGCTTCCTCAAGGACATTGGACGGGCGGAGTACTTTAGTGTGACCGACGACGAGGCCCTGCAAGGTGAGAGGAGGAGGCGAGGGTAATAGAAAGGAGTGAGAGAAGAGAGGCCTTGAGTTTAGGGGAGTATGACTAGACAAGACATTGCGCGGGTGGAGTACTTGGACAACGAGGCTGTGTGAGGTAAGAGGGGAATGGCGAGGGGAATATCTGTGAGCCGAGTTTTGGGACATAGCCTGTTGTGTGATGTTGATTATCAGCAGCGGCGAGAGAGAGTATGTTTTCACCATGGGCCATGATGGCTTCTTTCTTACCATTCCCGTTGACTTATCTGATGCAGCGTTCAAGCGCGTGTCGCGGTTGGAAGGCATCATCCCGGCCCTCGAGACGTCCCATGCCTTGGCCTATCTAGAGTACCTGTGCCCCCAGCTGGCCGACGGCACCAAGGTCATTGTTTGCTTCAGTGGGCGCGGTGACAAGGATGTCAACACAGTCATTAACCTGCTCGGGGAGGACCTTTGAACAGTGTGTCTTGCCCACTTGTGTACAACCTGCCATCATGTGAATGATTGCCCTCCTAATAATGCTTGGGAAGTATGGTCTTGTATTGTGCTCAGACTCTCAACGCCATGCTTGTAGCTTGAATGCTCTTTGCTGTATCGGGAACCACAAGACTGTACCTCCTTGGGGCGCTATCTGGATGTAGTCGGCGACCCGAATTATCGTCGTCAGGTCGCAGGCGACTCAGGCCAGTGTCGTCCAGCTGGGCAACGCCAGCCTGACCTGCGCGCTTCGGCAGGTGCTTTTGCAGTCGGGAAAGGAAATGCGGTTCGATGTCAGAAGAGCCTTCGCCTCGGTTGAAAAGTTCCGATGAAATCCGGGGGGAGGTGGGCAGTGGTGGTCGGAAAAATCCTTCGCGAAAGGTCTGGATGGTTTCGCTGGCTTGACGGACGACAGTTCATGATGCTCAGTGCTCACTCGATGATCATCATGACGTTTTCGCACCTCGATTCTTCCGACCGACCTTGGTGTTGTCGAGTGAGGAGAACCCATTCTCGGTTCTTGAGGTCTGTTGGCTTCCCTTCTTTTCCTCGTTGATGCCTTCAGCACGTGACCAGAATCCGCAGACGCCTGTCCTAGCGAGCGCAGGGAGTTTTGTAAACAGCACGCCTCGTGCAACAAGTGATTTTGAGACTCTTTGTGCCGCTCTGTCTGGTCTTCGCTTTTACCGAGAACTCTGGCATCGCGAATCCCCTGTAGGCGCTGCCTTGAATTAGCTACGAATACTGAACCCCGAGTTTGACCCGGTGAATCTGGAAACCATTCCCCATACCCAAGGACTTGGCATTCATAGATTCTTCAATTAAAGCCCGTTGTTTTTCTATACATAGCAGGTCTCCAGTCTATCTCTACTAGCACGCAGGCTCCAAAACCCCTTGTCGTTCTTCTGATCACACCTTTGCCCAGCATGGTTCTGCCAGGACAGGCGTGCTGGTGTAAAACACCTGGTAACCCGCCTGATTCTTTCGCGAATCAGTTCCGCCACGCATTCAGGCAATTTTCCGTTGCTTTACTACTCCTCGCCGCGGCGAGCAGCACGATCGGCGTGCAGCCTGTCTCTGGCGCCTTCTCTCAGCCCATCGGCGTCTGCTGGGGCCGCAACTCGTGGCAGCAGATGCCGCCCAAAACTGTCGTGAAGCTGCTTCAGGTGAGTCCTTGTACCGAGATGCCTTGTAACGAGTAACATGATCGGCATGGCAGCAGATGCCGCCCAAAACCGTCATGAAGCTGCTCCAAGTGAGTTATGCACGCAATAGGAAATCTCGGACTATTGAGTCGACTCAAAAGTCAGCTCATGCCCTTCCTTGTCAACATGGGCTAGCGCTAGGGTCGCAAGTCATAGAACTACTCCAGTGAAGCTGTTTGGAGTTTCAAACCTCTTGCTCCTTCACCTATCCCTTGTTAATATCACCTCTTCCTACGATCACCTGTTGCTACTGTCACGTGCCTCAGGACAATGGCATCAAGCGGCTGAAGTTGTTCGGAGCTGACGTGGACATCCTGCGCGCGCTGGTCGGCACAGATATAGAGGTCGCAGTGATGCTGCAGAACGAGTACTTGAACCTCGTCGCGGGGTCGCAGAAGGAGGCGGGGAAGTGGCTCAGCAACAACGTGTCTCCCTTCGTCTTCCCTGGAGGGGCAAACATCAAGTAAGTGCCTTGAGACGGCCCAAAACGCCCTCCACCCCGTCTTCCCCCTCACACTCGCCCCACCAAATGCCCTGTCACTCGCCTGCAATGAGCCGACGTGGACATCCTGCGCGCGTTGGTCGGCACGGACATCGAGGTCGCAATGATGCTGCAGAAAGAGCATTTGATCCTCGTCGCGGGGTCGCAGAAGGAAGCAGCCAAGTGGCTCGGCAACAACGTCTCCCCCTTCGTCTTCCCTGGAGGGGCCAGCATCAAGTGAGTGCAACGAGGTGACTTATAACGAGGCTCGGACATCGAGGTCGCCCGTGATGCTGCAGAACGAGCATTTGAACCTCGATGTCAGCAGCAACGTGTTGGTGAAGGAGGTCGCCGGCTCGCAGGAGGAGGCGGGCAAGCAGTTTAGCAACAGCGTGTCTCTGTTTGCGTTCTCCGGAGGGGCCAACATCAAGTGCGTGCTTGGTGCTTGGCGCGCAAGCAAGTAAATTGGTGTGCAGACCTCCCCAGGCGCCTCAAGAATAGTCCTCCCCTGCGCAAATTCGCCTCCCCTCCAAACCCCCCCGGCGTACCCTCGCCTCCTCAGTAGAAACAGAGCCTTTTCTGCAGGGCTATCAGGTCACGTGCAAATCCGCTTTTGAGTCGACTCAAAAGAAGGCTATCAGGTCATGCACAAATTTTGAGGCGCCTCAAAACGAAAAAGAGCCTTTTCTGCAGGGCTATCAGGTCATGTGCAAATCCCCTCGTGAACCCTCCCCCCATCCTCCCCCCCTCCCCCCCCCCTCTCTCTTCCCTTCCCTCGCAACCCCATTCACCTTGGTGCAAAGAGATAGCCGTGGGGAACGAGCCGTTCGTGCAGGGCTGTCAGGGCGTGCACGAGTCCCCTCAAGAGTTTCCTCCCCCTCCCTTCCCTCCTCTCCCCTCTCCCCCCACTTTAACCTCCCAACCCCTTTTGCCCCTTGGCGCAGGGAGATAGCTGTGGGGAACGAGCCGTTCCTGCAGGGCTACCAGGGCATGTACGAGGCAGCAGTGGTCCCAGCAATGCGGAACATCTACAGCGCGCTGCAGGACTCGAAACTGGACGATAAAATCAAGCTCACTGTGCCTCTTAACGCGGATATTCTCGGAAGCTCGTACCCGCCGTCCTCTGGAGCAGTCCGGGATGATATTTTGGAGGATATCACCCAAATAGCGGATATTATCAAGCGGTCAGGAGGAACTTTTTCGATAAATATCTACCCGTTCCTGACGCTGCACCAGGACACGTCGGGGACCATCGGGTTGAACCAGGTTTTTTTGGGGCAGCCCGGCGGGCAGGCATGGCAGGTCAAGGACCCTACGAGCGGGCTCAAATACGACAACATTTTTGATGGGGCATTTGATGCTGTGGTGACTGCTCTGGACAAGATCGGATATGGCGATGTGAGTGCGTTTCAAACCCACTCTTTTCTCACGCTTCATCTTTCCCCCCCCCTGTACCATTCTTCTCCTACCACCCTCCTTCCCCCACCAACCCTCACGCTTTGCTCCATAAGCCACCCCTGATAACCCCCTCCTCCTCCCACCCTCACCCACACACCCACACACCCACACACCTTACCCCCACACCCTTACCCACACACCCACACACCTTACCCTCACCTCCTGCAGCTGCCGATCGAGATCGGCGAGATTGGGTGGCCATCCGACGGTCAGGGTGACTCGCGGGGCTACGCCACTGTGGACAACGCCTATCGCTTCAACCAGGCGATCTTGGCCCACATGCTGTCAGGAAAGGGCACGCCCGCCCGCCCCAACCAGGTCATCAGCGGCTATCTCTTCGCCCTCACTGATGAGGACAGGAAAATTACTCTTGCCGGCCCGTTCGAGAGGCACTGGGGCATTTTCCGCACGGACGGGACGCCGAAATACCCCTTGGATTTGACGGGCGGCGGGAGAAATGTGACCCTGAAAAGTGCCTCGGGACTTGTTTTCTATCCAGGGCAGTGGTGTGTGGCTAAGGCGAGTGCGGACCCCGAGAAATTGGCTGATGCGGTGGCGTATGCGTGCGGGGACCAAAAACCTTCAGATTGCACACCGGCGCAGGTTGGCGGGTCATGTTACTTCGACGGCAACACTGCAAAGGTTGCGACGTATGCGTTTAATAGCTATTACCAGTTGAGTAACCAGTCGAGCGGGGCGTGTGACTTCAAGGGGGTTGCAGAGGTGGTGCAGAGCAATCCGGCTCAGGAACAGTGCAAGTATTTATTGGGAATAGATCAAGCAGCCTCCAAGGCTGCTGGAGTGAGGTTGGGGATGGGGGTTTGGTACCATCACCTGGTTATGGTGTTGACTGCAGTACTCATGGTTGCCATGCTTCCCTGAATGGGGAAGAGTGGTGGATGTAACATTCTGATTGAGGCAAAGACTGGCAAAATATTGCCCTTCGAGACTGTTTCCCATTCAGTGGCAAGTGTGAGCTGCTATGTACAGCCCACCCAGTGCTGCAGCAATGTGATTGGAGCTGATCCCTAGGATCAGCATGTTGCATGGGGGCACTAGGTTTCTGCACATTCAGCCCAAAGTTTGACGGCTGTAGACCTCACAGCTGGACTGTGCAACAGACGAGGAGCGAGTAGCTCTCCACGAGACGGCACCTGAGCCAAGGCTGAAGCAGTAGCCCTGGGTAGACCGGAGTGTCTCAGCGTCGTCTGCCCACGAAGCGTCTGTGTGCCCAGCAAGGACCACTGGCCTGCGTCCTCCTAGCACTAACCCCATGCCCGATGTACTAGCAAGATAACGCAGAACCCTCTTAGCGGCAGACCAGTGCTGCGGTCGGTGTCTGCCTGTGGCCACAAAGCGAGCCAGGATGCTGAGGGGGTATGCGAGATCTGGGCGAGTGCAAGTCATCAGGTACATGAGGCAACCCACCAGCTCTGCGTAGGGGCCGCTGGGCTCTACCAACTCCTCAGGCACTGGAGCGGAGAGCCTGTGGTCTACAGGCAGAGGGGTGGGCTGTGCAGAGGAGAACTGAAGGCTGAACCTCTGAAGGACCTGGCACACCAAGTGTGACTGAGTCAGGGTGATGGTGCGCGCAGCTCTGTCCCTGGAGATCTGCAAGCCAAGGTAACGGCGCAGTTCTCCAAGGTCAGTGCAGGTGTGTCTCTTCAGCAGCTCTGCCTTCACGGAGGCCAGCGCGTCCCTGTCTGCTGTGGCAAAGACCAGGTCGTCGACGTAAACGAGGATGTAGAACGGAGTCTGGCCAGCACGAACGAAGAGTGAAGGGTCTGCAGAAGACGGGAAGAACTGCAGGTCAGCAAGCGTAGCACGGAGAGTGTCGTGCCACTCACGGGGAGCCTGGCGCAGGCCGTAGACGGGGCGCCGCAGGAGCCACTGGGTCCCAGGAGGGAAGGTGCCAGTAAAACCCGGAGGGCGGCGCAGGTAGACCTGCTCGTGTAGGCTGCCCTGAAGGAAGGCAGTGGAGAAGTCGAGGGAGTGAAGCTCGTAGTCACGCTGAGCAGCTAGGTGTAACAGAACTCGAAGAGTAGTCATCTTCGGGGTCGGAGCGAAGGTCTGGAAGAAGTCCACCCCCTCGCGCTGACTGAAGCCTCTAGCCACATAGCGCGCCTTGAAGACAGGCGGCTCTCCAGGAGGGCGCTTCACCTTGAAGAGCCAGCGGCCATCGACTACGTTCACCCCAGGCGGGGGAACTGCGTCGACGAAGGTGCCGGTGGATCTCCAAGATGCCATCTCCTGCTCCATGGCAGCTATCCACTGCGAGGCCCAGGGTCCCGAAGTCGCCTCAGCGTAAGTGCGAGGGGTCGGGATATTGAAAGCGTCTGGGTCACCCTCAGGGACTAGCAGCATGGAACAGAGATGGGGAGCAGCACGAACTGCCAAGCTCGAACTGGCGGTCCTCCAGGACGTCACTGCCAAGGGCAGAAGCACCCCCGACAGACGGAGGACAGGCAGGGTCAGAGACCAGAGCGGTGGCGTAGTCAAGGCGGCGGGTAGAGGCGAAGTCAGTGACAGCAGCGACAAGAGCGTCAAGGCACGAGACCGGAACAGACGGGTCGGTAACGAGAGAGGCAAGGACCCGAGGAACGAGAGGACGAGCGGCACGAAGGTAGTCGGACAGCGGGGGGGGCGCGACAACAAGGGAGGACGGAGGAGGCAACGGCAGAAGGGGAGGACGAGACGCGTGGGAACGAAGCAACATAGGGTGGGAGCGCAAGACAGGCGAGGCAGGACGAGCACGGGAGGGACGGTGAGACCAGACGTGCGACGGAGGAGTCGGGTCAGGAGACAGGGGAGGGGACACAGGAGGGGAACGAGGGGGAAGACGGGCCGGGGACGAGTCGGGCGGAGGGAAAACAGAGCCGTAGACAGGAAGAGGAGGAGACGGTCGGGGAGGAACCGACGCAGGGTCGGGGGACAGAAGGCCGAGCAGGCGAAGGGCGGACACCGGTGGGGACTGCTGCTGCGGCGGCACAACGGCGACACCGGTACCGCAAGCTGCTCCTCGGCTACCACCGGCACTCTCCACACCCGCACCCCCAGAGGGACCACCCTCAGGGCGACCGGGACGAGCACCCCCAGAGTCAGCGAACGGGGGCTGCGACGGCGGCGGCGGCGGCGGCGACGGCGACGGCTGCAGCGGCGGCAGGGGCGGCGGAGGAGGGGACTGGGGAGGGGACACCTGGGGAGGGGCGGCCGGCGAGGACTGCACCGGAGGGCCACCAGAGTCAGAAGACTCCTCAACCGGGTCCACGGACGGAAGGGGGGTGACGTGGGAGACACCAGAGGGGGCGGGACGGGGAGGAGGAGGAGGAGGGGCAGGGACTACTGGGGAAGGGGTGACCAGGAACAGGGGGGGGGGTACCCGGGGGACCACGGTGGGGGAAGCGGCGGTAGTAGGAGATGGACTCGTCAAAGGTAATGTCACGAGAGTGAAAGAAGCGGTGAGACGGCGGGTGGTAAAAGTGCCAGTCGGACGCGTCAAGGGGAAAACCAAGGAAGACGCAAGGAAGGGTGCGGGCAGTGAGCTTGTCCGTGCCGGAGGCACGGACGTGAGCAAGGCAGCCCCAAACGTGGAACGCATACGCGTCACCAGGAGACCCAGTCCAAAGACGGGTCGGCGAAACCTGCGGCTGCTGAGGGTGCGGCCACAGGTTAAGCTGGTGAGAAGCGTAGCGCACAGCGAACGGCCACAGAAAATGGGGTGCACCGGCATGGACCATGGAGGTGCGAGCGACCTCCATGACCAAACCGATGCGTCGCTCGGCGACCCCATTCTGCTGTGGGGAGTCCGGTAGGGTGAACGTCTGGGTGATGCCCTCCGCACGACAAAAGCGACCAAGGACATCTGAGGCAAACTCGCCACCACGGTCGGAGTGAAGACGCAAGACAGGGAGACCGCGGTGGACACGCGCAGAGACAAGCCAGGGGATGAGGGCGTTAGGCATGTCGGCCTTGCGCTCCAGGGGAAAGACTGTGGTGTAACGAGTGAAGTCGTCGACAAGCACAAGGAAGTAGCGCTCGCGACGCGGCCCAGGGACGGGGGCGGGGCCCCAGACGTCCAGGTGCAGGGTCTGCAGCGGCGCGGCGGTAGGGGGGAACGAGGAGGAGTGAGGGGCACGGCGAAGCCGACCCTCGACACAAGGCGTGCAAGGTGGAGCTGGGGAGGAGGGAAACGCGGGGAGGGAACCTGGGAGACCAAGGACAAGACCGTGCTGGGACATGTGACGCAGACGCGGGAGCGCAGGGTGACCTAGGCGGTGGTGCCACAGGAGGGTCGGGTGAGTGAGGGAGCGACAAGAGCAGGCAGCAGCAACCTGGGTAGACACAGCCACCTGAGGGGGCGCTCCAGCCGGGGGGGGCACGGTGTCCAGAGTGAACAGGCCGGACACCGGGTCCCGGGGGAACGTGGACAGGGGGGCACCAGTGGCGGCCTCGGTACAGACAGCATACTGCTCGTGACCAGGGAACGTAGTGGTGACGCCAAGGTCCTGGAGGCAGCCGACACCAACTAGGTTCCTGGAGAACGAGGGGATATGCAGACCTGTAAGAGAGCCCGAAGGAACCGCCGGACAGGGAAGGGTGGTGGAACTGCGGGCGACTACCGGACCGCCGGAGGGGTCAGCAAGAGAAACGGCAGCAGGAACAGGAAGTGGCGTCAGGGTGGTGGAGTCGCGGAAGAAACACCGAGAGGCGCCAGAGTCCAAGGTAAAGGAAAGCGAAGCCGAGGGGTCTGGCGACGGAACGACGGCAGAAGCACCAAGACTACACAAAGCAGGGGGTCCTACGCCTGACGCAGAAGGGGAGGCTAAGCGAGGCACACCTACACTAGGCAACAGTGAGTAATAAGCGGGAAGCACACTAGAGTCATCAGCATACATCACGCGTAGGTAGGATCCCCCCCCCCCCCCACCTACCGCTTCTGCTCGCCCCCCTAGCCCCGTCGCGGCCCCCTCTAGCCCCGTCGCGCCCCTTCCTGGGCCCCGTCGCGCTCCTCCTTGGGCCCGTAGCGCCCCTCCTGGGCCCCATCGCGCCCTTTCTGGGCCCTGTAGCGCCCCTCCTGGGCTCTGTCGCGCCCCTCCCAGACCCTGTCGCGCCCCTCCTGGGCCCCGTCGCGCCCCTCCCAGGCCCCGTCGCGCCCCTCCTGGGCCCCGTCGCGCCCCTCCCAGGCCCCGTCGCGCCCCTCCTAGGCCCCGTCGCGCCCCTCCCAGGCCCCGTAGCGCCCCTCCTGGGTCCCGTCGCGCCCCTCCCAGGCCCCGTAGCGCCCCTCCTGGGTCCCGTCGCGCCCCTCCCAGGCCCCGTAGCGCCCCTCCTGGGTCCCGTCGCGCCCCTCCCAGGCCCCGTAGCGCCCCTCCTGGGTCCCGTCGCGCCCCTCCCAGGCCCCGTAGCGCCCCTCCTGGGTCCCGTCGCGCCCCTCCCAGGCCCCGTAGCGCCCCTCCTGGGACCCGTCGCGCCCCTCCTGGGCCCCGTAGCGCCCCTCCTGGGCCCCGTCGCGCCCCTCCCAGGCCCCGTCGCTCCCCTCCCAGGCCCTGTCGCGCCCCCTCCTGGGCCCTGTAGCGCCCCTCCTGGGCCCTGTCGCGCCCCCTCCTGGGCCCCTGCAGCGCCCCTCCTGGGCCCCCCGTCGCGCCCGCCCGGTCCTGTTGCACCAGCCCGGCCCCGTCCTGCTCGCCCGGCCCCGTCGCAGCCGCCCGGCCCCGTCGCATCAGCCCGGCCCCGTCGCGCCCGCCCGGCCCCGTCGCACCGGCCCGGCCCTGTCGCCCCCGCCTGGCCTAGTCGCCCCTGCCCGGCCCCGTCGCGCTCGCCCGGCCCCGTCGCCCCGGCCCGGCCCTGTCGCACCAGCCCGGCCTTGTCGCGCCCGTCCGGCCCCGTCGCGACCGCCCGGCCCCGCCGTCCGCGCCCGGCCCGGTCGCACCTGCCCAGCCCCGCTGCCCCGGCCCCGTCCTCCTCACTGGTACGGTTCCCCCCCACCCCGCCCAACACAGCCCTGCACCGTACCGCCACGCACCACCCTGTACTGCCTTACACCGCACGGCACCGCACTGCACCGCACTGCACCGCACTGCACCCCACTGCACCGCACTGTACCGCACTGCACCGCACTGCACCGCACTGTACCGCACTGCATCACACTGCACCGCACTGTACCGCACTGCACCGCACTGCACCGCACTGCACCGCACTGCACTGCACTGCACCGCCCTGCACCGCCCTGGACTGTTCCTAATGGCGGCGGAGCATCGCTTTGACGCTGAAGGTCAGCCCCTAGAGTTCGAGGCGTGGCTTGCCGACCTCCGCCGCCAACTCACTGGCCAGCGGCAGGATGGTGAACCGCTTTCCGCACACCTTGACGGTACGCTCCCCTGCCCAGACCCTCCTGCTATTCTGCCCGCTGACCCCACACCCACTGAGCGTGAGTCTACTGCTGCCATTGCCCGTGCGCGCTCTGTCTGGCTTTCTCGCGATGCTGTCGCCCAGCTTGCCATTAGCAACGCCCTCCCCCCGTCCGAGCGTCCTCGCTTTAGGTCCCTCACTACTGCTCAGGCATACTTAGATGCTGTCATCAAGCGCTATTCCACCCCTCCGGCTGCCTCGGTGGGTCGCCTGATCCTCCCGCTGCTCTTTCCTGACCTTGCTTCTTTCCCCACTGTCTCTGACCTCGCTGCCCACCTGCGCTCGATAGAGGAGACCTGGCGCGCTGCCTGCACTGACGCCCAGCTTAGAGCCCACCAGCCGCCCATTACCTCTACCCTCTACCTGCTTGCCACCCGCCTCCCTGACCGCCTTGCTGTCGCCCGCGACCGCTTCCTTAGTGTTCACCCCGCAGACCTCACCCTCACTGACTTTGTCGACACCCTGACTGTGATAGAGACCCGTCACCGCTCCATCGCCCAGGCGAGCGGTGTCGTGCCGGTCCCTATCTTTCAGGGTTGTGCCCCCGCTCAGTGCACCTTCTCCGACGGCTCTGCCGCAGTGGCTGAGACTGCTGCTGCAGCGCAGGCCCGTTCTGGGAAGGGCCGCCGCCCCAAGGTTGGGCGCGGCGGAGGGGGCGGCGGGGGTGTGGGCGGGGGTAGTGGTGGGGTCGGGTCGCCTGGTGCTGGAGCGGACGAGGGGACACTGCCCAGTCCAGCTGAGTCGCCGCCCCTGCAGTTGCAGAAGCCGCAGCAGCCGCCGCAGTCGCAGCCTTTGCAGCAGCCGCAGCAGCCGTCGCAGACACGGCAGACGAGTGTTCTCCCGCCAGGGTGGCCCGGCGCTGGCGGTGGACGGGCGTGTGGTGGTGTGCCGCGTGGTGGCTCTGCCGGCGGGCGTTGTCAGTACCAGATCCAGACCGGTCCTCGCCGCGGCTTCGTTTGCGGTAAGATCGTTCACTCCACTCCCCGCTGTTTTCGTCGCCTGGACGACCTCTTTCGTCAGCGCTTCGGCCCGTCGCCAGACCTCCCGGACTGGCACAGTTTGCTTAGTCGTCAGATTCAGATCTTTGATATGGACATGGATGCCATTGTTTCTGCTCTGATACCATATTAGAAATTCAAGTGATAGTGATAGAGAGAGAGTACACACAATATAGCTAAGTGTTGTACCCTCTAAGAGGCTACCCTATACAGTCTATACAAACATAACAAATAGACATGTTTGACAGTAGAGTCCATGTTCTGGCGAACTGTAGCTCATGGCTCACACCATGTATAATGCGCTTGGACACCAATATTATGTGTCCAGGTGCATTGGGTTTGCAATGTTGAGTTGAACATTCCCAAACCCCTGGTACCCCCGCGTTTAGGCTAGCCGTCACAAGTACTATGTTGGTAAGATTACATGATTATTTACTTCGTTGAGATTGGGTGGTAGCCCATCTATTGGATTGTTTTCTATATAATTAATGCTGAAGCCAATGGCATGTAGAAATAATTCGTTGCGATTCCGTCTCTCGATACTGCACCCTAATAACGCGTCGCTGATTGAACAGCTTTCATTGGATGCGGCACAAAAGATCAGGAAACATGTACAGTACAGTGTGAGCTAGCCTTGATTCCGTTGGGGACTGTGGGAAAAGATTTGCTTGTGTGCCGTCCTTGTGTCCCCAACTTCTACTGGGGGCTTAATATGAATAATAAAAACACAAAACCATTGCGGTTTTTTGAAACATATTCGGCAATGAGCCGCACACGGATATTCTATCTGCTGAGTGCCCCATCTGAAAAAAATGTAAGAGGGAGGTCTTCCGTGTTGACCGGGCAACCTCAAGACCTAGGGTAGGGTAGGGACTAGAGATAGTAGGGGAAGAGCGCGAAGGGGAGGGAATCGAGGGGGGAGTCGGTTTGGTGCTGTCATGCCACCCAACCGCCTTCCCTTGACCGCTCCCTCAAAACAAGGCCAGCAACACTAGCTTACCTTACCCCCAAGCTCTATCTGTCGATCTCTTTGAAGTCAGGAGTCAGTTCCAGCAGGAGTGACCGATTTCAGTTGCTCGGTGGTGGCCCTGTAGAGGCGTCAACGCAGCCAGCCGTGCATAGCTGTCGTCGTATAGCTTCTAGTTGGAGTTTTTTTTTTAACTAGGTATTTTTGGATAGAATGGGTGAGCGGAGAGTGAAGTTTTCTGATGACCGGTTGGCTCCCGGCCACGCGCTTCATGGATCTGTATTGGGTAGAAAAACAGGTACTAACTTGCTCTCCTATTTATTTTGTTTCAGTGCTCGTTACGCATGTCGTGCTTTCAAATGCTACCAACCAATGCTACCACTCGTTTTTTGCAAGCCTTTGTTAGAATCCATATGTTCCCAGGTCCATGATTTAATATGCTTACCTGTACTTTAGTCACATTTTGCAATATGAGTTCTTGTCTCATTTTCCAACATTACATCTAGTTACATTTCTCGACATTTCGCGACATTTCGCGCAGAGCAACTGGAGTCGCTGTTCAAGCTGGGAAAGAAGCTCGGGCAGGGGCAGTTCGGCGTGACGTTCCTCTGCACGGAGAAAGCCACGGGGAAGGAGTACGCGTGCAAGACCATTGCAAAGAAGAAGCTTATATCGAGGGAGGACGTGGAGGATGTTAAGAGAGAGGTGGCGATTATGCATCACCTGTCAGGCCACGGGAACATCGTGTGCATCAAGGGGGCGTACGAGGACCACGCGAATGTGCACATTGTCATGGAGCTCTGCACGGGAGGCGAGCTGTTCGAGCGCATTATCAAGAAAGGCCATTACAGGTACGCGCGTAGAGTGATCATAATCACATGTGCTTTTTAGGGCTCTGTTACTACATTGCGCGCATCAAGGGAGCGTACGAGGCCCACGCGAGTGTGCGCATTGTCATAGAGCTCTCAGCTCTGCACGCGAGGCGAACTGTTCGAGCGAATCATTAAGAAGGGTCATTACAGGTATGCGTCGGAGTGTACGTTACGTCGTGCTTCCTATCATGCTTTCTTAAGGGTCGCTGCGTGTATTAGTGTCACTCTAGGCAAATGGTGAGCGCTTGCTGCATTTGACTTATGCACTCAAAAAGGTCGCTACTTATGTAAGTGTCACTGCAGGAAGGTGAGTATTTCTGGGTCATTAGGTCTAAGAGACGCCTACATTGCCTTCAGTTTTCGCTCGGAGGGCGAGGCGTTAGTTATCGCGCACTGTGACGAAGTGTACCATTCTTCTGCTGGGTGGTGCGTGGAGGAGGAGGATAAGTAATTTAGTTCTGAGACGTCTCAAAACTAATTTACTTAACCACTTATCGCGCACGGTGACGAAGTGCACCGTTCTTCTGCCGGGTGGTGCGTGGAGGAGGAGAAGGACGGGGTTGGGAGCATAACTTGCATGCGTGGGTGCGTGCATGCAAGCATTATTACAGGCTTCTGTTGGATGGTTATAAAATGAGGAAAATGGCGGGCCTCCGAAGTCTGTGCCGTCTGCATCATGCTATATCGTTTATGAAAGACAGTGTCAAAATTCTCGCTTTTGGTGAGGCAATTATGCGTGAGGATTCTAATTTTGAGGCGCCTAATAAAGGGCAATAATGCGCTGACTTTTAAGTCGGCTCAATAGTCAGCTCGTTCGAGTCCGCTCAAATAAAAAGGTTCGTTCTTGGTGAGGCATCCTCAGCGCTGGAGCACGGAAAACTTAGCAGGTGGATTCCGCTTCCCAGTACACACAAACACACACCCATGTGCGCGTGCACTCACACCCGTGCGCACACACGCACCTGCACGCACACGCACACGCACGCACTAACATGCAACGCTCCCCTGTTGACCAGTCCGTTCGCCCCCTGCTCCTGCCAACGCACACATACCGCACGCACACACGCACACGCACACCACATGCTGGCACATAAATACTCCCGCTCCCGTCCTTGAAGCCGCGACTCACCGCGACTTGAAGCCAATCCTGCATCCCACCCACCCCCTTCTCGTCCCCCCTCCCCCCCCCGTTCCCCACCTTTTCCCCAGGCTCCAGGCAGCGCAGTTGACTCTGCACTATCGCCAACGCGAGCTGGTAGAGGCGTGCCAGTTGTTGGAGTTAATTCACATTCTGTCCTCTCCCCTTCCCCCCCCCCACCGCCCGCCCCCCCTCCCTTCTCTTTTCCCCGCAGTGAGCGCCAGGCGGCGGAGCTGAAGCGCACAATCGCGAAGGCGATCGAGGCGTGCCCCACGCTCACGTATCACTCAAGTATTCCCTCTCCCCCCCCCCCTTCCGCCCACCCCTTCCCGCCCTCTCTCCTGCAGTGAGCGCCTGGCAGGGGACCTGACCAGGACTATTGACAAGGTGATCGAGGCGTGCCACTCACTGGGCGTGAGCCACCGCCACCTGAAGCCTATCCTGCATTTCCCCATCCCCGTCCTGCCCCCCCTCCCCCCTCCCCCTCTTCCCCCCTCCCCCCCCCTTCCCGTTCCCCCTTGCAGCGAGCGCCAGGCGGCGGAGCTGACGCGCACCATAGCCAAGGTGATCGAGGCGTGCCACTCGCTGGGCGTGATCCACCGCGACCTGAAGCCCGAGAACTTCCTCTTCGCCAGCAAGTCCGAGCACGCCGACCTCAAGGCCACCGATTTCGGCCTCTCCTACTTCTTCAAGCCAGGTGCGGTGCGGTGCGGTGCAGTGCGGTGTGCAGTGCAGTGCAGTCGCTATTTGTGGTCTACTTTTTCAAGCCTGGCTTGGCGAGTCCTTGCCCTTTCACACACATGGCGTGTGCCCTTCACGCACATGGTGTGTGCTCTGCACTTCCCCTCCCCCCATCCCTTCTCCTTCCCCTTCCGTTTCGCCTTTCATGTGCCACCATCCCACCAGGCGAGTACATGTCCCGAGGTGCTGGGCGGCCCAGACTATGTGGTTCCCGAGGGGCCTTTTGATCAATCCGCCCCACTCCCCCCGCCCCGCCCCACCTCCCACCTCCCGCCCCACCTCCACCAGGCGAGTACCTGTCGAACGTGGTGGGTAGCTCAAGGTGGTCCATGCGTAAGCCTCCTGATATGCTATTGTTACCGTACCATCCCCTTGTGCCCCACCAGGCGAGTTCCTCTCGGACGTGCTGGGCAGCCCGTACTATGTGGCGCCCGAGGTGCCTTAAAACAATTCGCCCCCCTCTCGCCTCCCCCTCTCCTCCCCCTCTCCACCCCCTCTCCCTGCCCCCCCTCCCACCTCCCATCCCACCTCCACCAGGCGAGTTCCTCTCGGACGTGGTGGGCAGCCCGTACTACGTGGCGCCCGAGGTGCTGCGCCGGCGGTACAACGAGAAGGCGGACGTGTGGAGCATGGGCGTCATCATCTACATCCTGCTCAGCGGCGTGCCGCCCTTCTGGGCAGGTACGCGACCAGATAGGCCGATCACTCGTCTGGGCAGGTCTGTACCTTATTAGACGATCTCAAAGGACTCATCAGGTATTCAGAAGTCTGACGTGCATGGGCGCCATCATCTACGTCCTGCTCAGCGGTGTGCCGCCCTTCTGGGAAGGTATTTACCCCTTTAAGGCTTTTCTGGACTCTTACGCGTTGAGCATGGGAGACAAAGTTTATTTTCTCCTCAGGCAAGCTGGATGCTTGAGTACGCCCAATCAAACCGTCTTTGTCGCCCCACTCCCCCATGTGATCTAAGTTTCGTTTCGAGTCTACTCAAAAGACGGAGCAGGGCATATTCAAGGCGGTGCTGCGTGGTGAGCTGGACTTCCATGCGATGAGCTGGACTGCCTGTACCCTAATCCAACACCACCCCCCCCCCCCCCCCTCCCCCACTTCCCCCCCTTCCCGCCCGTTTGTGCGCCCACACATCCACCAGAGTCAGAGCAGGGCATATTCGAGGCGGTGCTGCAGGGCGAGCTGGACGTTGAATCTTACTTCCCCCCCTCCGCCCCCTTCTCCTTCTCCCCCAATTCGCCCCGTTCTCCTTCCCCCATCGCCAGAGACGGAGCAGGGCATATTCGAGGCGGTGCTGCGCGGCAAGCTGGACTTTGAGGCGATCTGATTCACACCACGCCCTTCCCTCCCCCCTCGCCCCCCTTCCCCCCCACTCCTCCTCCCACCTCCCAAATCCTCTGCTTCGCGTCCCCCCATCGCCAGAGACGGAGCAGGGCATATTCGAGGCGGTGCTGCGGGGCGAGCTGGACTTTGAGTCGGACCCATGGCCGTCCATCAGCGAGGACTCCAAGGACCTCATCCGCCACATGTGCTGCCTCGACCCCAAGAAGCGCTACTCCGCCTACGATGTGCTGTGTGAGTTGATGTGTTGGTGTGCTGCCTGTGTGCTGTGTGAGTTGGTTGCTCAGTGATGGTGCCTCGCTCACTGTGAAAGAGGGCAAGGAAGGGCCCTCCCAGCCGTCCATCAGCCAGGACTCCAAGGACCTCATCCGCCACATGTGCTGCCTCGACCCCAAGAAGTGCTACCCCGCTTATGATGTCCTCTGTAAGTTTGTGCATTCGCTCCGCGAGTGTGCATGAGTACAGGGGAGAGCGTGTGAGGACTGCCACCTCATATGGATGTGGAAGGGAGGAGGGGAGCCACATGTGCTGCCTGGAACTCAAGAAGCGTTACACGGCCTATGACGTGCCGTGTAAGTCGATAGCCGTGGGAATGTGGTGCAGATGTGTACAAGTGTGTATGCCGTGCTCTGGGTCTGGGAGAGATGGAGAAGTAATGCATGTCCATCAGTGAGGACCCTAAAGGGGCCTCATCCTCCCCTTAGCTGCTTGTGTCCCCTCTCGTCCCCTCCCTTCTCCCTTCCGCCCGCACCCCCTCCCTCCAGGCCATCTGTGGGTGGCGGAGCACGGGGTCGCCCCAGACCAGCCTCAGATTTCCTGTCCTCTGAAATCCCAGAGAACGGCGGATCCCACCTGAAGCGTTTCTCACTGCCCGCCCCCTCCCCCCTCTGCCTCAAGGCCACCCATGGGTGGCAAAGGAAGGTTCCGCAGTCCTTTCCCGCCTCAAGCAGTTCACGGCGATGAACAAGCTCAAGAAGATGGCGCTGAGGGTGATAGCGGAGAGCATGTCGGAGGAGGAGATCTCGGGGCTCAAGGAGACGTTCAAGATGATGGACACCGACGGCAGCGGCACCACTTAACCCACCCGTCCTCACTCTACCTGCTCACCCTTCCCCTCCTCCCTGCGCGCCTGCTCCCCCCTCTCCCCTCGTCGCCTATCTCCCTCACCCCTCCCAACCGCCTCCAGGCCATCCGTGGGTGGCAAAGGACGGGGTCGCGCCAGACAAGCCTCTCGGCTCGGCAGTGCTCTCCCGGCTGAAGCAGTTCACAGCGATGAACAAGCTCAAGAAGATGGCGCTGAGGGTGATGGCACCACTTCCCCATCCCCCTTTCTCCACCCCCCCCTTCCCCACCCTCCCTCCCTCCCACAGGCCATCTGTGGGTGGCGAAGGACGGAGTGGCACCCGACAAGCCCCTGGGATCAGCTGTCCTGTCTCGCCTCAAGCAGTTCACAGCGATGAACAAGCTCAAGAAGATGGCTCTGAGGGTGACAGCACCACTTCCCCATCCTCAAAAATCGACTCATTACCACTTCCCCATCCCCCTTTCTCCACCCCTCTCTCCCTCCCCCCCCCCCCCACTCTCTCTCCCGCAGGCCATCCGTGGGTAGCAAAGGACGGAGTGGCTCCAGACAAGCCTCTCGGCTCCGCAGTGCTCTCCCGGCTGAAGCAGTTCACAGCGATGAACAAGCTCAAGAAGATGGCGCTGCGCGTGATAGCGGAGAGCATGTCGGAGGAGGAGATCTCGGGGCTCAAGGAGACCTTTAAGATGATGGACACCGATGGCAGCGGCACGATTACTTACGAGGAGCTGAGGGCGGGGCTCAAGAGGATCGGGTCGACCCTCAATGACTCGGAGATCCGCGAGCTCATGGATGCGGTATGCTGGCAATGAAATGCCGTCCGCATTGGGTTGGGGAGGTTTGTGTGCGGGGTAGGTTTGTGTGCGGGGTAGGTTTGTGTGTGGGGGAGGCTTGTGTGCGGGGTAGGTTTGTGCGCCTGCTAGTCAGGACTCAAGGAGACGTTCCCAATCAATGATGGACACCAACAGCAGCCACCATCGACTAAGCTCATTCTTGGCTTCAACAACTCCCTTAATTGCCATTCTCCCTTTGTTCGCTTTCACCCACGGCGCTCTCCCCGTGCACGGTGCACCACTTCCCAGGCTGATATCGACAGCAACGTCACCATTGATTATGGCGAGTTCCTCGGAGCGAGCAGCTGAACAAGGTCGAGCGCGAGGAGACGTCGTTTGCCTAGAATCCGGGGCTCAGACGCGAGGAGATGTCCCCTCCATTACCCTGTATTGGCCCTCCTCCCTCCCCGTTGTTCTTGGTACCGCCTGGCTCCCCCTGCACCACCCCCCAGGCTGATATCGACCGCAACGGCACCATCGACTGCGGCGAGTTCCTGGCGGCGACGGTGCAGCTGAGTAAGATCGAGCGCGAGGAGACGCTGTTTGCGGCCTTCTCGTACTTTGACAAGGACTCGTCCGGCTCCATCTCCACCGACGAGCTGCAGGACGCCTGCCGCCCGTACAGGGCTCAACTCTCATTCCTCCCCCCTCCTCCCCCTTCCTCCCCCTCCTCCCCCCCCTCCCCCCCCCACCCCTGGCCTGTGCTCCCCCTCCCTTTCTGTGCCGTGCTTGCCCCCTGCTTCCTGCTACATTACACCCAGGCTGACATTGATGGCAACGGCACAATCGACTACGGCGAGTTCCTGGCGGCGACGGTGCAGCTGAACAAGATCGAGCGCGAGGAGACGCTGTTTGCGGCCTTCTCGTACTTTGACAAGGACTCGTCCGGCTTCATCTCCACCGACGAGCTGCAGGACGCCTGCCGCGAGTACGGCGTCGACGAGGAGTGCATCGTGGAGACCATGCGCGATGTGGACACTAACAACGTGAGTTTGGTAGCTGGAGGTGTAGACTTTCTCAGCCCGAGCTGCAGGACGCCTGCCGCGAGTATGGGGCGGATGAGGAGTGCATCGTGGAAACCATGCGCGATGTGGACACTAACAATGTGAGATATATGTGATAAGGTGCATGGTGGGTTTGTTGAATCAAGAGGCATTGGCACGAGCTGCAGGACGCCTGCCGCCGAGTGCATTGTGGAGACCATGCGCGACGTGGACACTAACAACGTGAGTGATGTGGGATGATATGGGTCGTATGGGTGTTGGTGAGTTGACTCAAGAGCCCCTGGACGAGCTGCAGGTGCCTGCGGCGAGTACGGCGTCGACGAGGAGTGCATTGTGGAAACCATGCGTGACGTCGACACTAACAACGTGACTGCAGTTAAAAAACATACAGTAACGAGTCGCAGGACACCTGCTGCGGGTACGGCATGGACGAGGAGTGCATCGTGGAGACGATGTGCGAAGTGGACACTAACAACGTGAGTGTGGTTGTGTGGTTGTCCGAGGTGTAGCGAGTCTTAGATGCACCTTGCCTTGCTGCCAGACATATGCTGCGAGTATGGGATGGATGGGGAGTGCATGGTGTCGACGATGTGCAATGTCAACCCTGACAACGTGAGTGCGGCAGCCCTTGGTGTAGACTTTCGTCGCTTGACGTGCTGCAGGTCGCCTCCCGCAAGTAGGGGATGGATGAGGAGGAGAGCAATGCTGAGACGATGCACGATGTCGACATTAACAAGGTAGTCTGTAGAGTCTAGTGGAGGTGCCTGGAGGTGGAATGTTGATTCTGTACGTGTTACTGCCACATGTCTTGATGTGTGCCCTGTGAGTTTTGTTCTAGAGGTGTGGTATGCAGGGGTCCCTGTTCTCCATCTTTGTTTCTTGTTTTGTCTTACTCTTGTACGAGCACCCTCTTCTCCCATTGTTGATGATTGCTTGCCCTTGTGCTACAGGATGGCATTATTGATTATAACGAGTTCGTGGCTATGATGAGGCAAGGCAACGGAGGCATTGGCAGGAAGAGTTTGGGCGGCAGCTGGACAAGTGGGAACCTCTTCCGCGACCTGGTGTCTGCCGGCCAAAAGGCGGGGCCCAATTCACCACTGGCGTCCGTACAACCCTGACCTTGCTTGCTTTCACTCGCTTGCTTGCATGTTTTTAACTGACTGAACCTATCACCCAGCATTGAGTAGAGTGGGGGATTTTTTAGGGCACTACGTCCTTCAGGTGGAGCGGAGTCGGTGTTTGACTAGTTATTTTAGTTATGATGCATGCACGCACTCCTGGATGCACTGAAATTCGTATGGTTGTGTGTAGCTATCATCTGGACACATGAACGCCAATCAGGCTGGCTTGATGTAGCATTTTCTGATGCACTCTTTCTTACATTGCATGGTGTAGCGTATTCAAGTTGTGAAGAGGCACTTTGTCGTACAATTTAGAAATATTCCATACAGCATTAACGGATGATGCTTCCAAGACCATCACACTGTAGCAGCGAAAGCGCCTGATGCTTGCGGAGCTTTGGTGACGTGCCCTCGCGTCCTTCCATGTCAGACGCGCTGCAGCTGGGCCTGTCTTGGGCTTGCATGCGGCCTCTCATTCGTTTAGAGCTTCAGATTTGTGATCTACTCGAGAGCCGCTGCAATGATAACCGCTGCTAATGCCTCACGCAGGTGATCTTTGTGAATGGTTGGTACGAATTGTAGGTGAAACTTTCTGCCTAGCGGAGACGGCCCTGATACGATCGGGGCATGTGATGATGCATCTAGGATGACGTGTGCTCCCATTGTCCACCAGGAATGATGCCTGGTTACAGTTCGTGCAATTTGGCGAACATCTCGAACATTCGTTACCATGTCCCAGGGAGTCTTCCAGGTCTGCTTCTATAGTCTAGAGTTAAAAAAAAATGGCTGGAACTGGATGCGTGTTTAGTGTTGGTGCAACCGGGGGGGGGGGGGGGGGGGGGGGGTTGCATTAGTAGAATTTGTGAGGTCGAACTTGGCGTCCGAGCCAGACGTTGGAGATTTACAAGTTCGTGGACTGAGTTCGCCAACTCCGAAGGCTGGGGGCGATTTGCATGCTTGACCAGGAAGTGAACGTTCCGTTCTTCTGAGACAGAAAGATGGGTTCGAACCCGAGACCCTTAATGACCCCTCCCTAATTAATAAATTTAAGCATTCATAATGACACGAGAGCATTTCGTCAGAAATCCCTTGTGCTGAGGGCGTGGTGCCTACAGTTCGGATGGCCCAATTCCGAAACTGAGTCCGAAAATCCACGTGTCCGAACCAGACAAGTCTGGTACACCGAGTTCCGAAGACCCCTCTGTCCAGACCGGACAAGGAAGTCGGGTACCTTCCGTCCGAGCTGAATGTCCACAAATTCACATTTTTGAATCAGACCGAAATGACGATAAATATCGAATATTCACGAAACCAACAAGTTCAAGAGCGAAAACACCCCAACCGCCATCCCTATCAACCCACAGCGTGATGTGTCGGCATAACGCTGGGCGAAAAATGCAACTGTGTTCCCCGCTCGCAATTTTCGCCCTGTCGCTCGGGCACGGAAAAGTTTCGAAAATGACGAAATTCCGTTCATACGGACGTTCGGACGCTCCGTCCGGATGGAGGGTACAATACCTTGTTCGGACGGACGGGGTTTTCGGGAGGTGGTTGGCGAACTTATGTACGAGGACTGGCGAACAATATTACCCTGTTCGTTTATGGACGGAACTCAGTTCCGAAACCTAAGGCACCACGCCCTAAAAAGCCTTGGGCATTCCTTTAGCAGCACCACCACCAAGGACTGGCACAAGGCAGAAACCTGCATCAGCAAATGAAGTTTCCTACGGTCCTTCCATGGGGACGAAGGACCATCACCGCACCGCCACGACCACCCCGCATCAACTGAGGCGGAATACAGTTGCTTTGAGCTGCTGACTGCTCAGGATGGACGGCAAATTGTGGGGGGGAAGGTGCCATTCGTGTCATGTGAACAAGTGAGTTGTAACGCGGCTGGCTCAGCCGTGTCAATTGACTCTTGGCGGCTGCTGTTTTTGCTTGCCACTAGCAGGTTAGCGACATGCAGACGAAATGCATGTCATGTGGCGAAAATAGGGATCGGGCTGTTTCAGCAGCTTAGTCACCCATGCAGCTACTGTGCGAAACAGCCTTGCGAAATTGTCCGACCCTGGCCTCACCACCAGCCCATCCTGGAAGTGGATTCGAGCGTCGCAAGTGGACGGAATGCCATGTCAACGGCATCGATTCTAGCAGAAGGACGAAGGGCAGGCAGAAGGCAGCGGGCAGGGGTGGCCGTCATAGACACAATGCATTGCCTGCAACTGCCGAAGTAAAACCAAACGGAAAAGCTCGGGCAAGACGGGAAAACTTTCCATGGGTTGTGTAGCTTCTTAATCCAGTTTGCGGCGGTGGTTACAGTTTGCCGTTCGGAATCCGAACTCGCACCGCCATCTGATGTTCCGATTCCTCGTGGGGCTGACACAAATGCGGTGCGCATCACCCCGTCACGCACGCCCCGCCCCAAAGCAAACCCGTTTTCAAGAGGGGTCTGCGCAACCCAACATGACATGGGGGAACAACCATCCCATGATCCCACCATTCCACCAGGCATCTGCGTTTCACCTGCCATCTGCATCTCACTTGCCATCGTGTGATGATGGAAATCTGATTTGCCACCGCCACCTGGCATCAAAAGCAGCCCAGCAAGCCGGGCAGAGGGCAGCGCGCGGCAATCCCGAGGGTGCAGGAGGTAGGAGGCAGCAAGGGGGAGTCTTGTTGGGGGAAGTTTGAGGGGAAGGAGGGCTGGTTGGAGGGAGCAGCAGTGGGGTTTGGGGGTGGGGGGCTGGAAGAAATCTGGGGCATTTGGTTTTCACGAAATTCTCGAGTCGCGACGAGTCACCTCAGCCCAGAAGGACAATCGCTCCTGATGCTGCATCCGCCAGCTGTGTGCCCCTTCTCCCCTCGAGTCCCTCCCCTCACCCGTCCACGCTGCCTCTCTCGTCTCGATTCTCCCTCGCCCCTTACCTCACCACCACTCTGTCATCTCACCTCACCTCATCACCCTTTCCTCTGCTCGACAACTCATCGGCCTTCCTCCCTCGATATTTACGTGGCAATCGCCACACATGCTCCTGCCTCAGTTCTCTCCAGCTTTCCGTATCCGTCGTTCTTTGATTTGCGACCTCAGTCAGCCTAGCCTCCTAGGAACGTGAATTAGCATAACTTGCCCGTCGTTCGTAGTCTTATCAGTCTTCCTTCTCTCTTCCTTGCTTCACGCCGCAACTGAACTAGATTCCTCACTCGGGCCTGGAAGCCTCTTTGCCTTTCACGAATTATCTGTAGCGAGCAGCAGCAAGCAAATAGAGACATGGATTTAGGCCTCTCCGATCTCGTAGCGTGGAACCTGCGGCATCACAGCACGGCCGCACAGATGCCGCAGATGCGTCACCTGCCGGGACAGACGCTGCGCGGCCACGTCCCCCCGCAGTTGCATCACAGCATGATGCCCGCACAGGTCTCGTCCGACAAGTCCGAGCCTGGCGCCGAGCCTAGCGCCGAACCTCTCTCAAAGCGCCGCCGCCTTGAAGAAACTGCCCCGGTGCTTCCGGACCTCGAAACGGGCAGCACCTCTGACATCAGCCGATCACCCGCAGAGTACTCACCGCCAGAGACGCAGCCGCAGCAGCAGCAGCAGGAGCGAAGTCCGCCGTCGCTGTCGGATTTGGGCGAGGATCTTATACTGAAGGTGCTTCAATCGGGGCATCCGACGGCGTGGGACTTGTGCCGGTTCTCGTGCGTGAGCCGGCAGTGGAAGCAGCTGTGCTACAGCCGCGTGTTCTGGACCAAGCTGCGCATCGGCCCAGGCAGCATGCATCCAGGTACCTTCTTATCTGATATCCCCTTTCTCGCCTCCGGACTTTTTAAACTTTCTGCAGCTTCAGCTGCTGCAGCTCTTGCGGTTTATTATTTTACGTATAGCGTGCGTCGTCTATGCTATCGTAGACACGCTGCGACGCCTATCGTGCGTCGTCTATGCTATCGTAGACACGCTGCGACGCCTATCGTGCGTCGTCTATGCTATCGTAGACACGCTGCGACGCCTATCGTGCGTCGTCTATGCTATCGTAGGCACGCTGCGACACGTATCATGCGACGAGAGAGAAAGCACGAGAAAGTCACCGGGGAGTTTGCCCAGGGGGGCTTAAAGCCCGATGCCAACTACGAACTAGTTCAGGTTACCTCCGTAGTCTCGAATCACCCCATGATTCCTCGAAGGGCAACCGCCTTTAGCGCCTCTCTTGTGCGAATTACGCCGACTCTTGGAACGACTCACTTTTTGAGTCGACTCAAGATCCGCAGATTCTTCATCGCTTGTCGAAAGCACGTTCAACCCTGACGTGGCACTAACCTCGCGCCCCCTTGCGCCTTTTCCCCCTGTCCCGCTCGTTCGCTTCCTTTCCAGGCGTCGAGCTGCTCGCCCCGCGCTGCGCCAACCTCACGGACCTCTACGTGGACGACCCGCGGTGCGAGCTGCACATCCTGCACCCGATCATCGTCGCATGCAGCGACTCCCTGCGACGCATCGTCATCGACTGCGACCGCGATGCGACGAGTCGCAACGAGGCGGCGATCTGCAGCATCCTCTGGATCATCTCGCTCTACTGCAAGCACGTCGAGTCAGTCGAGCTCACGTCGCACGGCGTAGAGACGTCGTTTGGCGTTCTCGAGGCGCGCTCTATGTGGTACCTAACCTCCGGGTTTCGCTCCATGCGACAGTTTTCCTGCCTCGTGCGAAACAGCGTTACTCGCCAGGCCGTGTACTTGATGGTGATCGGCTGGCGAAACCTCTCCTGTCTGCGAATTCACATGGGGGCTCTAGAGGTGGACGATCTCTTAGCGCTGCGCAAGTGCTCGTCTCTAAGAGTGTTGGAATTAGTAGGCGGCTCGATCCACACCCTACCCGCCGCCCTTGCAGCGCTTCCCTCGGCAACCCCCGCTCCTGTATCCACTTGCCCCTGGCTCGGCTCGACACGAACCTCAGGTTCGGGGGCAGGTTCGGCGGCGCCGGACGCGTTTCATCCGGAGCTGGAGGTGCTGATTCTGACTGACGTGGACTTCGACGCGGCCGTCGTGGCGACTATCGCGCTCCGGTGCCCTAACCTGCGGCGCATCGTGATTAAGGGGCTCTGCTGCGCCATGTGCGCCGCTGCTGGGTCCGCAGCTGCAGCCGCTGCCGCAGCTGGAAGGGTAGTTGCAACGCCGGCAGTGGGGGCTGTAGCAGCAGCAGCTGCGGCAGCTGGGAGGGCAGCGCCGGCAGTGGGGGCTGTAGCAGCAGTAGCTCCCGCAGCAGGGAGGGTGGTAGCAGCGCCAGCAGTGGGGGCGGCAGGAGCCGGAGTAGCAGCAGTAGCAGCAACAGCAGGACGGATAGCAGCAGCAGCGCCAACGGTGGGCGCAACAGGAGCAGCAGGGGAGAGGGCAGGGAGAGTGGTGGGGTTGCCGATGGGGGGGATGGTGGTGGGAGCAGGAGCAGGGGCAGGGGCAGGGGTAGGGCGGGTGGGGGAGACGGGCAGTGTTGCGCCTGATGCTGATGCCAGGGGACTGACAGGGCTCATGACAGGGGCAGCCACGTTTGGTGGGGCTGCAGGGGCTGTGTTTGGGAGGCCGGTGGCTGCTAACGCTGTTGTTCCTGCATCTGCTGCTACAGGCGGGGGTCTTTTCCCACCTGTTGACATGACAGTAGGTGCAGGAGAATCAGCAGTGCCGGTTGTAGCACCTCTGTTCGCAGCACCTGTAGCAGCACCTGTAGCAGCACCTCTGTTCGCAGCAGCAGCACCGGTTATGGCTGCGGCAGTTGTGGCAGCAGTACCGCCTGTAGCAGCAGCAGCAGGGCTAGCAGCACCCGCAGTAGTGCCAGGAGGATTGACAAGGAACACTGCGCCGCCACCTGCTGCTGCTGTTGCTGCTCCAGGTGCCATTGTGGGTGCCATTGTGGGTGCCGTTGCAGGTGCCGTTGCAGGTGCTACTGCAGCAGTGGGAGTGGGTGGGGGCCTGCTGGTGGGCGGCAGTTTGTGTGTGAAGGCCAAGGTGCTCGCTCTAAGGCAGATGCTGGCCGTGGCAGGGCGATTAGATATGGTGATGAAATGACATGCTACTACCAGTAGTTACGTATTTAGGTGTTTTGTATATGAAAGGCGATTTAAATTTGGTAGTTGTGCAGATAGCAGCGTCGTACAGTGTAGACGAAAGCTGAAACTTACAAGCAGCTGACTGATTATTCTGGAAATGTCACATGGCAAAACGATCAGGCAGGGTGGAGTTGGCCTATCTAACCCGGGCTGAAGAGGCTGACTGGGTCCCATGCTTTTGAAATGCCTCAGAACTACCAGATCTAGGGTGGGATGAACTGGCCAATCTTTCCCGGGTTGAAGAGGTTGAGGGGGTCCCATGCGGCCTTGAGTGCTGCCATGGCGTCTAACGCCGCTCGCCCATGCTCCGACTCCAAAAATGGCAGCTTGCCATAGCTGGAAACGGAAACATGAGAAGGTGAAGTGGAGGGGGAGAGGAAGGGGAGGACGGAGGGGACGGAGACCATGTCATGTCATGCGAATGTGAGTACATTTACAGTGAGGGTCTCAAGAAGCAAAAAACCAAACCCAAAGGTTTTAGTTTCGGGGGGTCTCGAAAATTGCGAGGTGTGGTAAGGGGTGCTGGTTGGGCGCTGTAACTATTTCGCGAAGTTCGTCAACCCAAAACCAAAACCTTTGGATTTGGTTTTCTGCTTCTTGAGACCCTCGCTTTAAACAGCCGGTACAATGCAAGTCAAATGCAAATTACAGAACCAACTCACATCCCACAGACACCCGAATCTCACATCCCTATGCCACTTACTCCACACCATGTCACTCACCCCACGCCAAGCCATGCCACTCACCCCACACCATGCTCGCCACTGCACGTGCCGCCCACAGCAATGGCGTGAGCCACAAGGCTGTCGTTGACTCGCTTGACCGCTGCCAGCTCAGCCTGATCGTCTGGGTCGACCTGTTGCAGGAAGACAAGAGAGAATGCTTGAGAAAGAGGTGGCAAGACAGACGCCTCAGAGTGAGAGCCACAAGGCTGGCGTTGACCCATTTGACCGCTGCCAGCTCAGCCAGGTAATCCGGGTGGACCTGTTGCAGGAGGACAAGAGAGAATGGTTGAGAAAGAGGTGGCGAGACAGACGCCTCAGAGTGAGGGCCAGAAGACTGGCGTTGACTCGCTTGACCGCTGCCAGCTCAGCCTGGTTATCTGGGTCGACCTGTTGCAGGAAGACAGCAGAGAAGGGTTGAGAAAGAGGTGGCGAGGCAGACTTCTCAGAGAATGCGTCCCAAGTGCAAGAAGATATCGTTATTGATTTCAGGTGGAGCTCTGTTGAGCACAGTTGGGTAGTGGTCTGTGCGATTTAGTAGTCTTCACTACGATTTTTTTTTAAAAAATTGGCACTCAGGACGCGCCCTGAGAGCCACGAGACTGGCGTTGACTCGCTTGACTGCTGCCAGCTCAGCCTGATCGTCCGGGTCAACCTGTTGCACAAGGTGAACATATTGTGTGTGCAGAAAGAGGTGGTAACCACAAGACTGGTGGTAACCACAAGACTAGTGGTAACCGCAAGACTGGCGTAGACTTGCCCCCCACAATAGTGTCACACCATCTACTAGCACTCACTATAAAGAGCACATGAAAGTTGCCATCCCCCATATGCCCCACTATGGGAGCCACCAGGTGCACCTGTCTTATCTCCTCCTTGGCTAGTAGGTCAGCTCAACTGATACAGCCACACCTGATACAGTCGCACCCTGTACAGTCCCACTCACTATAAAGAGCACATGGAAGTTGCCATCCCCCACATGCCCCACAATAGGTGCCACCAGCTGCGTCTGCCTTATCTCCTCCTTGGCCAATAGGACGAGCTCTGTGAGGCGAGAGATGGGCACACACACGTCTGCTAGGAGACTGGGGGAAGAGAGGGGCGGAAGTAGGGGGGGGGGAAGAAGAGAGGGGGGGAAGAAAGGGGGAGGGGGGAAAGAACAGAGGGGGGGAAGAAAAAGGGGGGGGGGGAGAAGAGGGGAGGGGGAAGGCGTGTGAAAAGAGAGCTAGGGACACCGGCTGCGCCGGCCTTATCTGCTCCTTGGCTGAGACGACGAGCTCTGTGAGGCGAGAGATGGGCACACACACGTCTGCTAGGAGACTGGGGGGGGCGGGTGTTGGGGGGGGATGAAGGGGTGATTGAGGAAGGAAGGGAAGAGTCACCAGCTGCACCTGCCTTATCTCCTCTTTGGCCAACAGAATGAGCTCCGTGAGGCGAGAGATGGGCACACACACATCTGCTGCCGGAGTGGAAATGCAGACAGGGCGACGTGATATAAGATTGGTTGTGAGACGTCTCTGTGGCTTCTACCTTATATCACATGGCTTCTACCTTATATCACGTGGCTTCTACCTTACATAACGCGGCTGCTACCTTATATCACGCGGCTTCTACCTTATATCACGTGGCTTCTGCGGACAGGGAGAAGAAGCGGGAGGGACGGAATGGGAGGCGGAGACACCAGCTGTGCTTGCCGTATCTGCTCTTTGGCCAGTAAGACGAGCTCCGTGAGGCGAGAGATGGGCACGCACACGTCCGCTAAGAGATCTGGGGGGGGCGGAGCACGTACCCTTTACTGTTGGGTCTGAGAGCCAGAGCGGCATGGTAGGCGGATGCTGAGAAGCCCACAGCTTGGAGCGCTCCTCTGGGCGCGTGTCCATGAATCATAAGCTTCGAGTGCGTAGCATGTGCTGCTGAACCCGAGAGGTAGAGCCACGTACCCTTTGCTGTTTGGTCTGAGCGCCAGAGCAGCGTAGTAGGCGGAGTGACGAGCAGCCCACAGCTTGGAGCGCTCCTCAGGGGCTGTGGACCACTGGAAGGAGCCCCCGCCGTAAGATGAGGCTATGGTTGATACCTGCGGTGCAGTGCGGTGGAATCGGGTGCATTGGAGTATGATGGGTTGCCATAGGGTGATAACTGGACTGCACCTCTGGGAAAGTGGCACTGGAAGGAAACCCCCGCTGATGCAATGGCTGATACCTGCGGTGCAGTGCGGTGCAATGGGGTGGAGTGGAATAAACATTGGAGTGCTCCTCAGGGGCCGTAAACCACTGGAAGGAACCAACTCCCCAGTTGGCCGATGCTAACTCCAATACCTGAGATGCACGGTGTACCAGGGCGTGTGTCCATTGGAGTTAGCATGTATTTTGAGTCAACTCCATTACAAAATACATGCTAACTCCAATACGTGCTAACTCAAATACATGCTAACTCCAATGCATGCTAACTCCAATACATGCTAGCTCCAATAAATGCTAACTCCAATACCTGAGATGAAGGGTGTACCAGGGCATGTGTCCATTTAAGCCACATGTCCTATAACTTATAGGAGCGCGTCTCAGGTATATCCTAATAAGTTATAGGAGCCACGCACACCATATCACCCCACCCCCCTTCCCTACTCCCCCCTCCCCCCCCCCCACACCCTGTCCCAAAAACGAGACGTTCAATCAACCCCTTCATGCACCTGCTTTGCCTGCTCCTCAACGGCAGCAGCCGTGCCGTGGAACTCAAAGAACAGCGTGGGGCTCAGCTCCAGGTGCGTCTTGGAGTAGCGGTTCACTGCATCTACCTGCGTGCACGGGAGGAGATTGCAGAGCGGTGGAGCGGAAAAAGGGAGGCGGAACATGGGAGGCGAAACAAGGAGGCGGGACATAGGAGGCAGGAGGGAGGTGTGCGTCGTCACAATGAGCCGATGAGAGGAATATTGAAAAGTGACTCTTGGAGTAGAGATTCAATGCGATTCACTGCGTCTCCCTGCACTTTTTTCACACGCCTGACTGTGAGCTATTCCCCAGTCTGATTTCTCGTTGTTACCTGCACTTCGTCGAGAAACTCGATGCGGGCTACTGGAATGGCAGTTTGAATGGTCTCGATCACCGTGTCGACCTGATGGGTGCATGTGCGCAGAGGGAAATGGTTCAGGGGGGGTAAACAACCCCCCCTGAAATGGTATCGAGCAAAAATGGTCTCGATCACCGTGTCGACCTGATGGGTGCATGGATGCACCGTGTCTTGAGAAATGGGAAATGGGACGTCTTGAGATGAGACGTCCCAAAAATGGTATCGAGCACCGTGTCGACCTGATGGGTGCATGTGCGCAGAGGGAAATGGGGCAGGCGGGGGAGCGTGGGGAGAGGGGGTAAAAAAAAAGGAACATTTGGACATAAGGTGCATAAGGTCCAAATGTTCCTTTTGGAATGTCGCACAAGGTCCAAAAAAGGGAACATTTGGACCGCGTCGCTGGTGCAACTGGAGCCAGTGCCTATCCCGTTGCACCAGCGGGAAGCAATGGGAGTAGGTGGAAGCAAAGGGAGATGGGGAGAGGAGGCGGGAGGAAGGGGCGAGTGAGAGAGGGAGAGAAGGGGAGGGGGGGGGAGAAGGGGGAAGAGGAGCGGGAGAGGGGAAAAGGGCTCACAGCACCAGCGACAGAGGTGAAGGGGCAGACAGCAGCAGAGACGGCCTCGGGTTGGGGGAAGAGGCGGAGCGACACCTGGATGCATGAGGGGGTGCAGGCGGAAGAACACGCTCTAGTGGTGCGAGGAGGAAGGGGAGAGCCCCGCCTCCCCCCCCCCCCACCTGCGGGGTTGGGAGTAGAGGCGGAGAAACATGTGCATGCACGGGGCGGTGTAGGAGGAGGGATGAAGTTAAAGAAGCAGGCTCGGAATGAAAGTTCAGGAAGGAAGCTCTAGTGGGGAGGGAGAGGAGTCCTTTCATGGAAGCTCTAGTGGGGAGGGAGAGGAGTCCTTTCATGGAAGCTCTAGTGGAGAGGGAGAGGAGTCCTTTCATGGAAGCTCTAGTGGGGAGGGAGAGGAGTCCTTTCATGGAAGCTCTAGTGGGGAGGGAGAGGAGTCCTTTCATGGAAGCTCTAGTGGGGAGGGAGAGGAGTCCTTTCATGGAAGCTCTAGTGGGGAGGGAGAGGAGTCCTTTCATGGAAGCTCTAGTGGGGAGGGAGAGGAGTCCTTTCATGGAAGCTCTAGTGGGGAGGGAGAGGAGTCCTTTCATGAGATCTGCCTCATATCTTTGCATCCAGTACTTGTGGTGAGCAGTTCAAACCCACCAATCCTTCCAATCTTCTCCCCCTCCACCCCCCACCCCTCCCCAATCTTGATAAACCACTGATTTGTAACACAATGACAACAGTGACAACAATGACAACAGTGAGAACGGTGGTACCTCGGTGACAACAGCCAGCGTGCCCTCACTCCCCACGATCAGCCGTGTTAAGTCGTAGCTGTCAGTAGTGACAGTCAAGGCAACAGTCGCACAGAGAAAAAAAGGGGGCGGAGGGTATAGATGGTGGTCGTTTTTGAGAATTCTAAAAAATGACTCCACTGTGGGAGGGCAGATGCTGGTCAGCAGGGATGGCCAGAACACAGAACACAGAACACAGCACACAGCACACAGGACACAGGACACAGGACACAGCACACAGCACACAGAACACAGCACACAGCACACAGCACACAGCACACAGCACACAGCACACAGGACACAGGATACAGGACACAGGACACAGGACACAGGACACAGGAAACAGCACACAGCACACAGCACACAGCACACAGCACACAGCACACAGAACACAGAACACAGAACACAGAACGGCTGGTATTTATTCTTTTATGTAAAGAGCTTTCTAATGTAGTAACAAGTGGATGATTGAAAATATAAGAGGTCACAGATCACAGACCAAAGAACACAGAACACAGAACACAGATCACAGATCACAGAGCAAGAGAATGAGGCAGCAGAGCAACAGGGACAGAACACAGAGCACATGCACACGCACTGCATGCTTGCGGCAATCGCAGGTGGCCAGAGGAACATGGAACGGAGCGAGTTTACTCTGACATGCATGCAGTGGGAAAGCATGCATCCTCTGGGGGGAGCATACCGTGAACAGAAGCATGCATTGCATTCTTGCAGCAATCACATGTGGCCTGTGGAACATGGAACGGGGGGGAGCTTACCCTGATGAAGACTTTCGTGCCCGGCTGCCCGTTTTTATGACCTGCCCGTTGGGCAGCACTGCTGTGACTCCCAGCACTGCCTCTCGCATGGTGCCATAGCTGTGCCGTAGCAGGGAGAGAAGATGGGGGGAAGACGGGGGGAAGATGAGGGGAAGATTGGGGGGAAGATGGGGGGAAGATGGAGGGAAGACGGGGAGAAGATGGGGGGAAGATGGGGGGAAGATGGGGGGAAGATGGGGGAAGATGGTTGAAGATGGGGGAAAGATGGGGGGAAGATGGGGGGAAAACGGGGAAGACAGGGGGAAGATGGGGGAAGACGGGGAGAAGGCGGGGGGAAGACAGGGGGGGGACAGGGGAAAGATGGGGAGAGGTGCAACGGAGGGAGAAGGGCGGTAAGTGCAAGGGGAAAAAGGCAAGCTGGGCTGGGGAATGGCAAGGGAAGAGGGGGAGACAAGGGCAGCACGGAGCCGGGTAAGGAGAAAGGGGCAGGCAGGGGTAGGATCAGACGAATCAGGATGGTGTAGTGGGGAAGGAATGCGAAAGGGGGAAGGCAAAACAGGGAACGAGGAAGGACTATAACGGGGGCAGCAGCAGGCATAGTGACGGCATACCGAACAGCATTGGTGCCTGATGCTCTTGTTGCTGCCATGCCCCCTGCAATTGCATGCACACAGACACGGAGTGCCACACATGGGGGACGGGACGACACACGTGGAGGGGGGATAGGGAGACACAAACGGGGGGAGGCACGCCTGAAGGTACACCTGAAGGCACACCTGAAGGCACACCTGAAGGCACACCTGAAGGCACACCTGAAGGCACACCTGAAGGCACACCTGAAGGCGCACCTGAAGGCACACCTGAAGGCACACCTGAAGACGCACCTGAAGGCGCACCTGAAGACACACCTGAAGGCGCACCTGAAGGCGCACCTGAAGGCTCACCTGAAGGCGCACCTGAAGGCACACCTGAAGGCACACCTGAAGGCGTACACGGGCATCCAGCAAAGTCAGATACTACACCATCTGAGCTGAGCTGCCCGGAGCTCGTGGTGTAGTAATTTCGCTTTGAGACGTCTCAAAAAGAGGATGCCAGGCTACCACACCATCTGAGCTGCATGGAGCTCCCACATGTGTGGTGGTCGCATAAATGAATGAGTCCCATGGTATGGTATGGTGCAATGACTTGGCCCACCATTTCCATGTTATGGTGCCAGCAACGGACGTCGAACATGGTGCTGCAGTGCGGATGGGAAGCTTCAACCCTAGCATGTGGGCGCGCTATCTACCCATAATGCATTCCGAGCCTCCGATTTCGAGCCCGCCACTCACCTATGGTGCACTCTGAAGCGAGCAATCACCCACCTATGGTGCACTCTGAAGCGAGCAATCACCCACCTATGGTGCACTCTGAGGCGAGCAATCACCCACCTATGGTGCACTCTGAAGCGAGCAATCACCCACCTATGGTGCACGCTGAAGCGAGCAATCACCCACCTATGGTGCACTCTGAGCCCGGGTCGACGGGAAAGAAGAGCCCCGAGTCGTGGAGATGGTGGTTGAGCTGCTGCCGTGTCACCCCAGCCTGCACCCTGCAGTCCATGTCCTCTGCATGCACCTCCAGCACCTGAAACGTCCGGCAGGGAAATGATGCACTTCAGCTTATGGTCCAGGTGACTTTTGCAGCTCACCTTGATGATGCAGCTCACCTTGATGATGCAGCTCACCTTGATGATGCAGCTCACCTTGATGATGCAGCTCACCTTGATGATGCAGCTCACCTTGATGATGCAGCTCACCTTGATGATGCAGCTCACCTTGATGATGCAGCTCACCTTGATGATGCAGCTCAGCTTGATGATGCAGCTCACCTTGATGATGCAGCTCACCTTGATGATGCAGCTCAGCTTGATGATGCAGCTCAGCTTGATGATGCAGCTCAGCTTGATGATGCAGCTCACCTTGATGATGCAGCTCACCTTGATGATGCAGCTCACCTTGATGATGCAGCTCACCTTGATGATGCAGCTCACCTTGATGATGCAGCTCAGCTTGATGATGCAGCTCACCTTGATGATGCAGCTCACCTTGATGATGCAGCTCAGCTTGATGATGCAGCTCACCTTGATGATGCAGCTCACCTTGATGATGCAGCTCACCTTGATGATGCAGCTCACCTTGATGATGCAGCTCACCTTGATGATGCAGCTCACCTTGATGATGCAGCTCACCTTGATGATGCAGCTCAGCTTGATGATGCAGCTCACCTTGATGATGCAGCTCAGCTTGATGATGCAGCTCACCTTGATGATGCAGCTCACCTTGATGATGCAGCTCACCTTGATGATGCAGCTCACCTTGATGATGCAGCTCACCTTGATGATGCAGCTCACCTTGATGATGCAGCTCACCTTGATGATGCAGCTCACCTTGATGATGCAGCTCACCTTGATGATGCAGCTCACCTTGATGATGCAGCTCACCTTGATGATGCAGCTCACCTTGATGATGCAGCTCACCTTGATGATGCAGCTCACCTTGATGATGCAGCCCTTGATGATGCAGCTCAGCTTGATGATGCAGCTCACCTTGATGATGCAGCTCAGCTTGATGATGCAGCTCACCTTGATGATGCAGCTCACCTTGATGATGCAGCTCACCTTGATGATGCAGCTCAGCTTGATGATGCAGCTCACCTTGATGATGCAGCTCACCTTGATGATGCAGCTCACCTTGATGATGCAGCTCACCTTGATGATGCAGCTCAGCTTGATGATGCAGCTCACCTTGATGATGCAGCTCACCTTGATGATGCAGCTCACCTTGATGATGCAGCTCACCTTGATGATGCAGCTCAGCTTGATGATGCAGCTCAGCTTGATGATGCAGCTCACCTTGATGATGCAGCTCACCTTGATGATGCAGCTCACCTTGACTTGATGATGCAGCTCACCTTGATGATGCAGCTCACCTTGATGATGCAGCTCACCTTGATGATGCAGCTCACCTTGATGATGCAGCTCACCTTGATGATGCAGCTCAGCTTGATGATGCAGCTCACCTTGATGATGCAGCTCACCTTGATGATGCAGCTCACCTTGATGATGCAGCTCACCTTGATGATGCAGCTCACCTTGATGATGCAGCTCACCTTGATGATGCAGCTCACCTTGATGATGCAGCTCACCTTGATGATGCAGCTCACCTTGATGATGATGCAGCTCACCTTGATGATGCAGCTCACCTTGATGATGATTTTGATCAGCTCACTTGATGATGCAGCTCAGCTTGATGATGCAGCTCAGCTTGATGATGCAGCTCACCTTGATGATGCAGCTCACCTTGATGATGCAGCTCACCTTGATGATGCAGCTCACCTTGATGATGCAGCTCACCTTGATGATGCAGCTCACCTTGATGATGCAGCTCACCTTGATGATGCAGCTCACCTTGATGATGCAGCTCACCTTGATGATGCAGCTCACCTTGATGATGCAGCTCACCTTGATGATGCAGCTCACCTTGATGATGCAGCTCACCTTGATGATGCAGCTCACCTTGATGATGCAGCTCACCTTGATGATGCAGCTCACCTTGATGATGCAGCTCACCTTGATGATGCAGCTCAGCCTTTGATGATGCAGCTCACCTTGATGATGCAGCTCACCTTGATGATGCAGCTCAGCTTGATGATGCAGCTCACCTTGATGATGCAGCTCACCTTGATGATGCAGCTCACCTTGATGATGCAGCTCACCTTGATGATGCAGCTCACCTTGATGATGCAGCTCACCTTGATGATGCAGCTCACTTGATGATGCAGCTCACCTTGATGATGCAGCTCAGCTTGATGATGCAGCTCAGCTTTGATGATGCAGCTCACCTTGATGATGCAGCTCACCTTGATGATGCAGCTCACCTTGATGATGCAGCTCACCTTGATGATGCAGCTCAAGAGCCTTTGATGATGCAGCTCACTTGATGATGCAGCTCAGCTTGATGATGCAGCTCACCTTGATGATGCAGCTCACCTTGATGATGCAGCTCACCTTGATGATGCAGCTCACCTTGATGATGCAGCTCAGCTTGATGATGCAGCTCACCTTGATGATGCAGCTCACCTTGATGATGCAGCTCACCTTGATGATGCAGCTCACCTTGATGATGCAGCTCAGCCTTGATGATGCAGCTCACCTTGATGATGCAGCTCAGCTTGATGATGCAGCTCACCCTTGATGATGCAGCTCACCTTGATGATGCAGCTCACCTTGATGATGCAGCTCACCTTGATGATGCAGCTCACCTTGATGATGCAGCTCACCTTGATGATGCAGCTCACCTTGATGATGCAGCTCACCTTGATGATGCAGCTTGATGATGCAGCTCACCTTGATGATGCAGCTCACCTTGATGATGCAGCTCAGCCTTGATGATGCAGCTGTGCAGCTTGATGATGCAGCTCAGCCTTTGATGATGCAGCTCACCTTGATGATGCAGCTCACCTTGATGATGCAGCTCACCTTGATGATGCAGCTCACCTTGATGATGCAGCTCACCTTGATGATGCAGCTCACCTTGATGATGCAGCTCACCTTGATGATGCAGCTCACCTTGATGATGCAGCTCACCTTGATGATGCAGCTCACTTGATGATGCAGCTCACCTTGATGATGCAGCTCACCTTGATGATGCAGCTCACCTTGATGATGCAGCTCACCTTGATGATGCAGCTCAGCTTGATGATGCAGCTCACCTTGATGATGCAGCTCACCTTGATGATGCAGCTCACCTTGATGATGCAGCTCACCTTGATGATGCAGCTCACCTTGATGATGCAGCTCACCTTGATGATGCAGCTCACCTTGATGATGCAGCTCACCTTGATGATGCAGCTCACCTTGATGATGCAGCTCACCTTGATGATGCAGCTCACCTTGATGATGCAGCTCACTTGATGATGCAGCTCACCTTGATGATGCAGCTCACCTTGATGATGCAGCTCACCTTGATGATGCAGCTCACCTTGATGATGCAGCTCACCTTGATGATGCAGCTCACCTTGATGATGCAGCTCACCTTGATGATGCAGCTCACCTTGATGATGCAGCTCACCTTGATGATGCAGCTCACCTTGATGATGCAGCTCACCTTGATGATGCAGCTCACCTTGATGATGCAGCTCACCTTGATGATGCAGCTCACCTTGATGATGCAGCTCACCTTGATGATGCAGCTCACCTTGATGATGCAGCTCACCTTGATGATGCAGCTCACCTTGATGATGCAGCTCACCTTGATGATGCAGCTCAGCTTGATGATGCAGCTCACCTTGATGATGCAGCTCACCTTGATGATGCAGCTCAGCTTGATGATGCAGCTCACCTTGATGATGCAGCTCACCTTGATGATGCAGCTCACCTTGATGATGCAGCTCACCTTGATGATGCAGCTCACCTTGATGATGCAGCTCACCTTGATGATGCAGCTCACCTTGATGATGCAGCTCACCTTGATGATGCAGCTCACCTTGATGATGCAGCTCACCTTGATGATGCAGCTCACCTTGATGATGCAGCTCACCTTGATGATGCAGCTCACCTTGATGATGCAGCTCACCTTGATGATGCAGCTCACCTTGATGATGCAGCTCACCTTGATGATGCAGCTCACCTTGATGATGCAGCTCACCTTGATGATGCAGCTCACCTTGATGATGCAGCTCACCTTGATGATCAGCTCACCTTGATGATCAGCTCACTTATATGCAGCTCACCTTGATGATGCAGCTCACCTTGATGATGCAGCTCACTTGATGATGCAGCTCACCTTGATGATGCAGCTCACCTTGATGATGCAGCTCAGCTTGATGATGCAGCTCACCTTGATGATGCAGCTCACCTTGATGATGCAGCTCACCTTGATGATGCAGCTCACCTTGATGATGCAGCTCACCTTGATGATGCAGCTCACCTTGATGATGCAGCTCACCTTGATGATGCAGCTCACCTTGATGATGCAGCTCACCTTGATGATGCAGCTCACCTTGATGATGCAGCTCATTGATGATGCAGCTCACCTTGATGATGCAGCTCACCTTTGCACCTGATGATGCAGCTCACCTTGATGATGCAGCTCACCTTGATGATGCAGCTCACCTTGATGATGCAGCTCAGCTTGATGCAGCTCACCTTGATGATGCAGCTCAGCTTGATGATGCAGCTCACTTGATGATGCAGCTCACTTGATGATGCAGCTCAGCTTGATGATGCAGCTCACCTTGATGATGCAGCTCAGCTTGATGATGCAGCTCACCTTGATGATGCAGCTCACCTTGATGATGCAGCTCACTTGATGATGCAGCTCACCTTGATGATGCAGCTCACCTTGATGATGCAGCTCACCTTGATGATGCAGCTCACCTTGATGATGCAGCTCACCTTGATGATGCAGCTCACCTTGATGATGCAGCTCACCTTGATGATGCAGCTCACCTTGATGATGCAGCTCACCTTGATGATGCAGCTCACCTTGATGATGCAGCTCACCTTGATGATGCAGCTCACCTTGATGATGCAGCTCACCTTGATGATGCAGCTCACCTTGATGATGCAGCTCACCTTGATGATGCAGCTCACCTTGATGATGCAGCTCACCTTGATGATGCAGCTCACCTTGATGATGCAGCTCACCTTGATGATGCAGCTCACCTTGATGATGCAGCTCACCTTGATGATGCAGCTCACTTGATGATGCAGCTCAGCTTGATGATGCAGCTCACCTTGATGATGCAGCTCACCTTGATGATGCAGCTCACCTTGATGATGCAGCTCACCTTGATGATGCAGCTCACCTTGATGATGCAGCTCACCTTGATGATGCAGCTCACCTTGATGATGCAGCTCACCTTGATGATGCAGCTCACCTTGATGATGCAGCTCACCTTGATGATGCAGCTCAGCTTGATGATGCAGCTCACCTTGATGATGCAGCTCACCTTGATGATGCAGCTCACCTTGATGATGCAGCTCACCTTGATGATGCAGCTCACCTTGATGATGCAGCTCACCTTGATGATGCAGCTCACCTTGATGATGCAGCTCACCTTGATGATGCAGCTCACCTTGATGATGCAGCTCACCTTGATGATGCAGCTCACCTTGATGATGCAGCTCAGCTTGATGATGCAGCTCAGCTTGATGATGCAGCTCAGCTTGATGATGCAGCTCAGCTTGACGATGCAGCTCAGCTTGATGATGCAGCTCAGCTTGATGATGCAGCTCACCTTGATGATGCAGCTCACCTTGATGATGCAGCTCACCTTGATGATGCAGCTCACTTGATGATGCAGCTCACCTTGATGATGCAGCTCACCTTGATGATGCAGCTCACCTTGATGATGCAGCTCACCTTGATGATGCAGCTCACCTTGATGATGCAGCTCACCTTGATGATGCAGCTCAGCTTGATGATGCAGCTCACCTTGATGATGCAGCTCAGCTTGATGATGCAGCTCACCTTGATGATGCAGCTCACCTTGATGATGCAGCTCACCTTGATGATGCAGCTCACCTTGATGATGCAGCTCACCTTGATGATGCAGCTCACCTTGATGATGCAGCTCACCTTGATGATGCAGCTCACCTTGATGATGCAGCTCACCTTGATGATGCAGCTCACCTTGATGATGCAGCTCACCTTGATGATGCAGCTCACCTTGATGATGCAGCTCAGCTTGATGATGCAGCTCACCTTGATGATGCAGCTCACCTTGATGATGCAGCTCACCTTGATGATGCAGCTCACCTTGATGATGCAGCTCACCTTGATGATGCAGCTCAGCTTGATGATGCAGCTCACCTTGATGATGCAGCTCACCTTGATGATGCAGCTCACCTTGATGATGCAGCTCACCTTGATGATGCAGCTCAGCTTGATGATGCAGCTCACCTTGATGATGCAGCTCACCTTGATGATGCAGCTCACCTTGATGATGCAGCTCAGCTTGATGATGCAGCTCACCTTGATTATGGGCACCTTGATGATGCAGCTCAGCTTATGGTCACCTTGATGATGCAGCTCAGCTTATGGTCACCTTGATGATGCAGCTCAGCTTATGGTCACCTTGATGATGCAGCTCAGCTTATGGTCACCTTGATGATGCAGCTCAGCTTATGGTCACCTTGATGATGCAGCTCAGCTTATGGTCACCTTGATGATGCAGCTCAGCTTATGGTCACCTTGATGATGCAGCTCAGCTTATGGTCACCTTGATGATGCAGCTCAGCTTATGGTCACCTTGATGATGCAGCTCAGCTTATGGTCACCTTGATGATGCAGCTCAGCTTATGGTCACCTTGATGATGCAGCTCAGCTTATGGTCACCTTGATGATGCAGCTCAGCTTATGGTCACCTTGATGATGCAGCTCAGCTTATGGTCACCTTGATGATGCAGCTCAGCTTATGGTCACCTTGATGATGCAGCTCAGCTTATGGTCCAGTCCAGGAAGTGTCGCCCTTTCGTCCTGCTTGTGGTGTTGCCACCATGGCCTGGTCGGGACGAAAGGGCGACACCTAAGGGGGCCAAACAGGCCGTGCCATGGTGGCAACACCGCCACCTGGAAGCACTCTGCCTGCGCTCCATCCACGTTGCGTGGGGGACGTGGATGGAGCGCTCCATCCACCTCCTTCACAGGAATATCTACCTGGCTCAGTTGCGATAGATCGATGGACACTCCCCCACACAACGCTGCCACGTGTCCTTCCAGAGACGTGCCCGCTCCATAGGGAATGATGGGCACGCGGCGGGCGGCGCATGCGGCTACGAGCTGCTGCACGTGGTGCGTTGACTGGGGGAAGACCACTGCGTCTGGTGGCATGGGCTCGTGGTACGACTCGTCCCTGCCATGCTGCTCCAGCACCTGCTGGCATGTCAATGACAGGCACATGGGGAGCAGAGCAGCACACCCGGGACGGGAGCAGCACACATGAGGGAAGCGGAGCACGCGGTTACCAGCTGCTGCACGTGGTGCGTGGATTGGGGGCCGCGTGGTATGACTCGTTCCTGCCATGCTGCTCCAACACCTGCCAGCAGTGCTGGCACGCAATCAGGTCAACAGATCAACATGTCAACAGGTCAACAGATCGACAGGTCAACAGGACAACAGGTCAACAGATCAACAGGTCAACAGGTCAACAGGTCAACAGATCAACAGGTCAACAGGTCATCATTCCACCCATTGTTTAAACTCTCTCCTCCCTTCAGCGCAATCGGACCAACAACGATGGAAACACTAACGCGAACATCAAACTCTAACGCGAACATCAAACTCTAACGGGAACATCAAACTCTAACGGGAACATCAAACTCTAACGGGAACATCAAACTCTAACGGGAACACGAACTCTGAAACCACTCAGCCTGGTCCAAACACTGCGAGTTGACTCAATACAAGAATCCCCCGTTTGGTTCGTGGAGACGTCTGGTTCCGTTGCCGTTCACGATGGAAACAATTACGGGAACAGACAACAGCAGAAAACAGCAGTGACACCATTCAGCCTGACCCGCGTGACCTCCCATCATTAATTAATTAATTAATTAACTAATTGATTAATTAATTAATTCATTCGTTCGAGCATCCCACCGTTCGGTTCGTCGTCACGTTGGAGTCGCCCACGATGGATTGCAGGCGACGGAGCAGCGCGTCGTCCACTCGCCCGTACGACGACGCCCGTCGCACAACAGGAACGTCGCACAGGCTCTGCGTCGCTGGGTTCCCGGAGAGGCTTGTATTCCCGCCGGCATGCCCGTTAGCAGCAAGAGACGCCTCGGGTTCTGGAGACGCTTGGGTGCCCGCCATTTCTCGCTTACATTGCTCGGGGAAATCTTTTACAACGGCTGCCGCTTCCCCACCGCGGATTCCATTCGCGACGTCGCTACTGCTGTAACTCCGTTTCGCATGGTCGCAAACGTGACGCGTTCGCCAACTCGCAACGGCGTTACTGTCGTCGCTTCGCCCAGCAGCGCACGGGCGATTGCGGTAACTCCTCGCATCCCTTTCGCCATCGACTTCGACACTCCGAGTTCGAGTCCGCCGGGCCAGAAAGCGAGCTTCGCGTTGCAAGCATCGAACTGATTCCCGGCGGTCGATCCCGGAATCGCCCTCGAAAAGCGGAGCTCTCACCGAATAGGGAGATCTCGACAATGCCTCTACAGCAGGAGGATGCGATGGAGGCTGGAACTGCGTGGGAGCCACCTCGGGGGGAGTTCGGTGGCTGTTCGTACGGCTGGGAATAGCGAAGAATGCGGCGATGTCCACGGCGGTACGCTGCAGGAACCGCGGCGAGGCGTGACGAGCGGAACATGGAATCATGGCTGCGAGTTAAGGAGGCCTCCGCGCCACACGGTAGGGATGTAGGAGCGGTGTCTTCACGGCCACCTTTGTACACCTAAGTGACTACTAGTCGTCGGCTTTAGCCTGCTAGGTTCCTCTGAGTCTACTCAGCGGAATTTCGCCGAGTAGTTGGAGTGGTTTCTTTGGTGTTGCCGTGAAAGATACTCGAATGAAGTGACTCAGTTCTAGTTTTAGTTTGCGCTGGAGTGCACCGCAGTACGTGTTGCTTGCTTATGTAGAGCATCCACAATCAGCCCCCTGAGAGAAGTTTCAAGAGTGATCGCCAACACTACCGACACGATTTGCACAGTCACCCAGGCCGCCCTCAATTTACAGTTGCTCACAGTTGGATGGGTGGGGGCACTGGGCCAGGGCTCACGCTAAGCTTTTTTGGAGCTCTGTTTCTCCCAGATTCCCCACCCCCCTGCACCCTGATTCGTCCGGATTTCAGGGTAGTTGGTTTTTGTTTCATCCGGATTCGGGTACAAAGTTACTTTTAGCCGAGTTACAGCAAACATTGACTCGGACATGTCACGATGTTAAGGTCGAAACAGGGTAACATTTGCGGCGTGCCAAAAAAATAAAGTACTTTTGGATTTGCTACGTTAAGAGTGTTAATTTCTTCCGCCAGTTTTCTGACAAACCCGCTAAAGTAGGGTAGAATCTGTGTCAGCAACCTTCACAACTTTCTGGGTTGCGAGAAGGGGAAAGAGGGGAACGTGGCTAACCGTTTTTAGCCAAGTCTTCCTAGCTGCGTAGGTGTGCGGGGCTGTAGGAGGAATTTGCCAGTCTGTGAGGGACGCCAAATATTCTAGGTTTAGGAGGAGTCTCTCTGTGTAAAACTCTCTAGGTGTAAGGGAAACTTAGCCAAATTCTCTATGTTATAGGGTAAAGGCAGGAATGTTTCTGCAATGAGGACTAGCCGAAATTTATAAGTTTCATGGGTGTGGGTAGGAGGCCTATCTCTATTTGGGAGGGACTTAGCCGAATTCCTCTATGGTCCAGGAAGGAATGTTCCTGGCTGTGACAAACTTAGCCGAAAATTATGGGTTTCGGGTGGTGCGGGTGAGAGGAGTACGGTATGTCTGTGTGTGGGGGACTTCCCCATTTTTGAATGGTTGCGGGGTTAAGGAAGGAATGCTGCTGGAAGTTGGGGACTTAGCCGAATTTTCTGAGTTGTGCGGGTGTGGGAGGAGTTATAACAGTGTGTGAGGGACTTAGCCGAATTTCCTGGGTTCGGGGGCTCCGTGCGATTGTTTCTGAAAGTTGGGGACTTGGCCGGTAAAATGTCTCTGCCACCCTGGGCGCGAGGAGGGGGGGAGGGGAGGGGGGGGGGGGGGGGGGGTGGGGGGGAATATATTTATTGGCAGTTGCAGCCGGATTGCCCCCCCATCGAATTCTGATCTGCCCGGAGCCCCCCGTAACGCCACTTCTATAAATTCCGGAAACCCCGATAACTCGATCCGTTCAAATTCCGGAACGAGCCCAGCGCCAACTCTTAATGTTTTTTCATTCCGAACAATTACCCTTGAAAAATAGGCCCTACACTGGGCACTAGAGACATTATTGGAGGCCTGCACCCTTGTTGTACTGTACACCATCCCTGGACCATTGTTCTGTTGCGGTGTGCATTTGGGATTTTCTGTACAGTACAGCAGCAGTTCAGGTACTGTACAAAAAACAAAAGCTGTACTGTATGGTACAGTAGGATGTACAGAGGGTATGCTCTATGCTCCAAATCCGCGACTCGCAAATATGGACTAGGACGAATAAGAGCGGTTCACTACGGGCAAAATGGATTATCGAGTAGCACGTACGGTTTTAGGTGGGGTGGCGTAGGCCGTTTTGCTCGTTCTGTTCACGATGGGTGCCTTGGCGTATTGACCCTTGGGCCAGGTTACCAGTGACTTCGCCGCGTGTCATGTGAGGGCTCATGTGGCTTCTTAAAAAACGTTCAGCACATTTGTCGTCTGGTCAGAATTACCGCGGAAAATAGAAGTAACACCTCGTTCTTGACCTTCCGCAAGCAGCGCAGGCTCTAAACGCGCAAATCATATAATTTGAAAAACCCTTTTCGTGATCTCACGAAAAGGGCTTAACGTAACGAAATTATGACGACTCGCCTGAGAAGTTTCGTTAACCAATCACACTTTCGCGACGGTGAAAAAAACCATTGAAGAAAAACATTTTCGAAATGTGCACTGATTAATGGTGATTGAGGGACCGTGGGTCCTGTTTTCGTATTCGGGACGGACCTGTTCGTGTCACGCGGAAAGCCTGAATATTTACGTCATTGGTTATAAAATATGGAAAATGACCCGAATGTTCTTGACACGAGGATTAGAATAGGACCGAAATAATAAGACAGAATGGATGGAAAGGGGATTCGGATTCATGCCCAGGTCAGCGCGCATACAAAATTGCCAGGTGGACGGTGGTATCAGCTGGCTGTCACTTTTTTGGTCCGTCGTGATTACGTCTGATCGCCCTGGCAAGCGCGTATTGGCCGGGCAATTCCAAGCACAGTTCACGAGAAAATTCCGAGCTCGCACTCGCGGGTTGGTTGGCGACACTCGCACGCTGGGATCGCACCCAATTCGGGTGGCGCGACTCGATGGTCGGTGGCATTATGCGACTGTCGTGATTGGTCACATTGTTTTATTGCGCTTTTTTAGTGAAGTCAACAGTAGATGTATACCGTACAGACGGAGTACATCGTGTCCGATCTTATCGAATTTCGGACCTTGGAGTATTACGTGGAGTAAAATGTCGTGGACCTAATGGCATACCCGCTGTAAATGTATAATCCTTGTCAAAATCTCATAACATGTACACAGACCAGCTGGCTTAGGGGCGGGGAAATTGTCCTGTACGGCGAGCCTCATACTACAATAAAAGCAGAAGCAGTTGCTTTCATGTCACAACAACAACCCTTGTGAAGTCGGACTGCCTTATCAATTCAAACACGGTCCGAATTTTCAGAAGCCCCCACGTGGGAATGTTGTTACCAGCTGTAGAATAGGAAGGGCCGTGCCCTTCGTCATAGTCACAAATACGAGGCTTCTGGAGAACGGGACGGGAAGGATAGAGAAGTTGCCCGCATGTGGAAGCACCTTGCAGATTACAGAAGTGTGGAGTGCAAGCAAAGCACACATCGGAATACGTGAAGTGTACGCAGAATGCCAGGGTTCTTGTGTGATCCTTAAAAAAAAAAAAAAAAAAAAAAAAAAAAAACCTCAGTGTCTCCTACAATTGAGGGTGGATTCCGCAGAGAGTGTTAGACCCTAGGGTTTAGCAGGAAGATCCGAGGCTGGAAAAAAATTGCCTCGGGTCTTGCGAAAAACTGACGACTCCAGCCAATCAGCTGTGGATGGGTGGGGCGGTACTGGGGGTGGGAGAATAGGGGGGTTTTGTATCTCTATGATCCGTTTTTGCCAGGGGCTCATCCGTTAAATTAGGGTACTTCGAAAAAAGAACACGTCACTTCATGGGTGCGGCTAAACCTGAACGCGTCAGAATCCGGAATAGGTCGGAAAATCACCCGTTATTTTGCCGAAATCCGGGTAGTTACCCGTGAAAAATGAGCCCTGATCCCAACCAACCAAATGGACCACGCAACCCAGGAACTTTCTCAAGTGGTGCAGGAAACAGAGGAAGAGTCTGTCTGTGGGGCAACGCATTCATATTTCACCAGTCCAACACGGGCACTTACTACTAGTATTAGTATAGCTTCCGTAGTGCTGAATCTGCCAAGAACCCCCGTGGCTCCAAGAGTGGAGGGTACTAGAATTATCCATCTTTGACTCAATGATTCGATAGGGCACCGCGGTTGTAACGCATGGCATCTGCACGGTACGCGGGCCTAGAAACGACCTTCCCAACCGCTTTCCACAAATCGGCTACCTATGCTAGGTAGCGCGAAATGGGAAGGAAGGGTTGGGAGGGGAGGATTAGGATTGGTCGACACTTGGGACCAATCAGATTTTAGTTGTACACATTGAGTTGGCGAAATTCCCAACTCACGCGATGGTTGGATTTGCGACCAATCAGAACCAGGGAGTTGGTTGGCAGTGCCAACTCAACTCGAATATTCTTATGCTGTACACTATATGCTAATCTGAATATATTGCTGTAAACCTCTCATTGGTTGGAAATCCAACCCTTTTGCCACATAAGCTAGCTCACCTCCTTGGAGCCATGGAGGAGGTTGAGCAGCTGCTGGGAGTCATTGGAAGGGGTCTGAGCTGAGAAGCTCATTCTCAACTTCCCACTCCAAGAAATCAATCTTGAAATGGGATTTTTCTCTAAGTCATGAGCTCTCCTCACAAGCTTCCCTTCACTAGTGTCTTCTAGTGTGATCTCCTAGGGGAAGCCCTACCCAACCAGAGTCTCAAACACTTGTCTTCAAGGGCCTTCCTCAAGCTTAAGCTATCTCTTAGAGGAGGTTCCTCCTAAATACTACGCTAGGGGATCGTTAGTTGATTTTGTACCCTATTTTATATCCTAGGATCTTGGATGTTGAGTTGGGACTTCAACCCTTGTTGCCCATGTTATAAGGGCAAGGGTTGTTTCAGCGGTCCTAGTACTAGGAGCCATCCAGTGACGCTGTCGCAGGGAGATGCAGCATGACGTGAACAGGGACAGGCAGGGTCTCCGGAGACTGAATTGGGCTCGCAGCAGCGGCACGCGGCGCAACAGCAGCAGATGCAATATCAGCAGATTTCACATCCGCATATGTCCCATCCGCAGCAGATGCAACAACAGTTGCAATATCAGCAGTGTCTGCCACATCAGATGATGCCACAGCAGCAGATGCAACAGCCGCAGATGCAACAGCCGGAGATGCAACAGCCGGAGATGCGACAGCAGCAGATGCCGCAGCAGTACTATGTACCACAGGTCCATCCAGCGCTGCCGCTACAGCCACAGCTACAGAAGCAGCCGGCTCAGCCATTGCACCTACAGCTACATTTGCCACAGCACCAGATCCAGCAGCTGCCATCACAGCTACAAGCGCTGCTACAGCCGCACTTGCCGCAACTACCACTTCAAGGTGAGCCTCCCTCTGGCCCAGCCCCATCGGAGCCCAGCAGGCGCATGAAAAAGGCTCGCCGTGGCCGGAACTACAATCTGGGGAAGTACCGCGGAGTGAGGAAGCGAGGGGAGTTCCGGTACGCTGCAGAGATCAAGGACAAGAGTAGTGGGATCCGGAAGTGGCTCGGGACGTTTCCCACCGCAGAGGAGGCTGCTCTGGAGTTCGACCAAGCGGCTGTGGAGATCCGAGGAGCAAAGGCCAAGCTTAACTTTCCAGAGAAGTTTGCTCAGGGCGAGGGAGGAGTAGGTTCGGAGCCCGCAGCGCCAGAAGCAGGCGGCCGGATGGAAATGCAGGGAAGTGCAGAGGAGGATGCAACAGCAGGGGGGGAGGATGCTGCAGCAGCAGCAGGGGAGGATGCAGCAGCAGCAGGGGAGGATGCAGGGAAGGTTGGCGGGACTTGGGGCATTGGCTGGGGAGTGCAGGGGAATGGGGTAGGAGAGGTAAAAGAGGGCAGTGCTAGTAGGAGCTGTGTAGGGAAAGGAAAGGAGGCAGAGTATGCTGAGGATGTGGCAGAAAGGGACTTGATGGGAGAGGCTGCGGGTCAGAGAAAGCCGATTGGAGAGGGGACAAGCGGGGCGTTAACTGCAGAAGCTGCTGCACCATCCGCAGCAGAAGAATCAGGTGCAGGATCAGGAGCAAGGTCTGCCGCAGTGCTAGGGGGAGGGGGAGGAAGAGGAGGGTTAGCAGCAAGTGCATTAGAGGCCAGTGCTAGTGGGAGCAGGGGCGGAGCAACATGCACCCCAGAAGCGAGCTCCACTGTCAGTGGCAGCAGCTCCAGCAGACCTGACCCTTCCATATCCGCCCCTTCTACCTCCACCCCTTCCCTCGCTGCCCATTCCACCTCCACCCCTTTCCCCGCTGCCCATTCCCCCTCTGTCCCTTCCACCTCTGCTTCCTCTGCCTCTTCTGCCTTTGCCTCTGCCTCTCCCACGGCTGTGCCGTTTACCTTCCCAGCGTTTTCCGCCCCTGAAGCAGCTCCACACACCAGCATACTTCCCCCTGTCCTCCCTCCCATCTCCTCGACCCTGGCCGACCCACCAACGTCTAGCACTGCCATGCTAAAGCGGTCGAATCGGATGGAAGAACCAGCATGTGCTCTTGGACCTGATGAGAGGTTTCTGAGATTTTATGGGCCTGGAGCGGGCCCGGCAGGCTTGGAAGCAACTGGAGTTAGGATGGCAGCAGGGGAGCTGTGGTCCTCTCTCCTTGCAGAAGAATTTTCCCAGCAGCTGGAGATGTTGGAAGAAGCCAATGGGATTGGAGGGAGTGGGGTTTGCTGGGAGAGTGTGGGTGGAGAGGGGATGATGGAGGAGGAGGGTGGGATGGAGATGGGGATGGGGACAGGGATAGGCAAAGACATGGCTGGCACTGGCCTTGTTTCTCATGATAGTTTTGTGGCTGCAGCATGGGGATTGGGGGAAACTGATGAGTATTATCGAACACCCCACCTCTACCAATCCCAGAAACATCAGCAGCAGAAAAGGGAGTTACAGCAGCAGCAGCAGCAGCAGCAGCAGCGACCTGGGGTACTGCCACAGAGCCAGCTGTGGCAGCAACTAGACCCAACTCCTACACCTCCGAATCCTCCCCACCACCTTCAATCCTGGCAAGTCACAGCTGCCGCACCTCTCTCCACAGCCACACCTCACCGAAGCAGCCCTCCAAACCAAGGTGTGCCAAGCCAGATACAGTCAGGAGAAGAGGAAAAGACAGGATTTCCTGTGATGTTCGCTGGTAGTGGAACTGGCAAGGTCACGATGCCAAGATCCCGGGAGCCTAGTCAGCCAGCCACGCCTCTTCATGCATCCAATGCTGCTGTGCCAGTTGCCCCCTCCTCCCTGGGTCAATGCAGTCAACGTGGTCAATGGGTCCGGGAGGCAGGTGTTGTGATGGGTTTGGCTCCAGCAGGAGCAGCAGAGGCAGCAGGAGCAGCAGCGGCAGCAGGGGCAGCAGGGGCAGCAGGGGCAGCAGGGGCAGCAGGGGCAGCAGGGGCAGCAGGGGCAGCAGGGGCAGCCAGGGCAGCAGGGGCAGCAGGGGCAGCAGGGGCAACAGGGGCAGTAGGTTTAGCAGAGCCAGCAGGGACTGCAACACGGACAGTAGGGACAGCAGCAGCAGGGCTTGAACGCATGGAGCAGACCCCGAGCCTAGGCGTCCGACAAGCATCGGCAGGGCAACATGCGTTGCCGGGATAGGAAGCATCGGCAGGGCCAGTCCAGACACACGCAGAGCCACAAGCACTGCCAAGCCAAGCACACGTAGGATTATGGAGAGTGGAAGTGACTGGGAGAGTGCTTATGAGCGGTGAAGGTGCCTCCTTGCTGGGCGCAGACGAGGCGGCAGTGGTAGTCCCCTCGTCTAGGCATGCTGGTATGCAGTATGCTGCTGGCATGGTGCCGCCCTTTGGGGCACATATTGAGCAGCATGATGCCGACCAGCATGATTACAGCATGCAGAATGCTTCTACCATAATGCCGCCTTTTGGGGCACGTCTTAAGCAGCATGTTACCAACTGGCATGATGACGACATGTGGCATGCCTTTACCATGTCAAGGAGCTCGTCTCTAGTCGTGAATCTGCATCAGCTTCAGCACTACCAGAATGAGCAGCAGCAGCAGCAGCCACAGCCGCAGCAGCAAGAGCAGCAGCAAGGGCAGCAGCAGCAGCCACAGCAGCAGCAGCAGCAGCAGCAGCAGCAGCAGCAGCAGCAGCAGCAGCAGCAGCAGCAGCAGCAGCAGCAGCAGCAGCAGCAGCAGCAGCAGCAGCAGCAGCAGCAGCAGCAGCAGCAGCAGCAGCAGTCGCAGTCGCAACCACAGACGCCCCCACAGCAGCAGCGCCATGTGCAAAGCTCCCCTCGACGTTACTCTGTTGACCGCAAGGCTGCTGCTGCTCGTTGCTCTTCTGCAGACTTGACAAATGACATGTCCCCCGTCAAGGATTGGAAGGAGCCCTACCTGGGAAGGCATACCTCAGCGTCGGAGCCTCATTTCGAGCCTGTGCCTGTGTGGGGTCGGAGCCACACCGTATCTTTCCCCCTGGAGTCGCCTGTCCCTAGAAATCCAACCCCAGAGTCCCAACCCTCCAAAGGTCACACAGGTGCTGCGGGTGGTACGAGCGCTGCCGGTTGTGCCGGTAATGCTGGTGGTATGGGTGGTGGGGGTTCCATGGCGGGTGCTATTCGTGATGCCAGTACTGCTGGTTGTATGGGTGGTGTGGGTTCTATGGAGGGTGCTGTGGGTGGAGCTGGTACTTCTGGTGGTGCGGGTGATGTGGGTGCTATGGATGATGGTGCTGTGGGTGGTGCTGGTTATGCTGGTGGTGTGGGTGATGTGGGTGCTATGGATAGTGGTGCTGCTGCAGGTCTTTCTGCTGCATGTGTGGGTTGTGGAGAGGCTGGGGATGGCAGCATGGCGGTTGAAGGGATACCTGCTGCTGCAGCTGCTGCCACTGTTCGTGGTGCTGGCGGTGCTGCCAGTATTGCCAGTGCTGCCGGACTGGCCGGACCGGCCGGACCTGCCGGACCTGCCTATCCCCTTGCCTGTTCTCTCAGAACCAGCCCGAACCTCCCTCTGCACAGGGTGAGGCGAACGCGGTCGCGGGACCAGGGGCGAGTGGGAGCAGGACAGCTGGACAGGGCAATGTTGCACATGGCAGCATACCAGCCAAGAGCGCCTGCTAGCAGGTATGGTCAGGGGCTACTGAGGTGGTGGGAGGAGCAGGTGCGGGGCCCTGTTACCAAGTACGGGCAGGGGCTGATGGAGCATCCGCAGCAGCAGAGACTGCTGGAGGGACAGCAGAGGCCGTGGGTGGAGGAGCGGCTGATGGTGCAGCAGCAGCAGCAGCAGTTGGTGGAGGCACAGTCCCAGCAGCAGCAGCCAATGCAGCAACAGCAGTTTGTGCAGCAGCAGCAGCAAGAGCTGCTCACACCTTTTCAGCGCCCTCTCTCCTCTCGCAGCCACTCCGTTTCCACTCTGGCCTCTCCCCTTTTGACCTCTCCCCCATTAACATCTCCCTCTCCCCCCTTGACCTGTCCCCCCTTGACCTGTCCCCCCTTGACCTCTCCTCTCTTGACCCCTGCTGTCGCCCACAGTGCCTCTGCCTTCCACTCCCACCCATTCCTTCCCGCTCCTGCTTCTCCACCTACCATCTTCGACAATACTGTCAGCCTGCAGCACAGCAACACAGAGCAGTGTGTCAGCGAACAATTGGTGGCGATGCCCCCCCCAGCTGGGGAGTTTGATGACACAGAGCAGGGCAGTGCGGCCAGTAGCGGCGGGGATGTGTTCATGCAGGAATTTGCAGCAGAGGAGTTGGAGGCTGCATACAGTGGTGATGCTGCTGCTGCTGAGCAGCCTAGCGCTGACCGTCCTAGAGCTGACCAGCATTTTGCGTACCAGCCTACAGGATACCGGCCTATCATGGAACACCATAGTAGTGGGTATCAGCATATCATGGCAGACCTCAGCGCTCCTCTGCCTCACCCCTCAGTGGACGTGGTCCTTCTGGAGAATGTGCATTACACTGCCTCTGCTGCCGAGCATCCCATATCCCCCATTTGCTATGGCGCAGGATGCATACTCTGCTCGAGGTCCCAGCTCCCCGCTTTCCCTGGAAAAGCCGCCGCACGCTGCATTTGCTGCCAGGGGTCCCAGCTCCCCACTTCCCCTAGAAAACTTACAGCACGCTGCATTTGCTGATGGGGGTCTTACGCTTACCTCCCCACACTCTCACATCGAGAGTACGGCCTATTACAGGTACGAGAGTAATTCTGCTGCTGTTGTGGAGCATTCAGGAGCGACAGCTGTAGGTCTGGAAGTTGGGGGAGAGGCTACTGATGCAGGAGGGTCAGCGTATACAGAAGATTCCCATCTTGAAGCGGGGGTTGCCCCTGGTGCTGGAATATACACCATTGACGCACTAGAGAGTTTTTTTATGGATAATGGGGATTGGAGGGAGCACGAGTAGTTGTGTAAAACGATATTTCTCTTATTTGTTTTCTGCTCAACTGTTTTTTTTTTTTATGGGTAGCCTTTTTCTTCATGTCACGTCATGTATCCCTAATAAATTGCAGCAAGATTGCTTGTTGCTATCCAGATTTACCAGGAAAAAAAAGAAGAAGAAAAAAAAGTGCAGTCCACCCTTTTTTACAACATTGTTGCCAATGTGGTAACCCTCGTCCAATGTACAAGCCCGGCTGTGTTGAGATATGTTTGTGCCCAACGCAAGAGAATCCCCCCTAAAAAAAATTAGGAAACAAAAGAGCATCAGGTGTATATTAGTACACTTCAGGGCTATAGGTTCAAGGATAAATATCCGGAATGTCAGGTACATTCCGGGATGTTTTGTGTTGGAATTTGGATTTTGATAGGGGCCATTTTCGGACGTTTTTCTCCAGGACCCGGAACCATTTGCATGGGCCCGAAAATCATTCTGGTTCGATAGCTACGTTGTGAACCTTTATGAGGGAGAGCCGCAGACTTGCAGTGGTGTGCGGCTAGTGTTTATCACAATAGCCCGGTATAAAGCATTAGGGTGTAAGTGTGCTTACTGTTATTC